ATGACCAGTGCTTAGAGACGCACTTGAACATCATCAGAGACTTTGTTGGCAATCTCATTAGAATTTCCAACACAAGATCCTGCATATCCTGCAGTAACTCACATATATGTTCTCCTTCTTTCTTGTTGGGTGACGGCTACATAAAAAAAGTAGCAAATAAGCACGATTCAAACTTATAACATGAAAAACACAAGTAAAAATTTAAACTTTAATCAGTACATACATAGAAACTAAGCCAACCCATAGAGAGAAACATCCAAAGAAAGAAAAACGCTACGAATTGGAGAGGTTGCATAAAAAGTGCGTATAAAGGAGGCGTATTTATACCTGAATTTGATCGGAATCTCCGAGAGAGACGACCTGGGGAATGCTCTGACACTCCTCCTGCTCTGACTCCGCCGCTTGTTTCAGATCCCTCCTCCTTCTCTTCATCTCTTTAGCTCAAATTTTATTCAAAAACAATCCAAACTCCAGAAAACGATATTAGGGCTTTGATGAGATTTCTACGTATTTATAATCTCTCTCAACTCTCTTAATACAAAAAGGTGCAAATAATTGTAGAAAATTGGAAAAGGTAAAAAAAACAAAAAGGATACATTATAATAATAATAGTAACATAATCACAAGCTAACCGTTGGTTCATGTGCTAATTGACTCTAAACCACTAGCCTTTAGTTGGTTTGGTTCACGATAATAATCACAAGCTAACCGTTGGTTCATGTGCTGTATTGCCCAAAGACCAAATCCCTCGGATTATTATGAGACATCACGATAAATGAGAAATTAAGATGACAAATTGATCCAAATCCTCAAGTTGCTTTTGGTAGAGCATGGTGGTGCCAACGGTCTTAATCAAAGAATCAAGATCAACGGATTTTGAAGAATCTAGCAAATTGTTTGTTAGAGCATCTTGTTGTCTGTACAAAAGATGGTGAAGAATGAAGCAGAGTTTACAGATAGGCAGCTTCGCTTTTGTGTTCTTGATTCATAAAACAAATCCTTTTAACCGAGGCAGAAGAAAAACCAGGAGAGATACAGAAGAATGTAAGGGATCTCCCATCCTTACTCGCTGCAGCTGAGAAAAGGCTGAAGTAAAGTAGTGCACCCTCATCAACTAGAAGCATATCATGATTATACAAGGTTGCATGTAGAGAGATTAAGTTCCAGACAAATTTGTTTGTCTGTGCACAAGATTGTGCAGAGAGAAGTGAGACCAAAAATAGAGTGCGTCTCTTTTGTGTTCTTAATTAATAACATTATAACTATTAATGAAAGATAATAAATGTAATGCAAAGGTGACTGCGTGAAGCAAAGAATTTAAAGTAGGAGACTAATTTTGCCCCAAAAAAAAAACATGAAGGCAGTAAAAATAAGTTAACTGTATTCTTATCTTGCTACACAAACAAAGTCAATATATAGTATTGGTCAAATTTCCAAGTAGATGAAGCTCTCACTCTTATCCACAAACTTCAAGTCAAAATAGCATTCTTTATCAAACCAAAGGCGTGGTACACCTTTGATTTCAACCTTTCTCAAATCATTGCTTTGCACATCATAACACAGAATGTAGAATTGAGAACGCATCTCCAACGGTGCCAGCATAACCTTGCCGTCTTGAGTTGTACCTTTTACGATCAAATCAATGTCATGGACTAAATGCCTTTGGCAAGGCTGCAAAACCAGCCTCTTATTGGACCATTTCTTCATCTCAGCGTCTTTCAATACCCATAAATCCACCGAACCCTCGTCTTTAAGGTAGCTATGATTGAAAATAGCTAATTTTCCATCATACTCTATAAGATCCGCCTTCATCATCAGTGCAGGCAGAGGCACATCCCTGATTTTCTGAGGTAATAGGAAGGTAGTAACCTCTTCAGACATAATGTCGAAACTCACAACCGCACAATTGTACAAATCAACCCAGGCTAGATAATGTACTACTCCATGGATAGACCGTCCTGCTGTGGCAGGAGCATGGGGATGATAATTTCCCAGTGGAACAATCTTTTTCCAGGAACCTCCAGCTTCTAGTGTGAAGACCCAATGCTCTGACCTCATGTTTGCAAACCATTGCGAGGATATCTCAATAGTGCAGAATAGTTTGTATTGATCATTAACAGGATCACGTCCAAGAAAGTATTGGGTACTCTTCAGTTGACCTTGTTGAGCTGTGATGTCGGATTTTACGGAGGGTAAGGTCAAGAGTTGTTTGGTGCTAGGGTTATAGATACACGCCTTTGTTCTGAATTGGAAACACATCAAGCCAGGAACAGCGTCCAAGAAGTAGCCTCCGATCCCTGGGATGCTCAAATCTTGGTGGACGACTACAAAAGAAGTGTTGTCCGGTGACGTTGATGATAGTAGTAGACGTTGGTTGTCTTTCGCCACTAAACACATGTATAGACGTGGTTGTTGTTGTTGTCGTGTGAGTGTGACGGTAGTAAATAAACGGTTGCAAAAATATCGACAAGAGATGAGGGATGACCACTGCTTGGAGACGCACTTGAACCTCATGAGGGAGGTTGCTGGCAATCGCATAAGAATTTCGACCACAAGATCAGGAGGAATCTCGCACATACCTCTACCTCTACCTATACCTCTTCCTCTTTTTCTGCTTCTCTCTTGTTGTGTGCAGGCTATATATATAAAGAAAGAAAGGTAAACAATCAGTAAATAAGAGAGATTTGATCTTCTTTGCTTGAATCAAGTAATAAAAAAAAAATAGAAAAGTACCAAGTATGATACACATGCTCTCAGGAAATTTGGCTAGAAAATCAAAGTCAAAAAGTATTGGTCAAGAAGCTTCTAGGGATAAAACTAGATCCGTTGATTAATCTGAGAATACCTGAAAACTAGAGTTTGAGAGTAATTTTCTCAGGGCTTTCGCAAAAGCTATTAGGGTTGTGAATACTCTTTACAATGGTTTATAAAACCTATTTAAATCTTCCGATTAATCCATTCAATAACAACTTAATATAATAAAAAAAGATATTTATAATAAAGCATAAAACCCTAAAATCCATAGAGTATTTTTGAAAAAGTTCTAAAAATAAATATTAAACTATAAATCTAAATAATTAAATAAATAATAATGATATTCCAAATATGTCGTTGCATCAGGTCTTGCGGACCAAGAAAAGATTTGTCCTCAAATTTTGTATCTCCGCTCCATTAATGAGGCTCTCACTCACATCCATAAACTTCAAGTCAAAATAGCACTCTTTATCAAACCAAGGCTCTGGCACTCCTTTGATTTCAACCTTTCTTAAATCATTGATTTGTATATGGTAACACAGAATGTAGAATCGAGAACGCATCTCCACTGGTGCTAAGATAACTTTGCCGTCTTGAGTTGTACCTTTTACGATCATCAATTCAATGTCTTGGACTAAATGTCTTTGACAAGGCTGCAAAACCAAACTCTTGGTCGACCATTTCTTCTTCCCAGCGTCTATCAATACCCATAAATCCACCAAACCCACTTCTCTAAGGTAGGTATAGTTGAAAATAGCTAATTTTCCACCGTACTCTATAAGATCCGCCTTCATCAAAGCTGCCGGAGGGAGCACATCTGCGACCTTCTCGGGTACTAAGATAGTAGTCAATTCTTCAGACATAGTGTCAAAACTAAAAACTGCACAATTGTACATATCAATCCAAGCTAGATAATATAGTACTCCATTCACACACCTTCCTACTGTGCCAAGAGCATGAGGATGATAATTTTCCAGTGGAAAAACTTTTTTCCACAAACCTCCAGCTTTATCTAGTTGGAAGACCCAATGCTCTGACTTCAGATTACACAAATATGCGGAGGATACCATAATCGTGCAGACTACTTTGTACCGATCACTAACAGGGTCGTGTCCGATATAGTATTGGATTTGCTTCTTTTGATCTTGTTCAGTTATGATGTCAGACTTTATGGCTGGTAAGGTCAAGAGTTGTTTGGTGCTAGGGTTATAGATACACGCCTTTTTTTTAACTCTGAAACACATCAAACCACGGACAATGTTGGCGGAGTAGCCCATCCTTGGGATGCTCAAATCTTTGTCGACGACCACAAAAGAATTGTTGTCTGGAGACGTTGATGATAGCAGTACACGTTGGTTGTCTTTCGCCACTAAACACATGTATAGACGTGGTTTTCGTAGTCGTCTGACAGTAAATAAGTGGCTAAAATATCGACAAGAGATGAGGGATGACCAATCCTTGGAGACGCACTTGAACCTCATGAGGGACTTTGATGGCAATCTTATAAGAATTTCTGTCACGAGATCCGGAGGAATCTCACAATCGTGCTTCTTGCACATATCTCTTCCTCTTCTTCTTCCCTTCCTCTTCATAGTTTTACTCATTCTCTCTCGTTGGGTGACTGCTAAACGAAGAAACAAACCCATCGTGTTGTTCCACAGATTCACACAAGCTGGCGCCGCTACCCACAAATTTATATTAGAACCCTAGGCATGTTCTTATTAGGAAGAGGAAACTTCCACATCACGGAAGCAACTTTTCTAAAAGGAAATAATCTTTGCTAGATGTTGACAAATTATTTCCTTTTTTAGGAAATCGCTTGATTTAGCAATTTGCGACATTGTGATCTCTATCCCTTCTCTTTTTTTTTTTACAGTTAAATACTTTAATTATACCCAACTAAAATCAAATAAAATTATTCAATTTTTTATAGAATAATAATTTGGATTTTAGTTTCAAGTTCTTCATGTAAGTCTATCAGATGGATTGATACGTAGTCAATAAATTATTATAAATACTATTCTTCAATTGGATTCATAACTGAATTTGTTACAGATTTTGTTTCAAAAAATTCAGATGAATTAGAAACGTATTCATCCCAAAGTTTTAGTTTTTGAACCTGTCTGACATCTGTAGCTAGTAGCTACTAGATTTTAGACATAACAAAATCCGTCTTAATTTAAAAATCCTACATATTTGGTGAATACACTGTCTGATGATGAAGTGTCAAAGTCAGTGACGATAACAGTACTATTGATGTTTTATACCAAATACATCTCTATACAGTGGAAAACTGAGAGAACGAGACAAGATACATCCCTGCTAATTAAAGTATTCAGAACCCAACTTCCACTAATTTACAAGAGCTCTTAACCTAATTTTAAACTCTTATGGGTTCGAAATAGCCTCCATCAGGTGCTTAGAGATTACTTGAACCTGCAAATTGCAAAATACAAAAGTCCCCCCTATGTTTCAGTGATCTAACTAAGCTTGTTTTAAGAAATCGAGATTTTTAGACGAAACTGGTATTTGTTACCTCGGAGATCGTCTTTTTGTGTTAGACTATTTCATTTCTCCGCCTGCATCAGACTTCCTCCTGTAGAAGAGCACATAAGCAGCACCTGACTTCACATCATCCTCGTTTATATGTGATATATGACTGTCATCAAAGTTATACCACCTATTGTCGTCCAAAAGCTGCAGACCATATTCAATATTTAGAAAAAAGAAAGAAAGAAGAAGAAGCTCAGAAGTGGAAACAGAGATCAAGTAAAGCTGCTCGAACTGACCTTGATATGTGCAGTGTAGTGTCCGCTGCCCATACCACCATAATGGTTGGTCAAGGCATAGAGCTCATATAGCTGTGGTTGAGATAGGTTTTTGTTGGCTACATACTTTGTTAGATCTAAGTCATGGACAGGAAAGTTAACAAATGTTTCCAATTTATGCTTCATGGATCTGCTGTATGAGAATCTCTTTAGATGTATGACTAAGACTTCAGGAAGCCTCCACAGATCAAGCTTTTTGCTTGCCTGCCTTCTTTCATTGCACTGTGGACAGAACCTACACAAAAAGAAGGAAGAAAATGATGCCATGGATTGACCTAACAACTAAGTAGAAGACGGTGGCTAAAAATCTACAGCAAAATACAGTGTTTTCAACTTCGATCCTTAGTACACACTAGCAATTCTGAACATCATTCATCATCTTTCACTAACGCGTAGTTCAACTTTTACCACAAACCAGCAAAACTAAGTCTATCACAGGAGAGATAAGGAGAAAAGACTGCTTACCACATTTCGTCAGGCACCAAAGGCTCTTCGCGTAGAAACGCTTCCAAACAGGCATATAAAGAAAGAGGTTCTGAACGAGCCTTCTTGGTAGCAGGTCCGTATTTGAGAACTTCAGGCAAACTCTCCAGGCAAGTTATATCATACATACCAGAGAGTTCTGGTGTCCAATCCAAATAAATAGTTACTGTAGCTGATGACGGTAATTTAATAGCTTCTGCTTCATCGTCTGGCAGATTAATCGTTTTATTGTTTTCATCAATGAGTTGCAGGGATAATTTAGAAGCACCCAATTCGGAGGAGTTGCTTTTCTTGGCTTTTTTCAGTCCACCAACTTTATCTTCTTCCTCAGAATTATTAAATCGAGCTGACCTTCTCTCGGGGATACTAGAATCAGAATTTCCTCTTTTGCCCACAGATTCTTCCCTCCGAAAAGGTGAAAGCATATTCTGGACGAGGCAATGGATTTTTCCTTTGGTGAGTGCATCTCCACGTGAAGCTGATGAGAGAAGGGGTGTTCCACAGGGTTTCAATTGTACTGTACTTTCACGTTCCCCAGCTTTCCTGAAACATGGTACAATAAGATGCTAAAGAAGAGAGCAAACAGAAGATAAAATATCATCCTTTCTCAGATCTACATTCATCAAGGATTCAAAAAATAGTCAGAAATCAAAGGCTGAGGGAAGTGAGGCCACAAAGAAAAGAAAGTCTTGAAGTTGTAAGAAAGGAAATCCAAAGATGTTGAGTACAGAAGAGGAACTTTGTTATCTCAAACTAATCCCCAGAATTAGTTCATACAAATTAGACTGAAATTTAACTTACTGATCTCTGCGGCGGAGTACTAGTCTAAGCAAAGTCGTATTCTCCGAAGACTTCGAAAGTTTGTATGCAGCAAGGTGATCATCGTCTTTGATAGTGGACAATGGAATTAAAGGGTCTTCAAATAATCGATGGATAAAATTATTTCGAATCTGCGAAAAACATATTAAACTTAGTTAAGCGGAAGCCAAAAGACCGACATCTTACTAAAAATGCACCTGAAGCCACAAACCTCTGCAAGTTTCAGCTCTTCACTTTGCTTCAAGGAACAAGCACTTGTTAATGCCTGAATCAAGTCTCTGCAACGTCCCTGCTTTGAAACATTGACTGTGATAGTGGAAGGTAAGGCAGTTTTATCACAAGAAAAAACTGTGACTGTTATTGCTCGTGTTGTGTTGAACTGAAGCGGCAAAGACAGGTACATGAAGGGATCAAATGTTACAGAAACCTTGTTGCAGATTGGACACACCAATGTTGACTTATATTGGCCCTGTGAGGTAAGAAACAGAGTAAGAGAATGAGATTCCCCACATTACTAAAAATTTGAAACCAAAACAAAAAATAACAATATACCCTAAGTCTAAAAATCAGCTACATAGAAAGTTGATACATGATGGATGTGCACTCACACAACCGAGATGAACATAAATATCAAGACTAAATTCAATAAGCACAGAGAGACAAGTTATGTACCCATTTCAAATACCGCGTTTCTGTGAAAATTGCAAATGTATTTTTACTAGGCCAATTTAACTCTTTTGATATAATTTACTTTCTAAAGAGCCACTAATAAGGACTGGAATGTCGGTTACTCGTGTCTATTAGTTGAGTGACCATACAGCAGATTCCTAGACGTTATAGAGTCTAACCAAATGTCTATTAGTTAAGTTACCATACAGCAGATTCCTAGACGTTATAGAGTCTAACCAAATCTCTATTAGTTGAGTTACCATACAGCAGATTCCTAGACGTTATAGAGTCTAACCAAATGCAAGCCTAATCCATAATACTAGTATCAGTTTCAATGCCCAATATCATAGAGATGAGTTGATACACAGAAAAGCGTTGGATTTTCTAAAAGATATACAGCTGACCTGACAAACATCAACAATTATTGAGTCATTACGAGCAATATGATTAGCCCAAAACTCATCAGCAACTTCTTCATCAGGGCGCCCATCTGCGTCTCGAGAATTTATATATGGTTTGTGTTTAACACGATTTAGGTCCTCGTGAAGACCATCAAGCAGAAACGCTAAAAGCTCCTGCAAAATGAGAACCCGAATTCCTTGAGCTACAACGCAAATACAGGTTAAAGAAAATATCTGGCTAGTCTCCCAAACCTGCGAATCATGTTGATTGTACCCACTAAATTGAGGAGCAAAGCGAGCAAGTTTAGCTTTGAATGGACGAGGTGCAATTGGTGTGCGCCCAGGAGCCCATAACTTCCTGAGCAAGTCACCAAATGCGAGAGCTAATTCTCCCTGTGCACAATGATTTCAATACAGTCAAGTAATGATCTGAAATCAACTACTCAATATTTTAGAAAGAAACAATGCTAGTGATCTACGCGAGAAAATGTCACTGATTACCTGCCAAGGAACACTACCCTAATCAACTTCTAATGTAACTTCTGATTATATAAGATGTCTTATATATTCCAACGTTATTCCACATGTATGCAAGATTAAGCCTATCAAGAATGTTTTGGGACTAAAGCACACCCCCCAAACATGCAGTACTGCAAAAGATTTTACATGCAACAGGGAAACACAAGTGAACCAGCATACCTATACACTTAAACCTACACACACACTTAGGTATCCATCAGATTTATGAGTAGCAAAGAACTTCAAGAGGAACTTACCACCATGCCAAGAGGGTTTTGCCAATTTATTTCTTGATGATAATCTTCTTGAAAGTAACTAGCAAACTCAGGTGTATGAACCAGACACTGAATCGCACTATTCATGAAACAAGTATTCCCGAGATTTAGCAGCCCTGTTAAGCCAGCTGTGGATCCCCTTGTGGTGACGCCAGAGCTACTGTATGTGCTATCAAAAGATTGTGAAACTTCTACACTACCAGTTCTGAATGCATTCCTGCTTGAAGAGAACCCTCCTGCAGCAGCCAAGCTCGATTTAGAAGGCTCAATGAGAATAGAAGTAGAGTCTTCATCCACCAATCCGTTCTCTTGAGCAGATTGAATGTGAGCACTTGATAATGTACCATTGATGTCAAGCACCTCCACCAAAATCTGTTTTTAAACGACAGACACAAAATCAGTGGGAAAGTTAATGAGTCAGTAAGGATACCGAAAAAGATAAAAGTCAGAGAGCATATTAAACCAAAAGCTTAGGCTAACTAAACAATCGGACTGAAGCATAAACATTTTATATTCAAATGTTTCCCTCATTGTCCAAATTCGCAAAAGCCAAAAATTAATAACAATATAAGAGCTCCAGCTAACTTAGTATTGGAGAAAGAGAACTATAATGCATTATCAATTCTATCCTCATAGCAATTGGCCAATAAGATATACAACAAACTTGGTATACCCAGAAACAACGTCAGAAAACTATGACAGAAGTTCAAATAGCAAATAGCTAATAACATTGAAAGCAAAAAAAGAAGAAGAAGTGAACTCACATCCTGATCCATTTGTAGGTTAGCATCGTCCAGTGTCTTATCTAAGTCATTCATCAAAGAATACTTTTGGTGGCCGTAGTAATCCCAAATGCGTACCTACATGATAGAAAAGGCTCATGTAAGAAAGAGAAAGGGAAAGAGAAGAATACCAAAAGTATCATTGAAACGGGCTGTTTAATAACATAGGAATATCAGATCTTTACATGCTCTGAGTTGAGGTCAAAAATTTCACAGGCTCTTCGATGGAGCTCTCTGATAGTTTCCTGCACAACAAAGTTCGATAGTACAATGAAGTAGCAGACTAAATGAGTTCAGATTTTAAAGTAATGGACCAAGAAAAAAAGAATGAAAAGAGAATTAACCTTTTTGCTAATTCTTATGGAACTATGGTCACTTTTTGGCATCAGAAGTAGCTGAAGACGTAAAGGGTAAACCTCTACAGCCAACTCTGTTTGAGAGAGACCTGAGCTAATGACTCTCCGTGCTAGAGTTGGACCACCCCCGTACCTTATAAAACAGAAGCAATAATCCATATGAACCATATCATCAGTTAAAGTGGAAAAAGCCATGCTATAGTGTAGTAAATAAGAAGAGACTGCGTTATAAGTTTCATATTATGCATTACAAATTGAACATGAGAGAGAAAGCAACTAAATAACATCAGGTGCATACAAGATGAACTTGGTACAGCTACACATCTGTCTTGGCCTTGGCATTATCCATTTGAGGTACATGAGACAAACATGACCCAACATACCAAAGATAACCAAGAAAAACTGAAAGCACTTGAATAGAAATAAAAATAAGCCTAGCCCACACAAGATGGTAAAGATGTACAATTTCATATATGATCCATGCTTCTACCCTTAAAACTCACCATGAACGCAATTGGTTCCACACTTCTTGAGGGAGCAAAACATAGTCACGACCTTCCTGAAGTGTTTCAATAATCTCACTGGTATTACTCGGGTCCTCCAGTGAAGAATCATAGATCAAATCAGAGTTATCAATCCTAGAAGGCTTCTTTAGAGTGCTTGAACCAGGAGAGTCGCAATGCTCTGACAGTGAAGACCCATCATTTGTGTTACATGGTTGGTCTTGATTCACATACTCAATCCATTCTTGCCACCATCTGGACAGAAAGAGTAACAACGGAGAAAATGTTGGCACTCAGCAGAAGTACCATAAGAGAAAAATCAAACTTTATTACAATGGTTGCAATCTAAGACAATACCCATAAACATGAGTCAATAAAAGACAGTTCTTTGGAAAACGCTCAGAAAATCTCAAACTAATCTCAGGAACTGATAAAGATAAACCCAATCTCTAAACCCTAACTCTAACCCTAACCAAATCCGAAACCAAGGTAAGCACCACACAAAATGACGAAGAAATAGATATAACTCTAGGGAATCTGATAAACCCATAAACAAGAAAGCTACAAGTGACCATAGAGAGCAAAAATCAAGAGTTATAAACCTCTGAGTGATGAGATAAAATGTATCGCCTTCTTTGCTGTTAGCCTCAGCAGCAATAGCAATGTCTCTGATGAAAACTCGCTCTTCCTCGGGAGACAGATCCGTGCTGCTACTGCTGCTTCCCATCGATACTTCCGCCATATCTCGAAAATTAGGACAATTTTCTATTCAGCTAAGTCACCCTTTCGCGAATTCTAGCTATGTGGAGAAGAATCTAAGCTGATACAACGCCGAACAACCGTGCTTCGCCGTACGACTCCGGCGAGAGCAAAGCAAGGCGGTGAATATGATAAACCCTAACGGCTTTTTGGGGGAGACAAAAGTAGAGTGAGCCGCTCGCTAACAAAATGTCGGAAGCCTCTTTTTTTTTTTCTCTCGAACAGATCCTTGCTGGCTTCGCTCCTTGATAGTCATTTCGAAATAGGTCCCCAAAAATTCTACCAAGATTTATAATTTTTTAAAGAAAATAATAATTTTTGTTGACAAAAATATTTTTATTGCTTTTGCTAATTTGATATTTACAAATACTGACAGTGAGAGATAAACATAAAATTCATTTTGCCAAAAAAAAAAAAAAAACATTAAAGTTCACAAGTTAAAAAAAATAAAATTTAGAAAACTGGTCATTCAAATTTAATTATTGTATTTTTTTTGGACTGTTGTTAGTTAATTTTTTCTACAAAAGGTTGATTTAATAACTTTTTCTTTTCTCAAATCTAAAATTTAAGATATGTGTGGAAAACTTTAAATAATAGTTGGAAAGAAACATTTACTAATAAACTAAATTATTAATGCGTAAATTTTAAATTGAGATTAATAATTAACACTCCGATTATAGGCCTGGTCAATTTACTCAACTTGGAAACTCCATCTCTCTTCTTCTAGAACAATAAATAAAAGTAAGCTCTTTCTTGCGAATCTGAGTTTATACTAATCCAATCTCTCTGTTGAGCTCAGGTAAAGAGTTGTTTCGATTCACCTTTATCTGATTATTTCTTCTTGGGTTAAAGTTTACTCTTTTATCTCGTTTTCGCTGATTCGTCTTGTTTTCCTTTCCGATCCTTTTGTCTCTGCTTCTTGCTCTTATCGTTATCTTCTCCATCTCACTACCTTTGCGATTTAGCAGCTGTATAACTTTTATATATGTTCATTTTGATGCAATTCAAGGTATTAAATTTGTTTCTTGGCGTTAAATTTCAGGTTCTGAGGTAAATAAAGTCTTTTTCTTGAAATTGGTGGGTTCAAGAGATTGACGATAAGTTTCAGAATTAGGATGCAAGAGAACAAGGGTCATTACGTGCCACCTTCTTATATTCCATTAACACAGTCAGATGCTGATACTGAAGTTGAGACCACTACTCCAAACCTGGAAATTGCTGTTTCTGAAAGCACCAAAGACGATCCGATACAATGGTCATCTGGTATATGCGCGTGCTTCGACGATATACAGAGCTGTATGCTACTCTCTGTCCTCCAAACCTTCTTCATTTTACTTCAGGAACCAATTTTGTTAAAGGTGCCTCTTTGAAATGACCTGTGATATATGTTTGTCATGTGTTAGTGTGTGTGTTTGTGTTCAGATATATATTCATAAAGATAAGTTTGGTTCTGGTAAATAGTTCTTGCTGAGGATTTTTGGTTTAGAAGCATAGCCATGTAGGCTGGGGAAGAAAATTGTGTTGCTTGTTTATGTTTTGAGCTTTCTTGTGTTACTTCTCTTGAACTTGATTATGTTTTCTTGTTTATAGTGAAGATCATTTAGACACAATGGTTTGAAATGAACATTACAACTTACTGCAGTTGGTTTTGGATGCACAGGTTTAGTAGGTTTGTTCTGTCCATGTTATATCTTCGGCAAAAACGCAGAGCTTCTGGGGTCTGGAACATTTGCAGGACCTTGCTTAACCCATTGCATTTCATGGGCTTTGGTCAACACCATTTGCTGCTTTGCAACTAATGGCGCATTACTCGGTCTACCAGGATGCTTTGTGTCATGTTATGCTTGTGGATACCGCAAATCATTAAGAGCCAAGTACAATTTACAGGTTAGAATTACTCAACGACACATATATGTGGATGATACCATATCCTTCATTAGGTATGTGTGGCGCTTCTGACTAATGTAACATTCTTTGATGCAGGAGGCTCCATGTGGGGATTTTGTAACACACTTCTTCTGTCACTTGTGTGCCATTTGCCAAGAATACAGAGAGATTCGAGAACATAGCAGCGGCTCATATCCTCCCGACATGAAGATGGCTATCACCAATGCCCCCTCGGCTCAAACCATGGAATCAGCTAACTGATCACTTTTGTCTCATTGAGTTTTCTTGTTTATTTTGTAGATGACATTTTTCTTTTCATCGACTTTTGCAATGTATTTGAGAAGTTTGATGAGTAAAGTAACTTTCTAAGGTAGTTTATCATAGATATAAAAAGAATTTGTGAATCTGCCACAACCACAAAATATTGCTCTTTTCGTGAAGATTTATATCGTTTATTTAGTAGTGAATTCCAAAACATATTCTCTAAAATAATGTTCAATAAAATCTTGTGAGGACAGATAAGGTACCTCTCCCCGTATATAGGATTTTTATTTTACATAATACATCCAACAAAATCCAATAAGTTAGATCACACCGTCCGGTCATGTATTTTCTTCTTTCTCTTGCTGCTGTGTAGTTAAAAAGTCTCACCTCAATACAAGTCTTTCCAACGTAATGTATCACCAGTTCCACGGTCTGGTTTGTGATTTAGCTGCAAGATGTAGCGCCATTGAACCACTGCTACTGCTTGGACCGTTGCAGATACCAAGCCTGATGATGAACGAAGCTGTGCAGCCTTTCTCTAGGCCTTCGCTTTCTATCCACATGTATCCTCCCATTAGCCCGACAAACCTAACCAGAGACACCCATCAACAAAAACTTACCTTTTAGCTATTTGTGACACCATCTGCTTATAACTTATAATCACTTTTGGGTCGTTACCGTTTGCAGAGAGCTAGCCCGAGTCCTCCACCGGAATGGTTCCTCTGAGTTCCAGTCCGAGGCTGTACAAATTTGGTAAAGAGCAAAGGAATGTCTTGTGTGTGAATTCCACACCCTGTGTCCTTCACCTGCATCAAGATTATAACATTTAGAGCACAGTAAGAAGCTTAACTTTCTTGTAATTAATATGTTGATTTGGACTAACCTGCACGCATAGGTAGAAGTGACTGTCACTGAGAACTGGAAAGAATTCTGGAGATGGTAATTCTTGTAAGGACTCAGGTTTCATGATAGAGGCTATTATGGAGATGTAGCCTTCCTTGGTGAATTTCACAGCGTTGCCCATGATGTTGAGAATAGTTTGCATCAGACGTTTCTCATCACCAATAGCATAAGTTGGTAAGTCTGCAGATAGAATCAGATTCGTTGATAGTTTCTTCACCGATGCGATTGGCTTTATGAGAGAGATGACCTGCAGATTTATAGCGACCATGTTATATATAATGTAAGACATATAATGGACTTCACTGGTTAATCTGGGGGATTTAGTTACCTCTTCAAAGATCGCTTGTAGACTGAATGGTTCATTTTCCAAGAGTAAGCTCCCATCTTCCAATCTCGAAAGATCCAGAACGTCGCTGATGAGTGTAGCCACAAGATTGCTGCTTTTCAGTATTGTCTCGATCATAACTCTCTGTTCTGGAGACAGCTCCGTCTCAAGGAGGAGAGAAGACAGAGAGATGATGGCATGCATCGGTGTCCTCATCTCATGGTTCATGACAGCTAGGAAATCATTTCGAGCATGCACTGCCATCTCTGCCTCTTGACGAGCCTTGTCTAAAGCAAAATTCTGCTCCATAAGCTGGTCACGAGCATGCATGGATTCCTCCAAAATTGCAGCGTGTGAGAGAGCCACAGCCACCTGAATGAAGCGAGAGTCAGGGGACAAAACAAAAAAAACTAAAGGCTGGTAATGTAACTTGGCACACAACCAAACATATGCAAGTAAAGAGATTGACCTGATCCGCCACGTTTTCCACAAGCTCTAACTCATGGTCTCTCCATTTTCTTGCACCATCGGTTGGGAGAATCAGGACCATGATAGCGTAACCTTTTCCAGAGAGATCCGACCAGTCATTGCCTTGGAAATTAGAGAGATGTAAAAGAGGTACACGGACAGAAACAACCTCGGGAGGTGAATATCTCCCAACCGGAGGCCCAATCTTAGCCAAAGGACATGTATGAGGTATGTGCATTGCTTGAGCGCTATTGAAGAGCTCGTTAATAATCGGGAGATTTATCGGCACACTGCTTCCAACTTGTATTTTGTGACTCAAAGTATGAGAAAGCTGCAAATATAAACCACTTTGAGAAGGCATCCACAAGGCGCATTCCTCAAGGCAAAGAGTTTTACCGAGCTCAACAAGTGTGGTTCTTAGAATAGTATGTCTATCAAGAGTTCTTCTAATTCCATGAGTAAGCATCCTAACATGCCTACCAGTCTCCTCTTGTGTTAAAATAAGACCCATTTCTCTATCTAGCTCATCAGCTTTCTTCTTGAGAAACAATTCCCGGTTCTTGACACTGAGAAGATCAGGAATAATATGAACCAACATCAACGCGGTTGCACACGACACAACCGCGCAAGAGACTTTGGCAATAGTCATGACAATCGCAACAGCTTTGGAGTGCATGAAGAACATCCACAGGTTGATGAAATGTGTAGCTCCACAGAGAATGATAAAGGCTCCGAACTGCATAAGCACCCATTTGTAAGGGAAGAAAGCAGACTTCTGCACGAAATATATAAGCTCGAGTGGGATTGAGAAGTAGGCAAGAGCAATCAACGCATCGGAGATGTATTGGTACTTCACTAACAGATCATCTTGATTCACATGCGTCTCAAAACAATCGCATGACTCCATTTTTGGAGCTCTGACTTCTGTTGACCTGGTCAACATATCCAAACAAACATCACCAAAAACAAACTCACATATCAGTGGAGACTAGATTGGACTAGAGCTATGAAACATACTAAATCGATCCAGAAAATTGAATCTACAGATGAAATTGATTCCTCGATAACATAACACAGATCGTTCAGATGAAATGTTAAAAGGAGTGATTCAATCCTTATCGATAGATCCGATCAGAAGAGAATAAATAGAAAGTTGGTCTTCCCGAGACGGCACAGTACCTGGAAGAAGAGAAGGATTCATGGCGGCGGAGCTAATGGTGGTGTGAGCCTCATAGCTTTGGGTAATAATGAAAAAAGAAAGTTAAAGTTCGTCTTCCTGATTGATCCGAGCGTTATGAAGAACTTGAAGAAATGAGAATCAAAGCGTAACAGTGTGATAAAGAAGAAACCAATGAGAGGTAAAAGTTTTTGATGATTTTTTTTTTGCAATGGAGGAAGTTCACGTGTTATAGGCCTACTTGTTACATTTAAATAATAATATTATCAGCTCTCTTTTTCTGACAATGAAATAAAGAAAATCTAAAAGTGAGCTCAGGTTCATGAATCTGAGGGTTCGTGCTAATCCAATTCTCTCTCCGTAGACCTCAGGTAAAGACTTCTTTCTATTAGAAATTGCTATTTCTGAAAGCACAAAAGAGGATCCGAGACAATGGTCATATGTGTGGCGTTTCCGACTGATGTAACATTCTTTGATGCAGGATTGTATAACACACTTCTTCTGTCACTTGTCTGCCATTTGCCAAGAATGCAGAGAGATTCGAGAACGTAGAAACAGCTCATATCCACCTGACATGAAGATGGCTATCACCGATGCCCCCTTGGCTGAAACCATGGAATCAACTAACTAACTGATCATTTTTCTGGTCATCGACTTTTGCAATGTATTTGAGAAGTTGAATGTGTAAAGTAAAACTTTCTAAGGTTATAAGTTTATAAAAGGTATAAAAAAAGTTACAGCATTCGGATTCTACATCTGGAAACAAAAACCGGACAACGGTATTAGCTAAGGATATTACTTCATACCAAAGAGCAGGCATTTATTCTTTTACATACAAAGCCTAGAGGAGAGAAGACCTGCTGAAATATGTTTCAATCCTCAAATGTCTTTAAGTTGTCACAAGATGAGGAGCTCCTGATCGAGGTAGGACACAGGAGTATGTTACATACTTTGCACTGTCCAGGAGCACGACTACAAAAACTCGAGACAGTGATTTTGGTCCCCCAATCATCCCATCTATATCTCCATCACCGCCTTCTCTGGGATCAACAAGCACAGATACAACCATTGATGAGGCAGGCTTGATTTCTTTGCTACTGCTGTTTCTTTGGTGCTCTTTGGTGAGGTTAAAATCTGATCCCGGGAGTGGAATGGGAAGACCACGAAGGATTCTTCTGTTCTTTTGCTTGTGTGTCTCTGTGGTGTTCTTACCGTGTTCAGCAGAGACATTGGTTGCTGGAGATGCAGGAATGATGGCTCCAGAGGTTGAGGATACATCAAACTGAAACACTTCAGTGCACATCCCTGAACTAAACATGGGCCCTACAATATAGTCATTTAACAAACAAAAAAAGGTGTTATGATATAGTGAACAAGAAAGACGAAGAGAAATATACACTATGAGTAACAATATCACATGTTCCTTATTAGTGTTTAGTATCTAATCCAGATTATATAATACATCTACTCATGACAAGAGATTTGCTGAAGATACGTTAAGCCTCATTAAAATGTACTTGTGTCAAATGTCAAGATATGAGAAGGACTAGTATACCTACAATGCCTGCCTACATAATCAAGTGAAGGAAACCGAAAGCAAGATCAGAAACCCATGATTACCTGCAACACCTTCACGGAACCATTGCTGCATTTCACCGTTGGCTGCTTTTGTTTTGAATTGGTCTTTCAGGGTATCAGCAGAGCCAGAGGATAGAGCTTTCTGTTTTTCAGCCTTAGATCTATAGAGATGCTTAGCCATATCCTCGGTCCTTCCCACGTCAGGTAGAGGCAGTGCAGGGGAGTAATCTTTAGAGATCATCAAGTCAGCTTTCCTCTCCTTTGATTCAGAAGCCTTTCGCGAAGCCACAGCTTTCTCACTCGCCAATATAGAATTGATAATCAAATTCCCATCTATCTTTACAAGCTTGTCATTCCTCGGAACAAAGAGTGATGCAACTAGAGGCTCACTACCATTTCCAGGAGGTACGGAGCTCTCTGTTGCAGATATATTATTTCTTGTTCCTCGGTCAGAATCTCTCCCGCAACGCATCCCATTACTATTAGGAACCCCAGTACCAGCACCACTACGAGATGTATCCAAAACTCTATCCCTATGCTGACTGTAAATCTTGTCACTAATATAATTAGACCTATAGTTCCCATAAAAGGCACCACTAATTCCTCCATAGTTAACGTTCACAATTGGAGCCAATGCACCAAACAAAAATAGACAAAACAGAAGACCTAGAAAACTAATACTGGCCACCTTCTTGGTCTTAGCTTCACTCTTCTTACTCTCCGACTTCTTAGCCTTGGATGTTCCAAGAGTGTTCTGTGGTTTCAACCTAGGAATGGGAATCAAAGGCACTTGAGATCCTTGTTGCTTCACCATATAAGGCGGACAAGGCATCCATGGATAAGGCATTGGAGCCATAGGTGGATACATTCCCATCGGAGGTGGTGGAAGATGCGGCGGGCACATTCCATTGCCGCCCAATTGCTGCCTTAGAGTAGCATTCTCAGCCATGAAATACGAAATCTTACCGTTCAAATCCGTAATCGTGGAATGCATATTCCTAACCTTCTCTTCCAGCTCCTCCACGTAATGTTTCTTCCTCTGCCTCGAAAGCTGAGCACTTTCACGGTTTCTCATGAGTCTAGCTTTCTTTTTCTCATCTTCTTCACCGGTAACAGCACTAGCGTCTGCATCCTCTCCCGATCTCCTGTACTTACTGTTCCTAGACTCGTCAGTCAAATCCTCATCGATCTCTTTCTTCCTCTTGGTAATAGACGTCGTCGTAGTGGCAGCTTCTTCCACTTTAACCTTCTGGTCGACAACAACGTTTCTTGATTTAGGCGACGATTCATTTGTAGCTTCCGAAACATCAGAACCGCAATTACCCGAACCCTGAGACGACAATGGAGTCGGTAGATCTAAACTACGGTCAGCACCGGAGCAACGATCATCGGAATCCCGGTTAATGCAACCGGAAGTTGTAATACTCTTATCGACATCTTTGGGAAGAACAAGACAATCACCGGAAATTCCAGAACCTTCAGACTCCGGCGTAAAATCACCAAACTGTTCTTGATTCGACGTATTCACAGGGATGAGAAACGACTCATTCTCAGCAGGGAAGTAAAGATCGTCCATACCATCGAAAGTGAGCTCGAATTCACCATCGGGAAACCCCAGATCGGACATGAGTTCACCAATCGGAGTGTGATCGGAGCCAGAATGGTAGAAATGATCATCGAACGGAGGGATCGAGATGGAATCAAAATCGGACGGAGGAGGGAAGGTAGAATTAGGGTCAGGAGCAGGTGGAGGAGGCTGCTCCTCCGTGATTGGTTCAGCCATTTTGAAACTGAGATTTAGGGTTAGGGTTCCGAATTTGGGGAAGAAGAAGAAGAAGGAGAGATTCAAAAGAAAGAGAGGGGTTATGGAGAAATGAGGTTAGAACACGGGAGGAAGACGACGAGGGGTTTAAAGACAAAGAGGCAGAGGAAGAGGAAGGTGCTTGCTTCCGTCTTCGTCTACGGCGCGTGGGTCTTACGCACCGGAATCGCACTCGCTAACTTACACTAGTGATCATGAAACTTCTTATATATCCAAAATATATCTCTTTCTATAAATTAATGATATACAACAAATCTAGAAACAAATAGGGAAATTTATTTTGAATAACACTTTTACTAATAGTAGCTAATTTAACTTTTATGATGTGCTTGTAGGATTTCTAATTTTTTTGTTGACTAATTACTTATGTTTGAGTTTAAGATAGTAGTAATTTTAATCTAAGAAATTTATTAGACTGTTATTTTAAAATAATTGACTTAATAGCTCATTTAATTTTCGGTAAAATAGCAGATTTGAATTCTTGTTTATTTTTCATAAATTACGATATCAGCTTTAAACTTGGGGAATATATCATTTATGTCCAAAAAAAAAAAAACTTACTATAATTTTCCGTGATTTGTTATATATCTACTTTTTGTTGTTTTGTAATCATTTTCTTTAGTTCCAAATCTCGAATAGATTGAGTTTTATTTTATTTTCTAGCAAAGAATAGATTGAGTTTAAGATGACAACAAATACATATATGAATTCACCATACAAATAAATAATGATCTCTACAATTGTCTTGATACCGAACTATACGTGTGTCGTATAATAGAGGGAGCTAGAAAAGTAAAACAGAGCATATTCATTAGTTTGACGTTTCTAGTTATAGTAGTATCGATTTGGTAGTGAAATACACAGAATACTCATGCTGCATGTTCTTGACTTTTGGGAGATCGGGATTTGAAGGTTAACGGGACACCACCAAATGATTAGTTTTGTCACAAAAGAAAGTAGCCCTGAGGAAGAAAAAAAAACAAGATTTGTAAGAGACTCAGTCCAATGACAAGAAAAGTTGCAACAAATATTTCAAATAATGTTGGTTTTACAGTGATACTAGGAAATAACATAAAAGAGTTAAAAAAAAATTTTGAACTCATTTATTTAGTGATTTATTATAGAGCAAAATATGACATTAATAATTTTTAAAGCATACAACTTTAGCTATCTAAAAATTAATTTTTTGTAAAATTTTAAATAATGTTAGATCACTGCTTTCTCCACTCCTTGATCATGAGTTTTTGTAGAATTTTCTAAACGTCCAAGCAACCTTGGAGTTCCCGTCCCTTGTACTCTGTATACAACTTTAGCTATCTAAAAATTAATTTTTTATAAAATTTTAAATAATGTTAGATCACTGCTTTCTCCACTCCTTGATCATGAGTTTTTGTAGAATTTTCTAAACGTCCAAGCAACCTTGGAGTTCCCGTCCCTTGTACTCTGCAGAGGAATGCATCATACTCGTATAGAGTCCACTCGTGCATCCTCCAAATGTCTAGCTTCTTTGGGAGCTTAAGTATTGCACTGAAATGAGGAGGGTTCTTCTTCATGCATCGGAGACTTGGCAACTCTTGTTCAGATCCAGAGCTCTCAACATCTTCGTTCACTAGAAAGCAAATAAGAAGTCTTAAGAACAAGTAACTGAAACTATATATAATTATATAAATGCTAAAAACATGCTACGATTGTAGAGTTCTATTAAGATCACTAAGGTACATGGGTGACCAAGACGCAAAGTACTAGATCTGATGAGGTACTCGTCGTACGGTGCAAAAGTAGAACGAGGGTTCATTGTTTTTTGTATGTGATCCAGTTGATTACATTCGTATGCATTCAACAAGGTGAAGGAGAAGGTTATTTTCAAGAAGAAAGTAAGAGTTCCTAAAGGTCTTAACGTTCTCTCATTAACTTGTTTTGATGTTATATAGTAAATACTTAGTATAAGACTTGGTTTGATGATTTGATGTAGTTTAAATATGTATGTTTTGGATAACTTATTTAATATACATTTTTTTAATAAATTCAATTAAATATTTTATGTAAAATAGGATTAAATATATGAAATAAAATAGTATAGTGCATAAAACAAGAGCTATATATATAATATAATACAACAAATATAAAGTGCTACAACACAATGTAATACAACATTAAAATTATTCTACAATAATGATAATCATTGTACAAAATATATGCTAGAATATGTAAATATATGATAGCATGAACATAAAACGCTACCGTATATGACCACCCTAAGATGGTTCCGGCAAACACAACGTTTATGAATCCGCTATGTAAACAATATTATAGCGTTTTTCGTGTGTTAAAAATGCCCATATTTCTTGTAGTGTATAAGCGAGCCACACAAACAATGCGGGGGTTAGATTCTTTATACTCTCCAAAAAAATAAAATTTCAAAGTAAGTAATTTGCATAATCTTTGTTAGAACTACCGAATAAATATTATTATTTTTTTTGGAGAAACGATTTATATATTTGATGCATTATCGATCAAATTAAATAGTAATTAGTATAAACATCAAGTTTTAAATATTACTATGTAAAAAAGAAATCTATTGACTTTTCGTTCACGTTCAAACAATGAAATGAAAATCCGCTATGAAGCAAAGGTTATCACTTCTAACCACAGACGTTTTTTATAAAAGTCATCATTATCACATTTGTTCACAAGAGAGATTCGCCTATCATCAAAGACTAACACTTTGAAAAAGTAAACCCTTCGATCTCACACGTTTCTTGGGAGATGCTTGCAAAAGAGAGGTGCTAGTGGGTGCAATTGTAGAATTAGAAATAAACATGTGACTGTGGTCCGTTATAAAAATTTAGAATAAACAAACTAATGTATGCTCGTTTTTTTTTTTTTTTTTTTTCACCACTAATGTATGCTCGTTTAGATGCATGGTTTTTATAGGTTTAACCACAAATAAGTTTACAGTTTCGTTAGTTTTTGTTTACAATTATATTACATTTGTCTTGTTCGAGTTTTTTTTCATTGAGGTCGAGTGTTAACAAAAACAACAACAAAAAACATATATGTATATATATATATATATATATATATATGTTTGTAGATAACTATATCCGTTTCACGATTATTTTTTGGACGTTTAGAGAATTCAGAATTCAGATGAAATCTAAATCTTTTGTAATACAACGAAATTGGATCAAACGTTTTTTTGATGGTTGCAAACGTGGTGTTTACAGGTGCTTGTTGAAAAACCAATTAACCAAACACTTAAGGTGTGAATGGTACAATGGTATAAGCTTTAGAAATTATCAATCAATAATATGAGCACTCTCAAAAAAAAAAAAAAAAAAATGAGCACTCTCACTAGATTAAATAGCTCCCACAAGGCCACACCAATTTATTTAAAAAAAAATAAAAGCAGTAAAGTTTTTAAAAGTTTTATAGAAAAAAAAACCAACATTAAAATAGTTATCTTCCCTCTCAATGGGTTTGAGGGAGAGAGAGAGATAAGATTTGCGTCTAAAAAAGAAGAAGCATTGCTCTTCTCTCTCGTCCTCAATGCTTCGGTTTCAATCATCCTCTTCCTCTTGATTCTCTTCTTCTCTTTGCTGCTAGAGAAAAAGAATCAAGCTTTAGAGGAAGCAAGGACCTATTCAGAAGTTTCTATCAATCTCTCATGGACACAGCCTTGACCTCAGAAACAGGTTGTCCCGTTATGGCCGATAAGGGATTCATGGTGGATCCTTTTTTGGTCGAGGCTCTTCAAAACCCTCGACATCGTCTAACGAGTAAGCTCTTTCTTTTTGCTCTTTTGGTCTTGTCTCTGATTCGTGTCATGACCTAGTTTCCTGAAGTTACATTACAATCTGTATAGAATTGGAACTTTTGTTTATCTGCTTATCTTAATTGAGCTTAGAATCGTGGTTATGGATATGGGAGAGAACGATTGGTATTCTCTGCCTATCTGGATAGAGCCTAGGTTGATTTAGATCGTGACTAGTGTTATTGAAGTTGGAAGCTAATTTAGCAGAGGATACATCATACATGGCAAACCCCATAACTAGGAAATAGGTTTTGCAATAACAATGTTTGTAATCTGATGTTCTGATTGTTAGATGTGAGATTGTTTAGAGTCGTAGTTATTTCTCTTTGATGGGTACATATGCTTGTTCTTTATCTGATTCTGCTGGTAGTGGGTGGTGGATATCTCATGGACTTTCGTTTTCTAAGCCATTTTTGTTCTTGTTATGTCAGTTTTGCGGATGGAACTTGATATTCAGAGGTTCTTCCAGAGCCCTGATCAGCAGCAATTCGAGTTCCAGCATTTCCCTACATCTTATCTACGTCTTGCGGCCCATCGTGTTGCTAATCACTATGGACTAATTACATCAGTTCGAGATGGTGGTGCAGATGGTTACGGGAGCAGAATTGTCGTGACTAAATCTACTGAGAGCAGATTTCCTGCTGTTCGACTATCTGAAATCCCTGTGAAACAATCAGAAACTGGCAAGTTTGAGCACATGAAAGTTGCTATAAAGCCTCGACCTTCTAAAGGATCTGGAATGGAAGCTGGTGAACTGGAAAAGAAAGGTGGTCTTCTGAAAAGTGTTGAAGAGAGGAAAGAAGATTACGACAGGGCTCGAGCTCGCATATTTAACGGTCTTGCGGACCTTGATTGTAACGATTCTTCATCTGAAACTAATCCTTGGAGGGTGAACTGTAGTCCTAGGAGAGATGAAAATCAAGTGTTGAAGAATGGTAATATCGAGGCAGACAAGAACCACATCCCCAGGGAGAGCATTCCTGCATCTCGTATTGCAATTATCAGAGACAGAGAGAAAGATCGGTACGATCCTGACTATGACCGCAGCTATGATAGGTATGTAACGCATCCATAACCCAATGTCATTGCTTGTGCGATAACAAAGAATGGTTTAAACTGAAAACCTTGTGGGTTTCCAGGTACATTAGGAACCTCCCAGTTGATCAAACTTTCTGCTTGGCACACTTCAATAGTCAGAAAATGGGGACACCAATCTATGATCTGGGATTTAGCGGGTATAGCCAAAATCCAAGTGGTGCTGCTTCTCTTAACTTGGGTCAACATTCTGTCATGAGCCCCTATGTCACCACGGGTTTAAACCAGCCTTCAATGGATGCTGCTATGTACATGCAATGGCCAAATGCAGCAGCTGTGATGTATACTCATTCATATGACCACTTCAGAAACACCCCTTTTCAGGTAAACAAGTTTTTGCCTTTAAATTAAATGTTGTTGAATGTTGACCTTCCTAGATCACAATGTCACCCTTAAGAGTGAAGGTGGATTTTACATCACATCTGAATTAGTGATTATCAAGTGTTTAAAAAGGGTTTGTTGTTTCTGCAGGCGCAGTTCTATCCGCAGCCCCTTAGCTTCGATTACATGCAGAACCGGTAATCCCTTTTCTCATCATGGCTAATGATTTGTGTAATCCAAATTTTGAGACAGTTTTGATGTTGAAAATAGAACAAACAAAACCTTTTGATTAGTGTCATTACCTTGTCTTTTATTACTATGTAATGCTGAAGCATTGACGTAACGAAGAACCGAAGATAATTAAAACGAGCGATTGTGGTGAATACAAATGATAACATCATACAAAGGTTAAATAAATCGTTCGTGTAAAAAATAATATACACTAACAATACATTATTAATCCTGACGAAAAATGCAAATTACAGAGATAATCCACATACCTTAAACATTATTACTTTCATAAATATGAAGTTAACAATTCAAAATATTTCATCAATTTCCGGCAGGGAAGAGCTTAAGAATCTTCCTACCACCATCTCCATGACCATATTCCGAATCTTCATACCTCAGATTACGAACCACTTGGTTTTGCTGCGTAATCACATGTTTCCCCAAATACGAATGCTGTAATGGCGGCATCAAGTACTCAGGGCTCAAGAAATCCACCGGAACCGGTGAGCTAGCGAATAGCCGATCGGTAGCCGAATCGGAGACGATGACGTGTCCACCGGAGATTCCGTTACCGTTCCCGCCTTGCATTCTCCTAAGGTAAAGACGGTATTTCTGAAGATGACTCGCAACGTTTTCTCTAGTCAATCCTTCAACGCTCATTAGCTGCATTATCGTCTTTGGAACTGCGTTTTTGATCCCTAAATGTCCCACTGCGTCCACAAAACGTTTGTGTAGCTGAGGCGTCCATACTAAACGCGGTCGTTTCAACGTTCTTGCTGGCTCTCCTCCGATTGATCCTGAACCAAGATCCGTGGAATCACCACCGCCGAAATCAGAATTCATCATCATCGGCGGAGGAGTTGGAGTTGGAGTTGGAGTGGCGGATGGTTGAAGCTTTTGGTGGTAAATCGCGGTGGTTCTTTTTGATCCGAGATGATGATTAGGACTTCCGATTTGGAAAGCGAGAGCTAGATGAGGAGTGATTAAGGTTTGAGAGATAGGGATGAGTTCTTCCGGCGATGGAAGCTCCTCTTCCCATCTAAGGAACCAATTCGGATTATCTTCTCTCATTTTAGCGGCGGTGATTGTGACGACGGAGGAGAGAGGTTCGAGGTGGATCTTTTGGTGAGGAAAAAGAACAGCAAAGTAAGTAGTAGTTATTATTTGTGAATATTGGCTAGATTTTATATACGGAGGAAAGAGACTGATTGGCTGATTCCATTTCTCTCGAATAATGTGTTAATGGGGTTATGGAACACGGAATAAATTGATGATTCTTTATTAAAAGATACACAAAATACAAAGAATAAGAAACAGGATAATTGAAAAATCATAACTCAAAAGTAGTAAGAAAATAGTAATAATGTGAGCATATGAACTGTCATTGTCATACATGGTTCGGTTCATGGCATCCAAATTGCCAGTTTTTGTGTTTCCATGCGAATTGTTTGCCTCAAGATTTTATTTATTTATTTTGTATTTCTTATTAGTGATATTGCAATAATTCTTAGGTAGAAGGCAATAAAACAAGTAACTTAAGAATTGACCACATAAGAATGCGCCAATAGTTGAGCCGACATGATTAGAATAAAAGTTGTAAATAAAAAGAATATGATTAGATTACACCGAAGGCAGAGAACCTTATGACAGAAAGAAGAAATCTCAATCTTACATTAATATAATCATTATGTTATGTCCTAGTTAAGACGAAAACTATAAATCCCGAATCTTTCTATAAGTTTAAAGAGCGATGATTATTAATTAAGGATATCTCAAGCTGAAAGTGTGATAGAAAAAAAAAGAAAAAAAAAAAGGAAGAAGACGACAAAAACAGTTAAAGTTGATAATTGAAGGGATTGGTTTTACTTTTTGTTTGTTTGGATCTGTCATTGTCTTATGTGTTTCGGAGTTATGGTCCGAACCATCAGAAAGATTCTTGGCTTTCCACGTGGCGCGTGGTTTCTCACGCGTTCATGTTGCGGGTGGTGTTATTGGAAACAGCACCTTGTCGTACAATTGGTCTGAAGTACGCATGAGATTCCACGCGCAGACATGGATTAGGTTAGGCAACTTTTGAATAATTTTTGTATTAAATTAACTTCAGTTAGTGGGTTAGTTGTCTCTTAACCATGCGTGTTACACTTTTTTCCATTTAACTTTTTTTTTTCTTTTCTTACTATGAATTTATTTTAAATCTTGTAATTGTCCTTGTTATTGCTTTTTTAAAAAGTCTAGATATCACATTTTCAAAATATATCAAACACCTAGATTATTTTAGGTATTTAGTATTATTTTTTTCAATAAATGTGCAAAACAACTTTAAAATCACTTACACTGAAATTTGAAGATACATGGAAGTTTAATTGTATTGGTATCACGACTTATATATAAATAAACTATTACAATATGTAAATAGATTATAACACAAAAGTATGGGCTGAGAGTGGGACTTGTGCTGCATTAACATATAAATCAGAAAACTTTTTAGGTATGAACTATGTACAAGTAGTAGAGTGGTGTGAAATAATTAATATTCCAATTTTAGGTTCGGCGTGTGATGCGAAATAGTAAGGAAGCTAAATCTGATAGCTCAAATTTATATTTGGAATAAAAAGGTCATAGAGTTTCATATAACAACTATCCGTTTATGGGAAACACTATATATGCTCCAATTTATGTAGGTGGTCGCAAATAAACCATATGTGATTAGAATTTCTTTAAATTTATCCCAAATGAATAGAGCATATTTTATACATTATTTTGAGTGAAAGTAAATCTAGAAACCAAAATCTAACATGATAGAATGGTCGGTTGATCAGCGGCGAGTCACAACTCAATTAAGCGGACTAGCAACTTGTACATAGTAACTAATTGACCTAATAATAATTTTTTAAAACAACTTGCTTTTCTAACCTAAATTTTATCCATTTTACAATATTAAATTTTTAGAAGAAGCCCAAAATGAAATAGACTAAAATGACTAGTGGCCAACCCCTCAGCACCATCTTGTATATTTTAGAAAATAAGAAAAATGAGATAAGGAATCTTCTTCCGAAGTCACCAAGACAATAAGTGAAACCAGACAAGAACTGTCCCCTTGATTTCCTTTGCACCAAATTATTATGGATTTTTATAAGCGATCCTTACTTAAGGCCAGTTAAGCACAAAAGAGGGTTTTTATGCAATATCCTTTTTGGCGAAAAAATAAATAAAGATGCAATATCCTTTTTGGAATAATAATGTTAATTTTGTTAAAACAACAACTTAAAACCTTTTTTAATTCTTGAAAAATGAAAATACATTGCGAAAAGCAGAATGATTTAAAGCGGGGAATCTTTTTTCTTTTTAATTGTGGGAAAGAATAAGATAATTCATGAACCATGTGATGCCCATGTTTTATTATAACTGCATGGGCTCGGGCTTTCTTTTTCTTTGTTTGTTAAGGGTCCAATTTCGAGAGTAATGTACTAATGTAAATCCACATTCTGTTCTCGATCAGTGACAATAAATTTTGTGTAGTTTCACTGACTTATAGATAGTTAGAGAAATAATTGTTTTTGTTTTGTATTTTTAAGTGATGTTTAGTCTAGACATTGAAAAAGGGTGAATTGTGTAGTCTTAGTCTCATTAATGTTAAGCATAGCTGTTTTTAATTCACTGTTGTTGTTTTTAAGAAAGTAGAAACATATTATTGCATTAATCAATAAGAACAATTATATACTATGTAGTCCAACAAATCAAAAGTAGTCAATAACATGTAACATATACAGAATATTACGAATAAGGAATTTATTGTAAAGCCAGACGAGCATGCAAAGAACATCCATGAAGAATTCTCTTCCATATGTTTCCAAACATACCTTTAAATGCCATCACATCATCTATTTTACCCAATCAATATGACCTTGAGATCTTCGGTTGTGAAAATTTTCAATTTTGATTTGGGAGATCTTTATCAACTATCCCTGAATCCTGATGTGGGACAAGACAAGTAAGGAGAAGCTGCACAATTAATTCCATAAATTTGGAGCATAAGTGGGCCGTCATTGGGTAAGATCTGGGCCCATAATGTACGAAAGTTGTCTAAAAATCTAACTACGATCTCTAATAATTTGATTCTCATTCAAGTTTCGCAGTTAATATTTGGCATTTATCATGATTTTTTTATTTGTTCATACGTTTATAATGTTGTTCATATTTTGGTATTAATGTGTTTCTTACAAATGAAATGTTGTAAAACAATGAGAAAATAATATAATTGTAGCTATTTCTTCAAAAAATCGCCGGCGTTTAAGATTCTGCTTGTAGCTAAAAACGATTCAGTGCCTAATTCCATACAATAAAGTTGGAGAATGAATATACACAGTAAGACCGCAGTCTTTCTTCGGCCCCTACTAATTTTATTATTTGGTTTTAATTTAATAATTGTTAGTGTTTCGTACTTTTGACCTGTCTTGTAATTAAAAAATACATAAATAATATATATTCCCAAACAAACTACCCAAAGAATTTTTTTTAAATAAAAAAAAAAGGTAAGAACACAGGTCAGCGAGTTGGACTCATCAGGCTTAGAGAGAATCGTAGAAGAAAACGCGAAGACAAAGCAATTGTTGGTAATTACAAGAGAGACTTGAAGAAGAAGCTTGAGGATTGGGATTTTCATTTACTGTAATGGAAGGTTCGTTGCTTTCGTTCTTAGCTCTTTTCAGATTTTCTTTTTTCCCCGTCTGAGAAAACCCTAGATTTTCCCAATCTCGAGAATTTGGATTTCACACTAATTTATTAATCCACACTAGTGAATTGCTTCTTCGGATCAGCATTATCGTCACGAGATTGTCTCTGCCCTAAATCTGATTTCGATGGTGATTAAGAGAGACCCGAATTAAGGGGAAATTTGTATAAATCTGAGACTGAAGTAGTCTTCTTTGGAACCAATATTAGTAACAACTATTCAATTGTTTGAGTTTGAGTTTTTGAAGTCATGTCTGTTTGTTCTTACAGGTAAATCTCCAGACCTGGAATCGATAGGGTCTGGTACAACAACAAAAAGGTCAAGTGTTTCATCAGGAAGTCGTTCTCGTGTCCGTAGAGATTTCCTTAGTAGATTCACTGACAGTTCACATTTCACTGAAAAGCTTGAGGATTGGTTTGCTTCGACATTGGAAAACTCTGCGACGAGCAATGGACCGTTCTTTGATGTTCCTTTTGAGTTGGTTGAGCTTCAAAAGTTTGATTATGCTTTGGAAGGGATTTCTTTCCAGCAGCTTACTCGGATGCCAAGTCCTGTTTACGCTTCAACGTCTAATGCTCTGGAGGCAAAGTCATATCTAGCTATAGAGGATTTTTTACACGCCACTGTTAAGAGCTTGTGGGAGGCGTTTTGGAGTCAGGATGAGCCTGTTCCTTTCTCTGTTGGTTGTTTATACAATCAGAATCTTAAGTTTTATCAGGCTGAGAAAGCTTTAGCTCTTGGGAAGCTTGAAGGTCTTTCTGCGACTGGTATTTTGCTGAAAAATCCTCGGCATCCACATGGGAAATGGGATCACATTCTTGAACTTGCTCTTCTAAGGCCTGACATAGGAAGTTTTGCACAGGACAGTGATCGTCTGCCTTCTTTACCTGTCTTAGGCGAGGCTCTTTTCTATGCTCTCCGTATACTTATTGCAAGGAGTGTGAGCCGTTTAGATTTTTCTCAAAGCTCAAACTGTGTCTTCATTCTTCTCGTTGATTCGCAATATGGAGGTGTTGTAAAAGTCGAAGGGGACGTAAATAAATTGGATTTTGACTTGAATAATGTTTATGAGTGCGCAGCAGACTGGATAAAGAAGCATTCCAAGATAGCAGTGTCGCCAGTTGACAGAATATGGAACAAGCTGGGAAATGCCAACTGGGGAGACATCGGTGCTTTACAAGTAGTCTTTGCCACTTACCACAGTATAATGCAGTACTTTGGGGCACCCAGGCATTCTATTGAAGACTTAGCTGCTGACCATAGTTCTCGCCTTCACTCAAGACGACAGGAGAGGCAGTTGGGAGATACTAGTCTCAATGAAAATGGTATGTTTAGGTTCCAGCACAGTACCATGTCTCCTGAAATTGTCGAAGTTCAAGAAGAATCAACCAAATTTGAGCCTGAACCTTCGATGAAACTGGAAGTTGGATCGGTTCTGTGGTTGGAGGAGTCAAACTATCAAAAAGGCTATCAGATTAACGAAATATTGACTAATGGTACACTCCCTTATCATATCGCATCGCCAGTGGACGATGCAGGGAAGTCTGTGTTTCTGTATGTTGGTTCTCCTCCTTCACAGCTTGAGCCAGCTTGGGAAGACATGAACTTGTGGTATCAGGTCCAAAGACAAACGAAGATATTAAGTATAATGAAACAGAGAGGACTGTCTAGCAAATACTTGCCGCAGCTCCATGGGTCTGGTCGGATCATTCACCCAGGCCAATGTCAAAAACCAAGTTCAGGTGGACGATGCGATCATCCTTGGTGTGGAACTCCCATTCTTGTGACTACTCCTGTTGGCGAGACAGTAGCTGATTTGGTTAACGAGGGCCGGTTTGGTCCAGAAGAAGCTATTCGATGTTGCCATGATTGCTTATCTGCACTTTCTTCATCCTCTTCAGCTGGAATTCGACACGGTGATATCCGCCCAGAAAATGTAGTTTATGTCACTTCTGGCGTAAGACATCCTTACTTTGTACTAATTGGTTGGGGTCACGCGGTGCTTGAGGATAGAGATCGACCCGCAATGAATCTTCACTTCTCCTCGACTTACGCACTCCAGGAAGGAAAACTCTGTGCTGCCTCAGATGCAGAGAGCTTGATATACATGCTTTATTTCTGTTCTGGAGACTTCCCTGAATTAGATTCAGTCGAAGGAGCTCTTCAATGGAGAGAGACCTCTTGGTCCAAAAGATTGATTCAGCAGAAGCTCGGCGATGTCTCAACCGTTTTAAAAGCATTCTCTGACTATGTTGACAGTCTATGTGGGACGCCATATCCATTAGATTACGATATTTGGTTGAGAAGATTGAAGAGGAATCTTTCAGAAGATCATGGGAAAGAAATTGAAACTTCAGGCTAAGCTCTTATATAAACATCCGATTACTTTTGAACATTCTTTCAGGTGCTCTCTCTGCTTAACCTGTCCGAGACTGGAAGCCTCACGATGAGACGTATCCTTCGGTTTTGCCAAGTCTGAAAAGTTTGGGACCTTGTTCTGTTCTTGTACAGGATCTTGGAATGGATTAGATTCTGTGTTTTCCCTTCGCTGTTAATGTTCTGGTCCTTATTATTATTATCTTGAGAGTGATTCTCTATTATTTTATTGTAAAGGTGAGAGCTTTTGATCCCATTTTGACTTTGTGTTGAACTTTACGAGTTTTTCCTTTCATTTTCTGTGTTTTCTTAACCTAAATGTAACATTGATTTTGTTTCGGCTCCGTTATATTATTTTCACGTATTCAGGAAACCAAAAAATGAGTCAAGGACAATGAAGAAACTGTTTTGAATAACCCTGTAATGCAAGAAACCCACGCCACAAGCCCACAATGACTACACTTGATTCTTTCTGCTACCTTTTTCTTTTGTCTGAGTTGAAAAGTTTACTCGTTGAAGACAAAAAGCGATTAGCTTTAGAAACAAAGAGAGTATAGTTTACACAAGTCAACAAGCATTTTTCACAGGCGCAAAGATTCTGCAACAGATCTATGTTCTGATCCATGGTTTTGTTTTTTGTTGTCCTACCTCGATCTCACATCAATGCTCGAGTTTCTTGTTATATTCGCGGGTTCTTGAATCCCCGGGATGTAAAACGCGGTATTGGTCCCTGTGGTTCCTTCATCTAACCCTTTCTTCTTGACAGTTTCTTCGCTGTTGTTGTTGTTGTTGTTGTCATACTCCAGTGTCTGGAGGCGCAAACCTCCCTTACTGTTTTTGCAACCGCCAATTTCCATTTCCATATCATATTTATCTCCTCGGGGTCCAAAGGTTCGGTCTAGCTCAGATGCAATGGATCCAACCTCCTCGTCAGGTTCCTCTGGAGCCCAGTCTCTGAAGTTGGTCATGGGAGGTGGAATTCTAGCAAAGAACAACTCATATAGGTTCTTGAAGAGACCCTTTCCATAAGGGTTTTCTTTCTTGTCATACCGATACCGGAAATTCTCATAAGTTGTCTGAAAAAAGATAATAACAGAGTCAAAATTTGCAAAGATATAGCACAAAACAGAGCAGCAATAGTCAAATAAAAGTTAAGCTTCTTGCCTGGTTGGTGCAGATGAGGTAGAGGTGGAAAACAGTGAGCCCGCCGACAAACCAGACAACGACGAAGCAGTAAAGGATGAGAACAACAAATACTAAGTCGTTTGTGATGACCATTAACAACATCTTGCCGTGTACCTCAAGCATACTGATCCATGAGAAGACAAAGACGTACAAGCAGAGGAGTGTTGAGGTTGATATGAAACAGATGAAGTATGGATAGTTTCGCTGCAAAGACCGATATATGTTAATCACAGATCCTACTCACAGTTTTTGTTGCAGGATATTCAATAAAAGTATTTTGGAAGACTTACTAAAGCGATGCATTGGCCAACCCATGGACAATGATGATCAAACCTTTGAACACAGTTGTTACAGATTGAACAGTGAGAGGCGCGAGGAGGACGGTAAAGCAAACATGTATCACAAAATTTAACTTTGACAGTGTAACCATTCACCAGTATATCCTTGGTTCGAGGTATTTTTGTATTACCGAGTTTGTTGTTTACCCACTCTGAGGATTGAGTGATCATATCAAGCCCTTCTGCTTCAGGAGCTTCTTTGTTTCTAGGGATAATCCCTGGATCTCTCGATGATGTTAAGAAGAGAAATATAAAATCCTGCAAAGAAGATGCATGAATATGCAGAAAGGGCAACGAAAGCTCACAAAGAAAGAAACATTATTTAGGGTTTTACCAAGACAGTGAGCAAAAGTGCACCCAACAATACAAGAGAGTGGAACAAAGGATAGCGTTTCCCGATCAAAAACACCATTCGTATGCAGAAAGTGAGAGCAGGACCTCCAATCATAGCTGTTGTCAGAAGGAGCGAAGATGCATCTGGACCAAAGACTAGTCTCCCTCCACAAAAAAATCTCTGAACATAAAACAAGTCAATAAGCTTCAGACATTGCAGAACACTTTCATTTTGCTTATGTCATTTCAGATAAATTTTAGGTAGGCGATGATTCTCAATAAATTTTAGGTAGGCAATGATTCACAATCTACTAATCTCATTAAGGCCATGATACGTGGTTTGCAAGGCAAGTAATTGTGTCAGGCATTACAAAAGCTTTTTCTTTTTGTTTGTCAAATTCAAAAACAACAGAAAAACTTGCATTAGCGCAAAAGAAAAGGCTTACATTGTTGCCGGGCCAGAGTTGGTAGATCCTCTTGGGTTTATGATCTTGAGAAAACATTGTATCGTCATCGGAAGGAGCACTATGAACATGACAGCTTTTCTTCCTCCCCATCACCATCTTCTTCTTCCTCAAGCCTCAGACTCAACGACGAAACGCCCAAAGCGTAATCTCCATTGCCTGGTTTGTGTGTCCTCGTTGTCGCGGCCAGCGAACGAAACCAGAGATTTCAAATCGCTGCCGCAGGGCTTTTGGCTCCTTTCTTCCCCCTCGTCGCAAACTCTCTGCCTCTCTCTCTCTCCTCTCTGCCTCCACTCTCTCTCTCTCTTTCTTGCTAATTAAGGTTTGTGTCAAAGAATAGTTTCTCTCTCTTCCCCTTAAAGCTTTTTCCTCCGCCATTGGAATTTTTCGTCACACCAACATCCATTCTCTCTGGAACATCCTTAACATAGCAAATCTCACCATCACAGCAATTTTCTATCTTTTTCTCCTGATTTTTAGCAACTTTCTAAAAACCCTAATTTCGTTGCTTCTCCCGCACGCGCCATTTTCTGTTTCAACAATCAACAACCGAAACTATAAGGTTTCAAAATGGGTTTTTCACTTTGTAACGTTGTATTGACCACGTGTCCAATATTTTTGAGTTACAACCGTTAGAATTTTCAAATTCAATATTTGACTGCATCAACCAAGAATAAATAACTGTCCAATCTTTATTATAATATTTACAAATTTTACCACTAGTGTTATATATATATATACATAACTGACACAAATAAACACAAAATAAAATTCAAATTGAATAAAGCAAATAATGCAGCAAATAGATTATTCACAAAAATGTATATAATTATTTATAAAATAAATTATTGTTTTAATCATTTGACGAATAAAATGAATTTCAGCTAATTTGAATAGAATAAAAAATGTGTTAGATAATTCGTAATTTTTCAGATTTTGGATAACAATTTAATACAATTTGGAGTATATTTATTTAATAATCATTTCACGGGTAAACTAGTAAAGTAGTAAAAGAATGATTGAGAATTAACTACGTACAGCTTAGCAGAGATATCAATAATGGTACAAATTGATTCAATATACAACTCATTAAATTGTGAAGACTTATTGAATTACATCTTATTAGTTTTGGGTAAAAGAAAAGAAAATTGTTTTTGGTCAACATGTGTTTGTAAGAAAATTATGTTCTTTTTCAAACTTTGACCAGACACCCCTTTATATTACAAGATCATGACTACAACATACGAATCGTAGGGATTTGTGTCACACTATATATATAATCAGTAAACAAAGAAGAAGAAAAGAAAAGTTAAGAGATTATTAGAAAATGGCAATCACCATGAAAAGAAGTTTAATTGCATTTGTTTTCACTGTCCTCCTCATCATCTCTTCTGTTCATTGCCGTACGACAACAGCAACTAGTCCAGGTATTGGTATATCCTTATATCCTCATCTTATATTTATTAATGTTTTGTTTTTAATGAATGCACATATATAAGTATATACTATATTGAAACAATAATTTTACTAATAAATAGGTTATGGAATAAAGCAGCAGGATAGACAATGCTTCCTAGCAATAACACTATGTCGTGGTGGAGAAGGCGACTGCATTAATTTTTGTAGAGATCATGATTATTCTTATGGCTTATGTTTCCAGAATCCTCTTCAATGTTGTTGTCTAATTTAAAAACAAGTATCACTACATAATAAAACAATTTAATATTGGTCTCTGCTTAAAAAGTAACATCAATATTTTTCAAATGTTTTGATTGTCCGATACATAAAACCTAGCTAGAACAAAATAAATAAATATAAAATCGAAATTACTTTGATTAATATAAACCATAGCTTTTGCAATTTGAACAAAATCTCAACTCAGATCGAAATACAATTTAGATTTTAAAATAGATGATTTTAGAAATGTTTTTATGATTTGTTAAGATTTAGATTTTTGTATTTTTAACAAAATCTCTAAAATCTCTTAAAATTACTAAATTTTTTATTCGTTATTTCTTATCCACACTATAAAGTCCTTGACAAATTAGAAGAGTATCTAAATTGTAAAAACAATACACCCAGTTATCAAAACCAATGATAATTTGACCTCTCAATACCATACAAATTTTATTTGTCATATGATTTGTACTTAATTGTAAAATAAGAGAAAACAAATTTAGCTTTGGTTGATTTTATAATATAATCTAAGCGGAAAGAGTTTTGTTATACTTATGATTGTAAGAAAGATTTTGACCGTATAATAAAATAGTAAAAAGAATAATTGAGAATTAACTACAGCTTAGCAGATATATCAAAAATGGTACACATTGATTCAATATACAACTCTAAATGGTGAAAACTTATTAAATTACATTGTTTATTAGCTTTGGGTTATAAAAAAAAAAATCTTTTGGTCAATATGTCTTTATATAGAAAAATTATGTGTTTTTTTTTTTCTAACTTTGACCAGAAAATTTACCTTTTATGAGAAATTGAGAACTTACCCGGCCCGTTTATAGTACAAGATCATGTCTACTTGCCAAAACTAATATGATCCTATAATAACTACAGCATAATGACGATTTCCTAATCATCCCAATCATAGGGATTTGCCGTGATACACATACTCCAATAGTTTGTGTCACACTATATATATAATCAGTCTAAACAACGAAGAAACAAAAAAAAGTGAAGAGATTATTATAAAATATGGCAATCACCATGAAAAGTTTAATTGCATTTGTTTTCACTGTCCTCCTCATCATCTCTTTTGTTCATTGTCGTATGACAACAACTAGTAGTCCAGGTATTGGTTTATCCTTGTAGTCTCATTTTATGATATATTATCGTTTTGTTTTTAATGAATGTACATATATATATTGGGTTAATAATAGTAATGTTTATTAATAAATAGGTTATGGAATAAAGCAGCAGGATAGACAATGCTTCGAGCATGCACCATATTTATGTCGTGGTGGAGAAGGCGACTGCCGTATGTATTGTAGAGATCTTGATTTTTCTTTTGGCACATGTTTTTCTGGTGTATGCTGTTGTCAAATTTAAATACAAGTATAAGCAAAAAAAAAAAACAATTTAATACAGTATTTGGTATCTGCTTGGAAAATAACGTATCAATATTTTATCAAATGTTTTGATTGTCCGATACATCTTTTCTTTTTTGTACGTCGAAATTGAGATATATTGATTAAAAAAATGACTAAAGTCATAGTACAATTGTTCAGTTATCCAAGAAGGAAGATATACACAATCAGAAAAGAAATTACATTGTAGATACCCAAATTTAGCAAGTAAATGAGCTACTTTATTTCATGTTCTTCTAGTGAACTTAAACCTAACCTTCTGAAAAGCTTGCTATAGACGTATCATAATTACTTCTGTTGTCCGATACATAAATTTAAAACCTAGAACGAAATGAATAAATAAAACATCGAAATTACTTATGATTAATATAATGAATTTTGCAATATGAAAGAAATCTCAAATCAAATCGAAAACAACTTAATGATTTTAAAATAAATGATTTTAGAAAAATTGTTATGATTTGTTGTAAAATCTCCCTAAATCCTGTTTAATGAAACCATATGATTTAGTTTTTTTTTTTTATATATATATTTTTAACTTAGGTAATCATCTTTTTTTTTTTTTTTGAACACCTACTTAGGTAAGCATCTAAAATCTCTTAAAATCATTAAAAATCCAATGCCTACAATGCTTCCATCCAATAATAGTGGATTTTAAATTAGTTTTCCAAACCACTAGTTTAATGACACCGGATTTTAGAAGATCTTTTAAAATTCATGGTTAAATAACACAAATTATTTGAATACACCTTCTAAATACTGTATATGGGGAAACAAATCACATATTTAACTACCATATCGCCAATATATAAACGTAATTAGGTAAAAATTCTTGAATACACCTTCTAAATATATGAGGAAAACAAATCATATTCAACTATGTATAAAAGAATAAATACCATATTATTTGGGAAAAAATACCATATCACCGACACCAATGTTTTTTTTTCCGTCAACTATTTAACTACCATATCACCAATGTATAAACGTAATTAGGTAAAAAAAAAAAAAAATTGTTTTTGGTCAACGTGTGTCTAAATAGAAAGGATAATTCAAACTTTGAGAAGGAAATATATCTTTTACGAATAAGAACTTAATTACCCCTTAATATTACAAGATCATATCTACAATTGCCAAATAATCAACATAAAGACGAATTTATTATCATCCCACTCATAGGGATTTGTCGTGATACACATGCATGTCCCAATATTTAATCAAATAGATACTCCCTTGATCTTCCTTGGTGTATTACATACCCCAATATAGTTTGTGTCACACTATATATATAATCAGTCTAAACAAAGAAGAAACAGATACAATAAAAAAGGTTAAGAGTTACCATAAAAACGGCAATCACCATGAAAAGTTTAGTTGCAATTATTTTCAGTGTCCTCCTCATCGTATCTTCTGTTCATTGTCGTATGACAACTATTAGTACTCCAGGTATCATCAATTGGTTTCTTCTTATATCCCCACTTTGTAATTATGATGAACAAGGTTTTGTTTTGTTTTTAATTAATGTATATCTATTGTACGTTAATAATTTTGATCAACAAATAGGTTATGGAATAAAGCAGGACGACCGTCGATGCCTCCAAGGACCAGAAGGAACAACATTATGTAGTTCTGGATCAGTACGCGACTGCCTTAAGTTTTGTATAATTCGTGGTTATTCTGGTGGCACGTGTTCTACTCCTGATGAATGTTGTTGTCACATTCCTCCAAACTAAAATAATGTATTGGTTACATAACGTACATCTATCACGAAATAAATAAACTTTCGAAATTACTTTGATTAATTTGAGCAGTAGTTTCTGCAATTTGAACAAAATCTGAAATATATCGAAATACAACTTAAATCCTGAATGAATGTAAAATAAATAAGAAGTCAGTCCAATAACATAAATTGTTATGTAACATATTATTGGGCCGCGGCCCGGCTCAATATCTACTTAATATTAAGTTTATTAACAAGTCAATAATAAAATAATAAATAATAAATTAATTGAGAGGTGTTTGGAGGAAGCGGCCATTGAAGCGCCACGAAGTCTTCTTCTTCTTCCTCCAATAACAGAGAGCGATTCGTTACTATTCCAATTTCATTTTCGATGTTACCAACACGAGCTCAGATTCACGTACACCAATCTTTCTATATGCATTGTTATACACAGGAGCCATCGCGGATCTCAATTTCAGGTGTTTGCGATTCCGATTTGATCGGTTGAAATTTTTCCGATGGTGGATCATTACCAAGTTCTAGGCGTTACGAGAAACGCGACGAAGAAGGAGGTTAAAGATGCGTTTCGAAGATTGGCGATTAAGTATCATCCTGATAAGCACGCTCAGTCTCCGGACCATGTTCGTCGAAACGCCACCGTGCGGTTTAAGCTTGTATCGGAGGCGTACGAAGTTTTGAATGATGATCTGAAACGCGCGTCTTATAACGCTGGTAGCGATTCAGATTGTTTTCGTCGTACGAGCGGTTCGTATAGTAATCCGTATGGTAATCGTAGTGGTAGAGCGTCTGGTTCTGGTTATGGTTACGGTTATGGTTACTCTACGAGGAATCGTCAGACCTCTAGCTTCAGCAGCGGATTTGATTCGACGTTTCGTTATTTGACTACGCGAGCGTTTCTACTGAATCTCGCATTAGCTGGGTATGTGACAATTTGTTGCTAACTCTATTGTTAGATTGGTATCTGAATATTTTGCTGTAATTGGTGAATTTCTGTGAGAGATCTGGTTACAGAGTAGTGATCGATTCGAATTCGTGTAGGTGTGATGATACTAAGTTTTTTTGGTGCACGTTTATCTCAAATCCTTAATGTGCTTTCTTCATCATGTTCATTAGTCATTACTAAATAAATTGGCTTACTGTTGATTTGAGATTTATATTTCACAAATTTGAGTTTTCGTGATTAATTTGCTGGCTGCTTCTTAGTTATGGTCTTCTATGTGGCTTTTATCTGCTCAATGTTGTATCCTTATTCAAGTGGTGTCTTATCTTTGTTTTTCCAGTGGTTTGTACTTTGCATTTTCTGCGATTGATACAAGCGGAGAAACACTATGGAAAATGCGTAACTCAGGGGTGAGTATCATATTATCTATCAATGGTATCCTTAAGCTATTGGCTGTTTTGATAATCTTGCATTCTTGCCTTTTTGATCCTGGGATATACATACATTGGTGTTTCAACTGGGTTTTTCCATGTTGCTGGATGCATCTTAGTGTATGAATTATCAGATTTATCAGATTGAAGTTCTTGTGAACTAAATGTGCTTGATGATTATATCTCTGCGCATCTATTCGTGTTGCCATAGGTGTAGCTAGAATGAAGTCCAAGAATTGTAGCAGCTAATGGTGTCCACAAGCTAGTTATTTACATATATACACTAGATAACTTTAGAAGTGTGACAAAGGATAATTTGTTCAAACTATTGACTAGTGTATAAGCTTGGTGTTGTAGGTTGTGTACTGAGAATGATCAGTAACCTATATGCTCTTTGTAACATAATAGTACCGTTTATGAGAACATTTTTTGTCACAGGGTAGGGTTTGCAAGAAGTTATAGATGCAAAATGTAAAAATTGTAAGCAATGATCAATGTTTTCACATCACTAGGATAGAGAAAAATTCATCTTGCTAGACAACCCCACCCACGTGTATGATTTTATAACCGTAGAGTAAAATGACCATACTTATTACTGAGGATATTAATGGTTGGTTTCCAATTTCTGTTAATAAGAACAAAAGCATGTGCATCTCTGTTTGTTTACATGCTACATGATCTTTTCCTCTTCCTGCTTGGGTTTTCCTTCATCTGTATTTCCACCACAGCTAATAACTTTGAATATATATTTTCAGAAATCATTCGAAGAAGCAATGGAATCAATCGAGAAATCAAAGTCACATAAGGATGAAGGGTGAAAGAGAGGAAGCAAAGGTACTTCTAAAGACTTTGACTTCGACTTTTAAGCTTCTTCTGTGAGCCTGGTGGGTTTGTGTAGGTCATTGCTAGGGACCTTTTTTAGTTATTTATAAATGAACCTTGAGAAGTTGAAAAACCCTAATTATATTACTGTGACATGTTCTCTTGTGTTAGCCGCTGGACTGAACATATATCATGAAGAGTATTTAGATAGGTTTTTATTTTCTTGTAACGAATATTCATCTCTCCAGATAATATAATCGATTATGAGAGAAGTCCTAGTACACGCAATTGTATCTGAGTGCATAATGGCAAGCAAAGATGGGATGTTCTAATAAAACAAATACTGTGTTTTGGCATTGTATCAGTAATGGAGACATTGTTGTATTAGTGGTCGTAACGCATTGATTGTCTTATTTAAAAGATGCTGACAAGATATTTACCCTCCTCCGTTGAAAAATATCTTATGATTAATTTATAGTTTTCGCTATTTTCAACGGTTAGAAGACTCCTACACTAATGCGCATTATCAACTTCAGCTTCAGTTTCTTTTACCAACTAACCCCAACTTAGAGAATTTTGCTTTATCTCATTCAGATTTATAAATAAAAAGATCTGTGACTTATCCGCTAAATAATTTTAAAGTCAAAATAGAACATAGATTTGATCCATTACATCGATAAACAAAAACTATGAACAAGATTATTCATGAAGTGATGCAAAGAAAACAAGCCTAAAAGGTTAAAGATTACGTCTAAAACTAAAACAAGATCACATAACTTTCCACGATTCAAGCGTTGGAAATGTTGGGTAATTTTCAAAATCATCGGCAGAACCACTCGCGTTCGCCGTTGCAGTAGGCTTCCCCGACGGTAATCCTACGCCGCCGCTACCGGAGTAGGGGTTTCCCACTGCGAGATTCTCCTGGTGATGATTAGACAAAAATGCCGATGTATCGAGCATTGGAACTGCCGTGGATCGATCGGAAGGACCAGAAGGCAGTTTGTTAATGAGCCTAAGCGGCTCTGGCTTGACAATCGGATCGAACATCCCGAAGGGAGAATCATCGATGTACCTAGAGCCGGTCACTTGCTGAACCATCTGGCGAAAGTTGGACGGATCCGCCGTTATGAAAGTAGTCTGAGACTTTTTGGAAGCGCGAGAGCGGCGCTTGGTGGCTTTACCTTCAGTAAGAAGGCAGTTACGTTTCCGTTTAGCTCCTCCTCCGATGATTTCTGGATCAGATCCACAGGAGAGGTTAGAGGAGAGTGTGTTAGTAGTGGAGGAAGGGTGAGAAACTGCGGCGGAATCGAAGAAAGCAGAGGAAGGAGTGAGAGTATGAGGGGCTGCTGTGACGGTGGTATGGAGAGCTCTGGCGAGCAGATCGTTGTCGTGAGAGAAGGCATCAGAAAGCAACCATGAATCAACGTTGAAACCTTGGCGATATAACCAAGGATCAACGCTTGCTAATCCCTCCATAACCGGTGAAGAAGATGGTCACAGAGTTTCTGAAAGGAGGAGAAGAAGAAGTTAGAGAGAGAGAGGTGAGAAATGAAAAATGGGGCCGAGGGAAGTTTATATATAAGGACGGCGAGAAGCGATGAAACCGCGTTGAGCGGAGATTGAAAGGTACACGTGTCACAGCTTACTCGTACGGAACTTTGGTTCAGCTAGCGAGTGTGATTATTATTATAAAACAAATTAGATTGTTGTATTATGTCACAACTCACAACAGACTTATACAAAAATGGAGTGGATAAAATTGAATTAATGTGTCATTAGTGTGGCAAGCGAAAAAAGGTTAGCCAAGAAGAACAAAAAAGACTGAATGAATATCTTTTCATGTTTTATACAATTATACATATATACTTAGTTACTTACAAACACATTTTTTATGGATTCTCATTTTTAATGTGCGTAAAATATCCAAAATTCAGATAGTAAAAGTATTCAGACAATATCCTTTGCATTGATCCAATAAGAATATCTTCAAATTTTACATACATCCATTATACGCGGTGAGACATGCAAACAAGCCCCAAAACAAAAATAAATACAGAAAAAGGAAGGTCAATAACCAACGGCTGACGTTTAATTAAATGCTTGTTGCTCTCAGTGGGACCAAAAGAGTTAGAGAAATAGAATCGGTCATTCTCAGCTTCGGTCTTTCTTTTGTTACTCTCCATATCTTATTGTAGTGTACATCATATTTTTTTTTTGTCATCTGAGTATATATTAGAAGCCATCAAAAGGCCAAGAAACTGTTACAAAGGATCTTATACCAGGAGAACTGGTCACCAAAGATCTAACTAGCACCAACTCTACAAACATCCAGAGTGGTCTAAAGTCTAAACAAAAGAATGAGCAAAACCTACAAGAGGAATAGCCAATAGTACCAAATTGTACCAACAAACTCATTCAACCAAAAGAATGATCTCAAACACCGAGCATCAAACACCAAAAGCCAATACTCAAACAGAGGACAAACCTTGTTCATCACCAATATTGTAGTACATCATATATATAGTGGCTAATTTAACAAAGACTTTTACAAAATATGAAGTGATTTGCCTTTTGAAAAATAAAATAAAAAGATGAAGGTGATTTGCTTTATCTAAGTTTTTTATTTAGATTAGATGCTTATCTAAGTTCTTCATGGTGTGTTAAATAAATTGTACAAGTTTGAGCCATAATTTTTTGTTCCAAACAAAACTAATAACTATGCTTAGAAGTTTAAATTATATGCAATGAATTGGGTTATGGGAAGGGCCAAACATAACAAATGTCAAAATTAATTATGACTTTATTTTAAAGAGAAAAATGCGTTTATATGTATATATATGTGACAATGATATTTTCATCCTTTTATGGAGAAAAGTAAAAGAAAAAATTGAATATTGATTTTTTGTTTAAATCACACAAATGAATATTGATTAAAAACAATAAGGAAAAAAAACTACGATAATACGCGAGTATAAATGCAAACGTAAACAAATTTGGACATCTATATAACATTTCAATATTTTTTATATTCCAGTGACTAAGTTTATTTAGTTTATATATACTTCCATCGAAAATATATGAAAGTACGTATGTCGTACCTTGTAATTGTGCGACCTGTGATTTACATTCTTTTTCTTTTGGCGTCGCGATCGTGATTATCATACTCACTAGCTTGATTCAACTTGAAAATAAAATAAATTGATTATATGCTAACTTTAGACGACAAAGTCGTCTTGATGTAATTGGTTATACTATAGATAGTTGCTGTTTCCACCTATATATATTCAAAAATTTTGGTAAGCTCCAAAAAACTAACTGTCAAACTGTGTTAAATGACTCTTTTCAACGCGTTAATATGATTATGCATTTGCAGAATGAAGATAAACGCCATTCAAAGTAGGCCATGTATTTATATATATTTTTTATCTTCGTTTTGTGCGATTTTATAATGTTGAAATAGTTTTTAATTACAAAAGGTTCACACATTCGCATACATATATACCACTCAGCACACAAGATCTAAGATAGTCAACTATTGACTCACACGGTCACATCGCTTATTACGATTACTGATTATATACTTGTACGAGTCGTCGTCGTCGTCGTTTACAAAATGAAAAAAACACCAATTCTCACATTTTTGTATTAAACTTTTTTCTTACGGCTATAATAATTATATTTCCAATTTTTTCTCTGACCGATAACCAATAGGGATCAACATCAACCACACGAAAAAAAAAAAAAAAAAAAAAACATCAACCACACGATATATCACACGAAACTTATATATATATATATATATATACATTTTTAGTGTGATTCAGCGTATAGTTACCCTTTTTTTTTTTTTTGGACAAAAGCGTATAGTTACCCTATATATGTTAAATAAAATTAGAGCTTAGAATTTCAAAGTTTTAGTTTTGTTTTCATAAATATTCAGTTTGTGATTTGATGAATACTACAGTTATTCCGATATTAGTTTCAACGATTCAAAAGAAAATTATATCTCTATATATTCAAATAATCAACAGTAAGATTGACATTCCCGACGTTTCTTTTGCATTTTAGTATTTTCGTGATATCAAACTTTAGCACATTATCTTTAGCACAAAAAAAAAAAAACTTTAGCACATTATACATTGACGAGACGACTAACGACTCTCATGAGCTTTACTTGTCCATTCTTCAAAGATATATTTGGTTATAAAAGCAAATGATAGTATTTTGTAGGAAAATTTCTATAATTTGTGGTCTAAAAGACTCAGATTAGTCAGAAAAAAAAAAAGAAAGAAAACGTCTTCTTCTTATAGGAGAAGAACAACAAAGTCAAAAGACGCCAGCGGTGTGGTGACGTGAGCATTTTATACGATGTAATCATGATGGTATGATGACGAGACCGAACCGAAGCATGTGATGAAGCAAGCGGTCGTGACTCGTGTGTCTTCTTTTCTTCTTTTCACCGAAAGCTTTTCTCTCATTATTTTTATTCCCAATACACTGACTGACACTCCTGTCTCCATGTTTCTCCCTACGGCTTGGCTTCGACTCTAGCTTCATTCGATGATCGTAATCCAAAAAGTAAAGATACCTTGATTTATCATCATTTACATAATTAATGATCAAAACTTGAGTTTTGTTAGCAATCCATGTGATAATGGATTGCTAACAAAACTGTGATTAATGTGATAGCATGTTTTGTTAGCAATCATACTTGACCAGCCAGTTAATTTATATATGGGCCTAAGCCTTAGTATATGGGCCTAATTGCTTATCGGAGAAATTAAGCTAGGGCTCGGATTCGTGATTCACAGTTTGATCGGTAATCGGAAGTGAATTACGACGTTGAAGCTGAGTGTAAAGGATTGGGAGGTTGAAGTTGAACTGAATAATGGGAGAAGAGCTGCAACATCAGCAGAATAACCAGACATCTAATTATGGTTATGGAAGTTCGCTTGCCTACGATCAATCTTCTGCCGCAACCAATGCTCTTCTCCGAGAACAAGTACAAAATCTTTATTTTTTTCTTCGATTAAGCTTCTAAATTCTATTCCTGGACTTTGCCAAGGGTTACCATGTTGATTTTGTGTTGTGGGTTTTCAGGAAATTGAAACGCAGAAGATCATACAAGGTCAAAGGTTCTCTCTTTCTCTTGGTTTGTTCTTTATATCCATCTGTTATATATGCTTTATTGATCATCTTGCTGTCCTTATTCTCGGACAATGAGCAATTTTGTGTCTTTAGGTGCTTTGTCTAAAAATTTGTGTTTAATTGGAATCTTTCTCCTACTTTCAGAGAAGCTGGGACTTCAGTAGCTGGAGACTCTCAGCATAACACTGATATTCTTCGGGATCGTGCTGACCCCAATGCTCTAAAGGTTTTGATTTTACTATTCTTTTATCCTCAAGCGGCTAATTGCTTAAAAAGTCCTTTATTCAAATGAGGTTTAGATACATATTCGTTTTTTTATGCAGGAACATTTGCTAAAGTTCACTGCACATCATAGAGCAGAAACAGCTGCAAAGCGTGGTGCTAGTGTGAGTACATGCGGAGAAGGTTAGTCATAGCTCATGTCATGAGCTAAAGCATTTTGAAATATTCACTATACCGGTTCAATTACTGACTTTTTTCCACACCAGGTAATGTGGATGTTGGAAACGGTTATGGTATACCGGGTGGAGTTGCTTACGCAGGCCACTCTGAGCTCAGTGGGAAGCCTGAACCTACGGATGCTTCAAACAATTTGCCTGAATATCTCAAACAAAAATTAAAGGCCAGGGGAATTCTCAGGGATGGTACAGGGGCTGTTTCATCCAACACGCAAGATGTAATTATCCATCTCTCACACTGTAATCCTTTGTGACATATGCCTGCGACCCTTAACCTTTTGACGTTTTTGTTTGCTTGCGATTCTTCTCTTTTCCAGACATCAGCGGTTAGTTGGAATAGACAGACAACTTCACCTTTTACGGCTAATGCAAGCACCTTACCATTAGGATGGGTATGAATGAGATACTTAACGTCTTTTCTTCTTCGGTTTGGTTTTTGCTTCATTATCAGGGTGCAGCACCTTTTGATGCTGTGAAACTGCGTTGATCGTTTGAGATTTCTCCAAACGCATGTGATAATGTGTTCATACACAAATAGTCTTTAGATCTCAATGCTTAGGATGACTACTTATGGTTCTGATAATGTGTTTATCTGTTGTTAAGCCACTTAAATTTGTTCTGTTTCATTCAGGTAGATGCAAAAGATCCTGCTAGTGGTGCTACATATTACTATAACCAACACACTAGAACATGCCAGTGGGAAAGGCCTGTTGAGCTATCTTATACCACTTCAAATGCACCACCTGTGCCTCCTAAAGAAGAGTGGATTGAAACACTTGATGAAGCTTCTGGTATGATATTCACACATTTAGTCATCATAATTACTATCTCTTTGCTACAATATGCATATCGGAGATTATAAAAGTATATAATATGTTTCTCCTTTTCTTGTTTGTTAGCAAAATGAATTTAATAGCTTATGATCTTTTTCACCGTTGAAAGAAACTTATATAATCACATGTTAGAAAATAAGAATGAGGAAATCCTTTTGTTTTTCCTGGAAGTTTTTGCTCTCTTATTGACCAGCTTCTTCTGATTTCTGTTGTACTGTACACGCTATGCTTGCTTAATTTTTGGATCTCTTGGTTGCATCCCTGAACTCTGAACCTTTTGATTCCTATGCACAGGCCATAAGTATTTCTACAATACAAGGACACATGTGTCACAGTGGGAACCTCCAGCTTCTTTACAGAAGCCTGCTGCCACAAACTCTAACAACGCTGTCACCCAAAGTACGGCTAATGGGAAGGGGGAGCATTCTCCATCTCAGATGCCAAGATGCAGCGGATGTGGGGGCTGGGGAGTGGGCCTTGTCCAGAGATGGGGTTATTGTGTTCACTGTACCAGGTAGGAACCCTTCCATTTCTTGATATGCTTTTTGAGTTAGATTGCTGCATAGAGACTGCTTTGATTGAAGAATGTCGATAATGTGTAATTCTACCATGACTCCCTTTTTGTTACTGGCTCAGATTTGTGTTATAGGAAGCATTTATTAGCGTGCATCAAGACCTTAAATACACTTTGTTTACTTGCATATTTTGAGGCTTAAGCCCCTCTGGCTTTGGTTAACGGGACTCATATTATATGGGATGCAGGGTTTTCAATCTCCCAGAACAGCAATTCTTGCCAGCAAATTTGAACCATTTCACAAATGCAGGAGATTCTGGCCAAAAGGATCCGAATCAGAGGTATGCATCTTTCAGAATCTTAGTTTTAGAAAAAATATTCTTCTATGCCCGTCATCTATCTAAAATACTTAGTGTTCCATAAGAGAGCTATTGGTGGACTCTGGTCATCTTCTAAACATCTGTTACCAAATATTTAGACAACCCAGTTGGATACAAATGTTGCCCCTCTTTTCGAGGGACATGATTTCTGTTAAAAAGTATACCATTTATCAGCAGTAAAATGAAGATGGAACACATTACATGTTGTAGTGAACCTGGAGGTTCCCATTGACTATGTTTACATTGTACTTACTCTTGTGGTATATTCCTTACACATGATGCAAAAATGGAAATGGTTGAAACAGGTCCAGTTCAAAACCTCCCATGAAAAAAGTAATAGGCAAAAAGCGTGCTCATGCCGATGATGATGAGTTGGATCCAATGGACCCAAGCTCTTACTCAGATGCTCCACGGGGAGGCTGGTAATGTCCATAACACCCATTTTAACCACTTCATGAATCTGCATGCCCTATATAATATTCTCTATCTCTCTCTCTCTGCGACATCATCTGAATTGAGAAGAATTACATACCAAATGTCAAACCAAGCTTATCATGCTCCAAGGAATCATAATACCGGCTTGATCTGATTCCTTCTCACCTTGTAGGGTTGTTGGACTGAAAGGAGTACAACCGCGAGCCGCTGATACAACTGCCACGGTAATGGCATTTGCCTTTTGATACTCAGTTATCCTTTATATTCCAATTAACCAAAACACACTAAACTTGATGAACAAATCCAGTTTCTAACTAAATGAGATGAATCGTGTTTCAGGGTCCTCTGTTTCAACAGCGACCATATCCATCACCTGGAGCTGTTCTGAGGAGAAACGCAGAGGTGGCATCATCGCAGAAGAAGAAACCAAACTCTCATTTCACAGAAATCACAAAGAGAGGCGATGGAAGTGATGGTCTTGGAGACGCAGATTGAGAGCTCCACTCATCTTATAAGTTGGATCCCTTGTCTTCTTGTGCTTTGTCTGTTGCTTTCTCCATATATGATGTTAAGGAGACTCGTTTATTTACTGTTTAGTGACAAACAAAGCATACTTCATGTGAATTTCTTAACACCAGGTTCAAAGTATGTATACATATAATCACTCAATAGCAAGCAATTATCGTCATCAATTTCCAAAACCAGGCTTTTGATCAATGGTTTTGCGATCCATATTCAAAACATATTTCTTAACTAGCTACAAACTAGTTTGGCCTAGAACCAAAAGATAACAAATGTTGTGACTTGTGAGCAAAGAAGCCATTCGATCATGTGGACCCAATTTAACCAAGTAACAAAACACTAATTGCCTCTAAAAATAAAATGAGAAGAAAGTGAATGGTGAAAACGAGAAGTGTGCTTCTTTTATTTCGGCTTAAAAACATAACTCAAAATTCGGACAACACATTTATTGCTTTTCAGATTTTGTTACAAGAAACGCATAATTTGTCTGAGCAAAGAGATTTCGTATAAATTGAGCCAAAACATCTCTCTGCTCGTTGATTTTTAAGCTCCATTTCTCTACTCTAATGGCGATCGCCGCACTAACATCTTCTTCTTCTTCTGCTATTACTCTCCTCAACAAACCTTTCTTACCTAACCGCTCTTCTTTCTTCTCGTCTAATTCACACTCTACTCTTCTCCGATTCTCTGCTTCTGCCTCTGTTCGTCCCCGTTTTCCATCCGCCGCCATAAGCACCGTTGCTCCAGAATCGGTGCGTTCTGCTTTTTTCTTTGATTCACTTGATTTGGTTTACAAGCTTTTAGCTTTGTATATGTAAACGAGAATTCAATAACCTTGTACAATGGTATTTTCAGGACATAAATAAAAATGAAACTCCAAAGATTAAAATAGAGGAAACTCAAGTGTTCGCGTGTCCTATTTGCTACGAACCACTTCTGAGGAAAGGACCTTCAGGTATCAACCTGTAAGTTCTTTACTTACTTCCTCAGATTGTAAAATGATTACAAAGTTTTGTTTTTTTGATGTCTCTAAAGCTTTTTTTTTTTTTTGTAAATCTGCAGACAAGCAATCTACAGGTCTGGATTCAAGTGTGGACAATGTAACAAGACATACTCTAGCAAAGATGAATACTTGGATCTTACTGTCACTGCTGATTTGGATGATTATAATGAAGTCAAACCCATTACTACCGAACTCTTTCGGTACATTTTCATGGTTTTATCAAATCTGCACTAACCATCTCTGCTACTGTTAGCTCAAGTCTTATGAGAGCTTTTCTATGTGTGTGTGTGTGTGTGTAGGAGTCCATTAGTATCATTTTTGTATGAAAGAGGTTGGCGTCAAGCCTTTAAGCGAAGCGGGTTTCCCGGTCCAGATGAAGAGGTACTTACATCTTTGGTCTTTCATTTGTTCTTTCCTCATGGTCTAATACTTTGAAATGCAGTTTAGAATGGCTGAGGAATACTTCAAAGAAACAGAAGGTGGGATTCTTGTGGATGTTAGTTGCGGAAGCGGTTTGTTTTCCCGCAAATTTGCAAAGTCTGGCAAATACTCTGGCGTGATTGCTCTCGACTACTCTGAAAACATGCTTCGTCAATGCAAAGAATTCATCAAAAATGATAATACTTTCGACAACTCAACTAATATAGCAGTAGTGAGAGCAGATGTTTCTCGCCTCCCTTTCCCATCGGGTTCTGTTGACGCGGTTCATGCTGGTGCAGCCTTGCACTGTTGGCCTTCTCCTACAAATGCTGTAAGTTCTTGAATTTGTCAGAGCTTCCTGAGTGTTGCAAATGGTCACTTGTTATATTTGTCTTTGTGTTGTTGTTTTCAAGATTGCTGAGATATGTCGTGTTCTAAGAAGCGGAGGTGTGTTTGTTGGGACAACGTTTCTCAGATACAGTCCTTCAACTCCTTGGATTATTCGTCCTTTCCAATCGGTAAAGAGAATTATAATGATCAAAAGTGGCTATTCTATGCATAGATTTTGATCTTGTATTTGCATTTTGCAGAGAATTCTGCAGAGCTACAATTACTTGATGCAGGATGAGATCAAGGATGTGTGCACATCATGTGGTCTCACAGATTATGAAGATTATATTCAGGATTCTTTTATTATGTTCACTGCTCGCAAGCCTTAAAGAGAGCCCTCTCTTCATGTAACTACATTTCTATACACAATACAAAATTATAGTGATGAACAAGTTGATGTGAGTGATATTATTGTTGTTGTGACAGTTATTGAACAAATAGATAAACAGAGTGGGAAAAATCTACATTGTTATGTGACAATTTTCTCTGTGAAGAAAACAAACAAGATTTGGAGCAAGTCTAAGGAGTAGAAACAACTTTATATTATTAAAACTCAAAATCCAAGAGTAGTTTCATCAGCACAAAACTTTAAAACTCAATCCCATCAAAGAAAGAACTAATTAGCATGAGATGAATCTTGCTGGTCAGATCAAATCAAAGTTGTATCTCTTTGACGCCTTGTTGGAGTAGTCACAAGCCTTAGACAGCTTCTGCAGTTTCATGCTTCTTCTTGTCAGTATCTTTGTCTTTGCGACAGCGGAAGTGGAAAAACTGAAGCAGAATCTGAAAGAAAGAGGTTACAAATGAATAAAGTTAGAGCTCAGTGGGGAAAGAAAGGAATCAAAGATCATGGAAGTTGATGAGAGAGATCGTATACAAGAAAATCAAGCACAACACATCCTCCTGCATCAACAAGCCATGGTAGATTCGGTGCAATTTTTAACCATTCGACGCTGTTCACAAGTATGCTGCAACCAACCAAAAAAGGGAGTTAAGAAGGTTCCACCAGAGACTATTTAGAGAGTTAAGTATAAATATTGTTGATCTTCACCTTGCAACATAAGTCATATTGCCAACTAATGCGAAGAAGAACATCAATGGATTCAATCCCTGCAGTTACAAAAGAAGAACAGCAAATGGATTCATTAGATACAACACTCTTATTTTATTGTATCTTTGCGTCGTGTCATTTAACTTGCTTACCTCAACATGTCCTCTCCTCATCTGCCAAAAAAGGAGATATCGAAAAGGAACTTTGCTTTAGCTAAAACTGTTATAAATGATAGATCGAAAGCATAAACTAGTTATAGACAATTAAAAAGCCTTTTACATTGAGACATATTTGGGGAAGTCTTCCACCCATGTAAATGGCTGCCATTGCCCAACCCAAAAACATTCCAATTCTGCTGCTTTCTCCACCGCTATGTTCTGCTACGTTGTTGCTAGTGACCTGAAATAGACCCAATAGTATTCAAAACTTACATTAACATTACGCTGTTTTATAGATTATGAAAAGGTAACCAGAAATTTCTTTGACAAAAATGAGCGTGAGTGATAAATTTTAATTCACTGAAGACCATACACTCGACAAGCATATATGATAATGTGCGACTTATGAGTACCTGCAAAAGCTTTCTTGCAGCTCGAACTACAAATACTCTATCTCCCTCACCGAAAGCCATAGTTCTTGATTCACTTAGCATATTGGGAAGGTTGAATGTTCCAAGAAACAAGAACACCGAGACCTATAAGAGAACAATCAAATTTTCGTTCCTAGTGAAACCGCTTTAAATTGTGAAATCAAAATCAGGCATTGTGAACAAGGCTAACCACGCAAAGCATTGATTTGGTGGAAGGAGGCAATGAAGGAGGTGTGGAATCCCCAGGAAGCAAGGGCTCTTCAAGAGTTGGTTCACTGTGACCACGTGCCATTCTCTGGGCTAAGACAGATCCAGCTGGTGGTGTATGACTACTAGACAAAGATCTTGCCGACCTGACAAAATTAAAACGCAAAACACAACCTTTTAACAAATCTCTCGCTTGGAAATATTGCTTTCATCATAATGCTAGTGAGGCCTGAGTACAGAATCTAAATGGCATCATTACGTGTAAAACAGTTCTCTTCCGGTAAAACTAGTTCGATGACTCCCAGGAATCATAGTGATAGGTGTGGTTTGACCGCCACAAGTAGTAGTATCAGAGCTATTTCTCCATCTGCCCGGAATTTTAACATCACTGTTTATACTAGATATACGTTCTGCTTCAACCTACACCAAACATTCATATTCTAGCTGTTTTAGTAATTACACATAATCAACAGGCTCTAAAACAAGGAAGAATACTAATCAAATAGTATACCATCTGATTTCTTCTGATTTTCAACCGCGGGTAGATATGGCCGTAATATATAGATTGAACATAGAGAACTGATGTAGTCACTGTATACAACTGCAAACAAATCACACATATCAAGCAAAGAAACAAACAAACACATTAAACATACAGCTACTCCTAGTCTTTTGTACATTACCAGTGCCATGTAGAATTGTGTTGGAAGCTGCAAAAGGATATAAGAAATTTAGAGTTAGCTAAGCTACTCAAAGGTAAGATAACAAGATTGAGGAAATTAAGGTTCTGAAGATTCACTCACGGTAGCTGGTTCCATCAAGCAGCCAAGAAGATTGAAGATATCCCTACACAACAAACCAATCCAAAATTTTGCCATTTCCCATCAAACCAAAAGTCAATTCACTCTAGGAACAAGTAAAAAGCAAAAGCATTTGACTTCTTTTGATCATCTTACCCGATCATCCACGTTGTTAAAAAGGCAATAGAGAGACCTTCAGTGGATTTCTCACTGTAATTAGTCATAATCTGAGGTATCTCGGCAACACCCCAACTGATAACACTGATGACACCAAGAGATAATGACAATCCATCTCTAAAACTGCTGTGGAGAAACATCTTCTTCACAGCCAAAAACCTGTTAAACACAAAATCCAAAAAAAAAGTCCCTTAATGAGCAAAGATAACGTCTTTTTGATTGTGAAAGCTAGAAAAAAGTGTTAGAAGACGAAAAGTAAAGGAATTTACACTACAATGACCACATTATAAGAGGAATAGGAAAAAACATTTCAAAGAGTAGAAAACGAATCAAAGAGAATAAAAAAAGTATTCTAATTCCGTCAATAATTCAATATTTGTTGTAATCTACTAGATTCACAAACAAAAAGACCCCACAAAGTGAATATTCCCCCAAAACCCAAATCAACCCTCAGGATTCAGATTCTTACATTTAAAGCAACAAAATCGAAAACGTTACACAGAATCTGGTTTCGACATTCACATATCCAACACAATTATTGTTAACATAATCTATTCGTAGGTTTCATAAAAAGCAAGAGACATCGATTCATTGATACATTGCATTAGGAGAAACGTTTACAATCATCTATCTACACATCAATAGAAGAGAAAGTTGTCACCTTTTTCCAGAAGAAAAAACGAAACCCGTGAATGGATTATTCGACGGGTTTAGCTTCGAAGATTTATTTATCTGGGAGATTTTAAAAGAAGAGGTCTTTAAGCGTTTAAGAGGTAGAGCTTTGGTGACTGCTCTTCGTTTGTCTTTTTGTTGTTTTATGGTAATGGCGATATCTCTCTCTCATGTGTTCCTTCTGGAAAACACAAATCACCTCAGAGAGAGTTTTCTACTTTTCTTCTTCAATTCCAATATTCCTTGAAAATAATTACAAATATTATTTCTTTTATCCGTCCTCTTATTTTTATTTCGTAGCTAAAGAGTAGTGGATTTGGTATCGATTTTAGTCTTATTCTTTTTGTTTTAGAAATTGTTTTTCTTTATGTCACTTCGCTGGAAATTGTTGGCCATTAAGTGAATGGGGGCATGTCTACCAAAATAATGAGATAAATAATAATTGATGAAATAATTTATATCTTTTTAATGGATGGAACTTTTTAATTATTCTTTCTTAAAAACAAATTTGCAACTAAACGTTGAATGAGATGTAAATTACATCATGTAATTGGTCCGGTTCAATTTGTTAATTCCAAGTGACAGACCGGTCAATTGGAGATGAACCCAAAAGTCACGGTACATACTACATGGGCCTAAAAGTCCAACGTGTGACATGATAATTCAAGGCCCAATAGGCGTCTTATTATTTTATTTTATTTTTGTTTCTCAATAAGACAAGAATTGGCATCAATAACTGTCTTCACGCGACCGCGAATCGTTAAGCTTCACAATTTCAAGCCGAAGAGGATAAAAAAATCAAATTTTTTTTTGAGAAGAACCAGCAATCACAAAACCCTAGAGGACTCTCTTCAAATCAACCTTAAAAACCAACAATTCCGTCATGGCAAAGAAGAGAAAGCTCGAATCTGAATCCAACGAAACGTCAGAGCCGACGGAGAAGCAGCAGCAATGTGAAAAAGAGGATCCGGAAATCAGAAATGATGATAAACAGAGAGACCTCGACGAAGAAGTAGTAGAACAAGACGCACTAAAGGAGGAAGCTAAAGGTGAAGATAATACAGAGGCGGAGACGTCGTCCGGATCTGGGAATCGGGGAAATGAGGATGATGACGAAGAAGAGCCCATCGAGGATCTGTTAGAACCGTTTTCAAAGGATCAACTTTTGATTCTTCTCAAGGAAGCAGCAGAGAGACATCGCGATGTTGCCAATCGAATCCGGATTGTGGCGGATGAAGATCTTGTTCATCGTAAGATCTTTGTTCACGGGCTTGGATGGGATACTAAAGCCGAAACACTTATCGAAGCTTTTAAGCAATACGGAGAGATCGAAGATTGCAAATGTGTGGTTGATAAGATATCTGGGCAATCTAAAGGTTATGGCTTTATCCTCTTTAAGTCAAGGTCTGGTGCTCGTAACGCTCTTAAGCAGCCTCAGAAGAAGATTGGAACTCGTATGACTGCGTGCCAGCTAGCGTCTATAGGACCTGTTCAGGGAAACCCTGTTGTGGCTCCTGCTCAGCATTTCAATCCTGAGAATGTTCAGAGGAAGATCTATGTTAGTAACGTTAGTGCAGACATTGATCCGCAGAAGTTGCTGGAGTTTTTTTCAAGATTTGGAGAGATTGAAGAAGGTCCTTTGGGGCTTGATAAAGTTACTGGGAGACCTAAAGGTTTCGCTTTGTTTGTCTATAGATCCCTGGAAAGTGCCAAGAAGGCATTGGAGGAGCCACACAAGACTTTTGAAGGCCATGTCTTGCATTGCCACAAAGCAAATGATGGGCCTAAACAGGTTAAGCAACATCAACATAACCATAACTCTCACAATCAAAATTCCCGCTACCAAAGGAACGACAGCAATGGTTATGGTGCACCTGGAGGCCATGGACATTTCATAGCTGGTAATAACCAAGCTGCGCAGGCGTTTAACCCGGCTATTGGCCAAGCCCTCACAGCTTTGCTGGCATCTCAGGGTGCTGGGTTGGGTTTGAACCAAGCATTTGGGCAGGCTTTGTTGGGGACATTAGGGACAGCTAGCCCAGGAGCTGTAGGAGGAATGCCAAGTGGCTATGGTACTCAAGCAAATATCACGCCTGGGGTCTATCCTGGGTACGGTGCCCAAGCCGGGTTTCAGGGCGGTTATCAGACTCAGCAACCTGGTCAGGGCAGTGCTGGAAGAGGGCAGCATGGTGTTGGGTATGGTGGTCCTTACATGGGTCAGATGTAGCCACTCAGGTATACATTTGCAGCTCCTTTCCATCAGTTTCATTGATGTTCTGTGTCAGACTTTACCTGTAGTTACGTTTGGTTCCGTTATGATTATGACCCTTGTATATCTTAAGACATGGACTTGCTGTATTTTTGACCTTTTCATGGTTAACTCCATTATGTTAACTTTTTGCATTGAAAGATCATTGTTTTCAAAGTTACTGTGACTTTGTTGTGTTTCTTAAGGGTGTTCGGTTTTGCACCAGTTTATAAAAGAGTTTTCTGATTTTCTCAATTCATTGTGCAGATATTCCAATACAGTACTTTTTATATTGGCCTGGTGAATCTTCTGAAGTTATTAAGGAGCTGATGCAAATGGAGTTGTTTAGTTTTTGGATGAAATGTTACTCTTTCGTGTCTTCAAAAGCCATGACTCTTCAAACCTTTCAAGAAGTTTTAGTTTTCCCCTACTTATTTTCTCAACTCTTTTTATGATATCCCAAATACAGTGTTCTGATTTAACCATTATGGTCTCTGTTTTAAACTTTTGTGAACGTTTTCATTTGTAAAACTTAAACAGTCACAAATGCTTTCACTCTGTTTGAATTCGTATTTTCTCTTAATCAGACTCTAGTTTTTATTGGTTCTCTCTACGTTTCGCGGTTTGTGGATTTTTTTCATGCACGTAATTCCTCTTACCATTTTGGTCGTATTATATTACTCTGGAACCTTGTGAGAGTATGATCACACGTTCACTATGCATGTGTACATATGGCTCATCTTGATCACCACATATTATATCTGCTTAATCCTTATTCCTCTTGCAGGTAATTTGAGAGCAAGCTGAACAGAACACTTACGCCAACAAAATCCTATGGGGGTACCAAATATCTGAATGCCTTCTACGTGCATTTTTTCTTTTTTTGTACTGACAAAAGAAAAGGGATGAATCTATGAATTGGTAGCTTTATAACTAAAGAAAGAATTTAGCAAAAGTTGTTTTCTTGTTTAGCTTAATTAGGCATCTACCTGAGTCCAAGAGATCAACTTGTTTTGGATAATACTAAAAAGTTTCAACAAGTCTTGTCATGCATATGTCAAGTTTTTGACATGTTTTAGAGCAGCTTTTTCCTTGTGTGTCCTTAAGAGTTCTCTAATGTTTCTATAGCTTTGAATGTGCATTCCATTTGACCACATCTCAAATTTTTTGGTAATGTGGCTTAGAATAAGTATCGAACCGAGTTGGTAACACAGCTGGAATTGGTGTTTTGCTGTGACATCATGGGAGCTCTGGAATGTCTTCCCAAATAAAGGTAAATATAACCGTTTGCATTGTGAAGATTTGTATATAACTATAGAACCATCCTTGAGGAATGAATTGATGATGTTAAGTCCTTAAACAAATTTGCTTAACGTTTTGAACTGTTTCTTTTGTATATGTTGAATCAGAGCTGCTTTACGAGTGCATAGGAACCAGAGTATCTACTTGTCATTCACTAATGCTAAGTGCAAAGGTTCCACCTACTAGGCCACTAGGTTACATAGTTAACTTATGAAGCTATTACAACACTTGATTCTTAGGAGACCTAAGTTGGCAAAGCCAGATATAGTGTATGTTCGTGTTCTCTATGTGACAGGATCAAGCTACCACACATGGTTCAAGGGTATTCTCAATGTGTGAGTTTGATCAGAATTTATAAACAGTCAAGGACAAAGGTACACAAGGAAGCAGAGTCTCTTGATAAGAAGAAGAAAGGAGGAGAGTAATAAAGAAAGAGAAAAGGGAAACAGAAACACGTGGGAGAACATCCCAAAGAGGAAGCACACGCGGATCTTCATGCAAAGCTGAAAGCCCCGATTCTCCCATGTGGTCCCTTCCTTCCTTTGTCCCCCTCCTCTTTCTCCTTTTACTCTTTTTTTTTTTACCATAATACAACGAATCTTTTTTTATCATATTGTTTTGGTTTTATTTATAAATCAATAACACCTTGGTTACTTCACAATCTTACTTTTTTCATATAAGAAGCGCATTTTGGGAAATTTATGTTTGAGAAAGACAAGTCTTTTTAGAGAAAGTGATGTAAGCTAAAGCTAAAGTGATTATATAATAAGTAATAACATACACAATGTCTTGATTTATTATTCTTAGGGAATAAACTTACTTTCTAAAGTGTTTATAAGTTAATACTTTCATATCTGATCATAAGTACGGAGACTATTGTTTTTTGTTTGTTTGTGTTTATTCGAAAAGAAAGTAGCTTTTAATTGAAATGTCCTCAAAGGCACAGTTTAAAGTTCGAGTGTAACAGTTTCTAAGGCAAAAAAGCTCTCTTTCTCTTTCTACTATTTCTCTCCTGTGGAGAAACTAAGGGGATAGAGAGAGACAGAGAAGAGAATGTATGTTTGGGTTAATAATCTCTCGACTCATACAAAAGATTTGTCTCAGACCCACCACTTGGACAGACAGAACCCAAGCTCCTTTCTTTCTTTTTCTCGATCTTCTCTTTCTTAATCTCCTTTTTTTGAAACTTGAAGCCAGTTCAACATCATCCTTAAACTTTTGTTCCCTTCTTCGCAATCTCCTCCCACTTCTCATTTCTCTAGTTGAGTTGTTATCTGCGTTTTTGAGCACTCGAATACTGCATGCAATTTCCCTGATTGTTTATTACCTTAGAAAATTCTCCATTTTTGTGTGTGTTTAGATCGAACCAGGCTTTACTAAATTGTTATTGTTTGTGTTTAAAAGGCTATATATCTATGGGTTCTATTAGAGGAAACGTTGAAGAGCCTATATCTCAGTCATTAACTAGGCAAAACTCTCTCTATAGCTTAAAGCTCCATGAGGTTCAAACCCACTTAGGCAGTTCTGGAAAACCACTAGGAAGCATGAACCTTGATGAGCTTCTCAAGACTGTCTTGTCACCAGCTGAAGAAGGGCTTGTTCGTCAGGGAAGCTTGACGTTGCCTCGAGATCTTAGTAAAAAGACAGTTGATGAGGTCTGGAGAGATATCCAACAGGACAAGGATGGAAACAGTACTAGTACTACTACTACTCATAAGCAGCCTACACTCGGTGAAATCACTCTTGAGGATTTGTTGTTGAGAGCTGGTGTAGTGACTGAGACAATAGTCCCTCAAGAAAATGTTGTTAACATAGCTTCAAATGGGCAATGGGTTGAGTATCATCATCAGCCTCAACAACAACAAGGGTTTATGACATATCCGGTTTGCGATATGCAAGATATGGTGATGATGGGTGGATTATCGGATACACCACAAGCGCCTGGAAGGAAAAGAGTTGCTGGAGAGATAGTGGAGAAGACTGTTGAGAGGAGACAGAAGAGGATGATCAAGAACAGAGAATCTGCAGCACGTTCACGAGCTAGGAAACAGGTTCAGAACTTGAGATTGTCTTTTAATTAATGTGTGTTTGTTTGTTTGTTAGTTGGTCTAATAATAACATTGAAACTTGCAGGCTTATACTCATGAATTAGAGATCAAGGTTTCAAGATTAGAAGAAGAAAACGAAAAACTTCGGAGGCTAAAGGTAAAAAGCCCATCTCTGCAGCTTGTTTCCATGATCTAATGCCGTTTTAGATTTAGTGGTTTTTCTTTAATTTTGATTATAATGGCAGGAGGTGGAGAAGATCCTGCCAAGTGAACCACCACCGGATCCTAAGTGGAAACTCCGGCGAATAAACTCTGCTTCTCTTTGATCTTAAAGACTCTTATTTCTTTCTTCTCCTTCTTCTTTGTGTTGTTTTATATCAGACAGCTTTGTTCTTTGTATATTCTGTAGACTTTATTGACATTGAACAGTATGTCTTTATAAACATTTCTTGAGTGTATTTCTCTTCTGCAGCTAGTTCAAACTTTTCAAACTTTTTAAGTATAAACACAAGTTCAAGTATGAATTCGACAATAGTTTTGGCACCTAATAAAAATGTATGAAAAATGTGACATAGGACGAGTCTCTTGTGACATTAGTTCAATTGGTGACATGAGATAAGAGAGAACGGTAGACAATAGATTGATGTTTATGCTACACCGTTTTGATACTTGGTTACCATATTGGGTTACTAATACATATTGGGCTTTTGATTACGGCCCAATTAAATCAAGCGTCTAATTTTTCGTTCCTCCTTCTTCTTCGAGCAACAAAGAGAGAAACCATCCCTGAGAATCCAATTCGGAAACAATCTCCGGCCATTTAATAGTAAATGCATTGCTCAGTGTCCTCCGTTGTTCGTCCACTATCAGCAGATCCCGCAACAGCCATAGCCAATTTGTGCTCAAAGGGTAACCTTAGAGAAGCTTTCCAGAGATTCCGACTCAACATTTTCACAAACACTTCTCTCTTCACTCCTTTTATCCAATCATGCACCACCAGAAAATCTCTTCCGTCTGGAAAGCAGCTCCATTGTCTTCTCGTCGTCTCCGGATTCTCTTCCGACAAGTTCATATGCAATCACCTCATGAGCATGTACTCCAAGCTTGGAGATTTTCCTTCAGCTGTTGCATTGTATGAGCGTATGCGTAAGAAGAATTTCATGTCATCTAACATACTCATCAATGGGTATGTGCGTGCAGGCGATTTGGTAAGTGCCCGGAAGGTGTTTGATGAAATGCCTGATAGAAAGCTCACAACTTGGAATGCCATGATTGCCGGATTGATCCAGTTTGAGTTTAACGAAGAGGGTTTGAGTTTGTTTAGGGAAATGCACGGATTGGGGTTTTCGCCTGATGAATATACTCTTGGTAGTGTTTTTAGCGGATCTGCTGGGTTGAGGTCAGTGTCTATAGGGCAGCAGGTTCATGGCTACGCGATCAAATACGGGCTTGAGTTGGATTTAGTAGTTAACAGTTCGTTAGCTCATATGTATATGAGAAATGGGAAATTGCAAGATGGTGAGATTGTCATTAGATCAATGCCTGTTCGTAATTTGGTTGCATGGAATACGCTCATCATGGGGAATGCGCAAAACGGATGTCCTGAAACAGTGCTTTATCTGTATAAGATGATGAAAATCTCAGGTTGTAGGCCTAACAAGATCACTTTTGTGACTGTGCTCAGTTCTTGTTCTGATTTAGCGATAAGAGGTCAAGGTCAGCAGATTCATGCGGAAGCTATTAAGATTGGGGCTAGCTCTGTCGTAGCTGTAGTTAGTTCATTGATCAGTATGTATTCAAAATGTGGGTGTCTTGGAGATGCAGCTAAAGCTTTCTCAGAACGTGAAGATGAAGATGAAGTGATGTGGAGCTCAATGATTTCTGCTTATGGGTTTCATGGACAAGGCGATGAGGCAATTAAGCTGTTTAATACTATGGCAGAACAGAAGAACATGGAGGTAAACGAGGTTGCGTTTCTGAATTTGCTTTATGCGTGTAGCCATTCTGGCTTAAAAGACAAAGGACTTGAGTTGTTTGACATGATGGTGGAAAAATACGGGTTCAAGCCAGGTTTGAAGCACTACACTTGTGTGGTGGACTTGCTCGGTCGAGCAGGCTGTTTGGATCAAGCCGAGGCAATAATAAGGTCTATGCCAATAAAGCCAGACACTGTTATATGGAAAACATTATTATCTGCATGTAACTTACACAAAAACGCAGAAATGGCACAGAGAGTCTTTAAAGAAATTCTTCAGATTGACCCTAATGACTCTGCTTGTTATGTCCTGCTTGCAAATGTTCACGCCTCAGCTAAGAGGTGGCGGGATGTATCAGAGGTGAGAAAATCGATGAGAGATAAGAATGTGAAGAAAGAAGCGGGAATCAGCTGGTTTGAACACAAAGGTGAAGTGCATCAGTTTAAGATGGGAGATCGCTCTCAGTCTAAATCTAAAGAGATCTATTCATACCTCAAAGAACTGACTCTGGAGATGAAGCTGAAGGGATACAAGCCTGATACAGCGTCAGTGTTGCATGATATGGATGAGGAGGAGAAGGAATCAGACTTGGTGCAGCACAGCGAGAAACTAGCGGTTGCATTTGCGCTCATGATATTACCTGAAGGTGCACCGATAAGAATAATCAAGAATTTACGTGTTTGCAGTGATTGCCATGTTGCTTTCAAATATATATCGGTGATCAAGAACCGAGAGATCACGTTAAGAGATGGTAGTAGATTCCATCATTTCATAAACGGAAAGTGTTCTTGCGGCGATTATTGGTAGCTGGGCAATTAAAGTATGCTATGACTCTGTGCTTCAGATTCTTTCTGGAGAGTTAAGCACTCGGATTGGATCGGGAAGCCATTTGGGCGAAAGCATTAAGCAACAAAAAGGGTAAATGTTTATACATGTTGCCTGTTGGGTCCTATGGACACTGGTCACAAGACTCAGATTCTTTACACCACGGGTAGTAGCTTTGTAGTCTACCTTGAGATTGCTCCTGCCTGTGGAATTATTCTTGAGTCGAGCACAAGAAGTGGTTTACTGCCAACTTTACTTGCTCAAGCCATCTCCGCAAGGTAGAAATTTCTGTGGTCTTTCTCGTTATTTCTTATGTACCATGTTTTTTGTCGTTTGTGTAGTTTCTTCTAACCTTTCACACGCTTGTCGCACTTGTCTTTCGATTCCACAGCAGAGATGTTAAATCAGGAATATTCAGGATGTAGAAACTTCTCTGCACTTTCTCCAGTAGAATGCACTTGTAGAATCCCTCGGATCAGATTTCATAGGTAACGTTCGTTAACTTCAACAACACCACTTTACTAAACATGTGCTAATCAATAGGCATAAACATGTATTTCCTCGATTCATTTTTATCTTATGCAAGTGTTTGCTTTATTATGATTTGTTAAGTTAATAAGGACGCTCCAAGCGCTTCCCAGAATACGAGTGTTTATAAACTATTTATTAACAGTTAGAAAAATACTTGGGTATGTTCACCCCTTTTATTTCATCCAATCAAAATCTGCCACCTATTAATAATAAAAAAAATTATTTAATTATAAAATTTAATTTGCCACTAAAACGAAATTATGTATCGGTTTAAGTTTATTAGAAAGGGTTAGGGTTTAGATTTTATGATTAAACGAGTTTAACTATCGGTTTGGGTTTATAAACGGATTTAGATTTTACAATTAAACGAGGTTAAGTCTCGATTTGGGTTTAGAAAGTACGATTAGGGTTTAGATTTTTTACGATTAAACGAGTTTAAATGACGGTTTGGGTTTACAAAGGAGAATTAGGGTTTAGATAATTTATGATTAAACGAGTTTAACTATCGGTTTGGGTTTATGAACGGGTTTAGATTTTACAATTAAACGAGGTTAAGTGTCGGTTTGGGTTTAGAAAGTACGATTAGGGTTTAGATTTTTTACGATTAAACAAATTTAAATGACGGTTTGGGTTTACAAAAGAGAATTAGGGTTTAAATTTTGTAATCAAACGAGATTATATATCGGTTTGGGTTTATAAAAGAGTGGTTATGATTTAATCTTATTGTTTTATTTAGAAAATAATTGTTTTGATTTTTTTAACTAAATGATATGGCAAATTCTAATTGGATAATTAAGAGGGGGTGAATGAAAGTGGTTCACCCCTGGGGTGAACCCAAGAATTGTTCTAAAAGTTAATATAAGAAAACTATAACCTAAAATATAAATTAGACAAATGGAGTTATTGGGTCCACTCACCCATCCAAAATTCCAAATGAATACCGTTTGATAATCCCATTGTTTTCTTTGGTAGAAGACCATTTATTAAGTCTCCCTTAATTCTATTCCATTGTACATAAATGGAAAATACAAAAAAAGGGGAAAAAAAAACAATTGGAAGAACGAACCAACCAAGTAAGACCATCTCCATCAAGGGTGTCTTGATGGATTTATCATGATTAAAAAAAATAAATATAATCAAAAAGTAGGAGAAATGTTGAGATAAGTTTCTCAAATGAGACATGTTGAGACACGGTTTCTCAGTTTTGACATACTTTTGTGACAGATGTCATTGTTTAATTGGTGTAGATTTGATTTATGATTTAAGAATTAAATAAATAATTAAAATGAATAAAATATTATATTAAAGACACCCAGTGAGTTTCTCACCGATGCTGATGCTCTAATGAACCAACGAGAAAAAGTCAAAGAAGGCGGCTCACACTGGAAAGGAAAAGCTGACATGCCAGTCAATGATCCTGCGTAGAAATTGCGTGAAGCCGCCATTTCAAATAATTCAGGTATATAAAAAGGCTTCAAGTCCATGTTCGTAGTACAAATAACAAATTGTCTCACAAAACTCTTCTTTCAGTCATCACAGAAAACAAAAAGAACAATGGTGGATCAGCTCACTGACAATCAGATCTCAGAATTCAAGGAAGCCTTCAAGTTATTCGACAAGAATGGTGATGGTATGGTTCATCATCCCCTTCCCTCTAATCGTATATGTTGGATCCTGAATTCAAAGCACTAAAATGACTAACACAAGTCCTTGATTACTTTTTGTAGGTTGCATTACCGCAAAAGAGCTCGGTACGGTGATGCGTTCCCTCGGTGAAAACCAAACAGCAGCTGAGCTTCAGGACATGATCAACGAAGCGGATTTAGATGGTAATGGAAGCATCGATTTCCCTGAGTTCTTGTGCCTAATGGCTAAGAATCTAAGTCATGATCAAGTGCCGCCGCGTCAAACTAAAAAAACAATGGTGGATTATCATCTCACTGACGATCAGATCTCAGAATTCAAGGAAGCCTTCCGCGTATTCGACAAGAATGGTGATGGTATGTGTTCATCGTCCCTTTCCCTATAATCGTACATATTGGATCATGATCATCTTCAAAGCACTGAAATGATTCACACAAGTCCTTGATTACTTTTTGTAGGTTACATTACCGTAAATGAGCTCCGTATTACTATGAGCTCCCTCGGTGAAAACCAAACAAAAGCTGAGCTTCAGGACATGATCAACGAAGCAGATGCAGATGGTGATGGAACCATCAGTTTCCCTGAGTTTGTGTGTGTAATGGCTGGGAAAATGACTGACTCTGAGGAAGAAGCGTACAGAGTTGTGAATCAAGGTCAGGGTCAAGTGCCGCGTCACACTAAAAATGACAGAACTGGTGGCACTAATTGGGAGAAGGACATAGCGGTCGGGGTTGCTAGCAATATCATCGCTGCGCCAATTACCGACTTCATTAAAGATTTGTTTAAAGATATGCTTTTTTGAAATGGCACGTCACGTCAGTAACTTTATGCCATCAGGGTCTAGCAAGTCTGTTAGATCTCCCTCAAAATAAGAAAAAAGGCGTTTGATCAGTGAAAATAATTTCTTTGTTATAAATTTACTGTGTTATTATTGTTTTACCATCTTCAATTGTACGCAATATATTAAAATGATTTACTTCTAAACTTTGTAATATGGTTTCAGTATCGAATATAATTGGAGTATCAATGTATATCTTTTGAGGAAAATATTGAAATCGTAGCAGAACCAATTATTGAAAACTAGTAGGCAGCATTACTAAAAATTGATCTATGACAAATCGGTTAATGATTTGGCACATACAGTGAGTAAATCAGCTGAGCCTCATATCTCACCGTCCCAGAGTTCTTGAAGACTCTTATAAGGACTCATCTAATGAACAAATGACATGCCTCACACCAACCTACCCTGCAACATTGAAACACACATCTTCAATATTCGATAACCCAAGTGTTTGAGCAAAACAATGAACGTTTTGCTTTGTGATTTGTTAAGTTATTGCAGAAACAAAGACGTTCTGAGGCACTTCCCATAACTTATGAACGTTATAAACTATGTATTATTATTAAAAGTAAGTAACTGAGAGCAAAATCTTTAATAATTTAGACAAATGTAGCGATTGGTCCACTTAACTATCCAAAATTCCAAATGATAATTCTATTCCATTGTAAATAAATGTGTCTTTCAAATAAATGGAAAAACAAAAACAAAAAGAAGAAAAAAGACAGCATTTAATAATAACGAATGGGAACAACCAAAAACCATTAACCAACCAAGGAAAATCAAAGGAGGCGACTCACTGGAAAGGAAAAGCTGAGATGGCAAGTCAACGATCCGCGTAGAAACCGCGTGAACGTGTGATCCATCTCTTCACATGTCAACCTGGCGCTTAAATTTAAAACTCAAATTGATGGCATTCTCGTAATTCCATCCCCAAACCGAGGTCCTTTCCGACATTTCAATATAATTCCGGTAAATAAAACGCCTCAAGTCCGCGTTCATACCACAAATTGTCTCACAAACTCTTCGTTTTTCCTTTTTTTTTCCTCTCATCACAGAAAAAACAAAAAACAATGGCGGATCAGCTCACTGACGATCAGATCTCAGAATTCAAGGAAGCTTTCAGCTTATTCGACAAGGATGGTGATGGTATGCTTCATCATTCCCTTTCCCTCTCTAATCGTAGATCTTCGCCGGATAATTCTGATTTAGTTTCTGCTTTGATTTGGTGTCCTTTTGATCTGTACCGATTACCATGGTGACGGATCCATTTTTCGTATTCTGGCATTGATTCTTTTCGTTTTTCGGTATTCAAATCAAATTGAATTTAACGATTTGATTTTGCCTTTGTTCAAATTTAAGATCTATGTAAGTCGTCGTTATGTATCATCAGCGATGAAATATTTGTTAGGTTTGAGAGTCTGAATCAGCCCTATGGTGTTAGTGAGCGTTCCTGTTTTGATTGAATTGTTCTAATTCTTGATTTGCAGTGTAGTAACACCAATCCTTGATTACGCTTTGTAGGTTGCATTACCACAAAGGAGCTCGGTACCGTGATGCGTTCCCTCGGTCAAAACCCGACAGAAGCTGAGCTTCAGGACATGATCAACGAAGTGGATGCGGATGGTAATGGAACGATTGATTTCCCTGAGTTCTTGAACCTAATGGCTAGGAAAATGAAGGACACTGACTCTGAGGAAGAGCTCAAGGAAGCGTTCAGAGTCTTTGACAAAGACCAGAACGGTTTCATCTCAGCTGCTGAATTGAGACATGTGATGACTAACCTCGGCGAGAAGCTAACTGATGAAGAAGTCGATGAGATGATTAAGGAAGCTGATGTTGATGGTGATGGTCAGATCAACTACGAAGAGTTTGTCAAGGTTATGATGGCCAAGTGAGGATTGAAACAACTCCGGCTTCTCCTTTTTACTACCTTCTTATGTAATTTCATAAAGAATGTTCCTCGCTCTGTTCTAAAATTTCATTCATGGCTGGTTTTTGGTGGTTAAAAAGACAGGGATGTTATGTGTTTTTACTTCTTGTCTAAATGACTCATTGTTCATGTTATTGATAGGTTCAGAACCTGATTCTTGAAATATAACAGTAATGAGATCTTCTTCTATTATCTTCTTATTGATGAATCCAAATCAGAACCTATATTTGATTATTCTCTTCAGAATCTCTGGTCGTATGTAAAAGCAAGAAGATGCTTATCGGTTGCGCTTAAGGTAGGGAGCTTAACCCGTGTTGGCTCAGACGATGAACTCGAAGGAGAGAAGAGTATAGAAGTTGTTTCAGACATTTCATTGTTGAAGTCAACCAGAGTCTCTAAGCTGTAAATACTCTGTCCAGCTGCATAACCACCCAAGAGTTGATACGATCTGTCTGATTGATCCATCGTCAAACACATATCTTCTGAACCTATATCATTCAATTTGATTTCTTGAGTGTCACATTTAGGTTCAATTGCCAAATGGTTTCCTCAATCAAAACTTACAAGCAGCGAGTTCGAGCTGAGTTTGATAAACAAATTCAAGAACGGCCGAAACATCTCGCTCGAATTCGTGAAACGGTCCACCTTCGAAATTCATCTTCCTTAGCTTACATACTCCTTCTCCTAACTCCATCATCGCTCCTTTATGGTTCTTCAAATTCCAAAACACTCATATTTAAATTACCTCAAACGTGAAATGAAAACGAGCAATAGATAGAGCTAAAAGGAGAAGATTTACGTTGTTGAAGAGATGGTGAAATCCAACAGCACATTGAAGAACTCCATGAATTAAGGTACGAGTTGGTTCTTGAGCTTGAATCCAAAGAGCTTCAAGCGCGTCGTGACTTTTGTAATAATCTCTCTTGTTGAACAGCGTCACTGCTTCCTCAAAACTCCAATCTTCTTCCTTATCCTCGTCACTATCTTCTTCTTCTTCTCCGGCGTGGTCGTTGTATCTGACGATCGATCGTCGACTGAAACGGACGCGTATGGAGCTAAATCTTGTGGAGGCTCGAATCGTTGAAGCAGTAACAGAGAGTGGAGAAGAAGGAATTAAGGAGCTGAAGGAAGAAGATGGATGAAGCGTGAAAGATGAAGGAACCTGGAAATGTTTCGGAGAAACTGCCATTATCAAAGTCAAAGGTCGAGCTCTCTGTCTCTAGTCTCTACTGCATGGTTCTAGTTGCGCCAGTTTTGTGGTCACCGTTTTACCAAATCTTTTTAATTGGGCCACTATTTGGGTCCTTATTTTTTGTTTGTATATTCTAGGCCCATATTTCAGACGTAACGTAGCCTTCCTCATATGGTTGGTTGTCTCATTTGTAAATTGTTTTCTGGCATAGCTTTCTCTTATGATTACCAAAATTTGTTGATTATTCTAGGGCTTTTATGTTGTCAAAAACAAAATACAATTAGGGCTTTTGAATCAAGTTTTTCAGACATTAATTTTAGTAAAAATAATATACTTAACTTTAGTAAATTTTGTTTTTTTGTTGTCGACATGCACAATGTGAGATTTATCCGGACAAAAACACAATGATAGAAGCAGCACAAATCACAAATCATTAGGATATGCATTTTATTGTCTAACTTTAATACCTTAGAAATGATATTTTATCATAATTATAACTAAAAGATCATTACTATTGTAGTGGTAAAACATCATTATTATTCATAAGTAAAGATTTTTAAAAAATGTTCAAATAATTTTGAGATTTTTTTTTTGAATTTTGAATTTTTGAAAATGCAGTAATTTATTCTATAGTCCCAAAATTCCGTATGTAACTTCAGTTCAATTGATAATCATATAGAACTATTCAGAGTGATGATGGTGGCAAGACAATGACCTAATTAAGGACCCTTCCCAAAAATTCCGAACTCTATAGCAACTTTTTCCCCACCAATATACATGAAAACAAAAATAAAGTATATAACATCTAATAATAATAAAAAATACATTAATCTACACTCTCTAGTCTCTACCCTCTCATTTCACGTATATATAATCCATCTTTTAGGACAGAACCCACCGAAAGCTCCACAAACCCATTAATTAACAAAACAAACAAAAGAAGGCGGCGCAAACAAAAGATAATGCAACCAGAGACCTCAGATCAGATGTTGTATTCGTTTCTCGCCGGAAACGAAGTCGGCGGCGGAGGGTACTGCGTCTCCGGCGACTACATGACGACTATGCAGAGCTTATGTGGGTCTTCTTCGTCGACGTCATCGTATTACCCGCTGGCGATCTCCGGCATCGGAGAAACGATGGCTCAAGACAGAGCTATTGCTGCTTTGAGGAACCACAAAGAAGCTGAGAGAAGAAGAAGAGAGAGGATCAATTCTCATCTCAACAAGCTTCGTAACGTACTCTCTTGTAATTCTAAGGTAAATATAAACTTAAATTCTCTTTCATTTGGTGTATATATGTCCTCATACATATGTATATACGTACATCTTATCAATTTTAAGAGAAGATTTTTAAATGGGTATTAGGGTTTTGCAACTTCTCCAACCCCAACACATGTTTTATAAAATATGATCATAATTCATAATTATCTACATATATAATTCTACAAAGATCAATGTTCATTTTGCTTTGAGTATTCAAAACTTGCAAGTAGAGAGAAGGTTTAATAGACGAGGAAACGAAAAGCTTCATGGCCTTTTTGTGAAGCTCGTTGGGATAGTATATCACTTTTTGGGAAAGTTCTCAAGCTTTTTTCAGTTGATTTGATTTGATTTGATTTGATACGAACATCAAATTTCAACTTCTTGATCCAAAATTAAAAGAAAGGCTAGTCTAAATATTCAAACTTTTCATTGTAATTTCATGTTTCTATTTTCAGACCGATAAAGCCACACTGCTTGCCAAAGTAGTTCAACGAGTCAAAGAACTTAAACAGCAAACCCTAGAGATCTCCGACTCCGACCAAACACTATTACCATCAGAGACCGACGAGATTAGCGTTCTACACTTTGGAGACTATTCAAACGACGGTCATATAATCTTCAAAGCCTCTCTATGTTGTGAGGATAGATCAGATCTCTTGCCGGACCTCATGGAGATTCTCAAGTCTCTTAACATGAAGACTCTCCGAGCTGAGATGGTAACTCTTGGGGGTCGGACAAGAAGTGTTCTTGTCGTAGCTGCTGACAAAGAGATGCACGGCGTCGAGTCTGTGCATTTCTTGCAAAACGCTCTCAAGTCTCTGCTTGAGCGGTCAAGCAAGTCGTTGATGGAACGTAGTTCTGGTGGTGGAGGAGGAGAACGGTCAAAGCGGCGTCGTGCGCTGGATCACATCATAATGGTGTGAAATGATGAGATTTGAGTACACTAAAAAGTCTATAATTGATTAATATATATAGGGTATGATCATAATTAACTTGGTTATAATTACCAAAACCTTTTTTTATTCCTCTTTTTATATATGTTATATGGTTTTAGTTACAAAGTCGTGGGAGTGTAAGCAAATGTTGTAAGTAGGTTTGGTGTGTTCTTTTTCTTTTCTTTTTCAAGAAAAAGAAAAAGATATATATAATATATAAATAATATTTTCATGTTATTTTCCTCTATTTATATTGTGTTTTGGTTGTTGGTGTGAGGACTAGGGTTTTGAGATTGTGGGAATATTTGTCGACGTAGAAGAATCTAGTTGTAACAGATGTGATTGGTGAAGTCCAAAAGAAACTAAAGTACTTCAATATACAGATACACACTATATATGTGAATGTATATTTATATGGTGAAGAGAGGTCTATGTTTGTATGCTGTGAGTTTCAAAGCGACCCTTATGTCACCTTTGTCCCCGAATGAATCCAATCTATCCTCTCTCTTTCTTTCTTCATGTCTTTCTAAATGTGTACATTTGACCACATTTTTCAGACCAAAGAATATAAGCAGTGCCTTGTTTTCTTTCTTTCTTATTTTGATCATATATATACTACTTATTAAATATAATCCATGTGATTGTGACGAACTGTGTTACTTTTAGTTGAGATTAATTAAGTATTAGCGAAATGTCTAGTCGACTGTTTTTGTTGGATCATATGCAAAAGGCGTGCATATATGCATGACACAAAAATGCTTAAACGTATATTCGAAAAAGAAACACTCTCAATAACGTTGTATAAGTAGCGTATATAAGACAGAATACGAGTGAAAAAGTAGGACTAAATTGTAATTAGGTACAAAAATTAGATGGTATGTCAAATAAAGTAAAATAGCAGCACCATCAATTTTTGAAAACTTACATTTAGGACGCCAAACTTCATATTATGTATGGCTACATGTACAATGAAAGTAAGTGTGTGGTGACAGGATTAACCAAAACTATTGAAAACTTACTTTTTTTCGTTTATTATTATTTATTTATTTTAACTAATCGAATTTTGGCTCTAAAGTTTTGTGTGAATAAGAATATGTTAATGATTTGTATCCGTGTCTAGTGAGGTTTGTACATATATATATTTTATATTTATAATGAAAGTGTTTTGAAATATTGTAGAGATACTATGTGTGCCATGTATCTCTGGTTTCTTCAATAGGTATCCGTTTTGTTTATAGAAAATGGGATATATGAACCAAATAACTCAATAATATAGCCAATTAGACCATTAGTAAATTGGAATATATATGAAGAAGAAGGAGAATGTGGGATTAAAGGAAGAGGAAGCGTGAGAAAAGGAGACTGACAAAAGGAAATAAAATTGATGGGCCATTGGCTCTATGAGACAAAAAGGACCGACTCTTCTCATCACTCTCCCTTTTCCCTTTCTCTCTTTTTTAATAATTGTTTTTCTATAAATTATATAAAATTTTATGGCGAATTTAATAAAATAACATTGAAGAAAACTAAGAGAAGAAGAAGAAGAAGAAAAAAAAGTTGGAGAAAGTTTGTCCATGGAGCGTGATGGTTTTGGGGCAGCTGGTGTCCCCTCTATACTCAACCTCTCGACCATAAAGTATATCTTATAGAAATATTTTTAGCTTTTGCACTATATATTATTATTAAAGCTATATTTGTATTCAACTCAAGAAAAAAACTATAGAAAACTTCTTTTTTTTTTTTTAAATTCCTTTTGAAGTTTATGGGTAGTGTGGCAAAAGCAATCATTAACCTCACACGTTAGTGTCTCATCGTGTGAACATGTGAGTCCCCCTTTCTTATCTAACCACACAATTTTGACCATCCTATGCCCTTTTTGAATATCACTAGTTTTTCTTTGTGTTTACTTTGTTTTATTTACATTTCACAAACAAGCAAATAGGAGTTATCAACTTATCATATTATATGTCAAATATATGTGTTTGTTTTCATGTGTTCTTATTGTCTTTCTCGGTCAAGTGTTCTTGTTTACCTACACAGACAAATGTGGGAACCTTTTCACTTACTTCGGGGTTTTACCGGAAATTTAGAAAACCTTACTAAATTATTGCTTTGCTAAATTTTCACTTACTCATTCTTTAAATCAGTGTTTTATTTTGTCTATTGTCAGAACTTACATACATTTTAACACCGTTTTTTTAAGATAGCTAACGTAGTTGAACCATCTTTAAGAAGAAAAAAAATCAATACTATTTCGAGAATCTAAAACCCTAGATAAAAAAAAATCATTGGTCAAATTAACTAACATCTATTTAAAAATCATAGTATTTCAAATATTTATTTTGTACCCGCATGTTTATATATGCGACTACTGTCTACTTACTTATCTAGAATCCACAATATATTTTTATGTTTCTCCAAAACTTTTTGACAACTTTTAAAAACTAGTGTATGCAACATTTTCTAATCTTTTAATGTATAGTTGAGGGTTTAAACCGAGACTTAAACTCCTGAGTCCTGAGATAACCATTCAAAGAGACACTTTAATGTGGTTTCGATCACTTTTAAACCCTTTTTTTAAGCACATGAATAAAGACGATCAAACCCTTTTTCTTTTCAATTATCAAACTCCTTGATGGGTTAAGACTTAAGAGACATAATAACAAAAAGGAAAAACGAGGAGAAGAATCGAGGATCCAAAAGCCCATATAAGGAGAGAGAAGAGGGGTCCAAACTGAGATCGGAACAAAATCGGTTAGGGTTTCAGAAAGGCCCAAATTAGATTTGAGTAGAGGAGTCCCGTAGTGACAGTGACTCCGACATGACAACACTTTAGTTACACAAGACCACCACGTCTCTACTCTAAGTCTATGCCGTACGTCAAAGGCACCAACTCTTTCATCACATATAATATTAATCATTTTATACAAAACTCCAAATAATTCACGGGACCAATACTGAATCGAAACTAAACGAATTTGTTAAAATCGGACTTTGTAGATGCAACCGAAACAGTAAGTACATGAAAATACGTACAATTGCATGTGATTATTGTGAAATTCTGTGGAAAAATAGAATTGACTTATTATGCAAAATGCCCTATGTTACATAACAACAACATGTGTGTATTTTTTTTTTTGTGCGACTTAACATGTGTGTATAAATGTAACTTTATTTGTTTTATTTTGTTTCATGTAAGAATTCACGGTGTAGGAAAAAATTAGAAATGAAAAGATCGGTGGCAAAAGAAAAAGAAATGATTATAAAAAAAAAATGAAAAAAAGAAGTGGAAGATAATAGATGTCAAGGAATATTGATATTCTTCTTTTCTCTATAGGCTTTTGCTGCTAAAATAACACACAACCAAAAAAGCCCACCGAGGAAGATGGTTGTTAGGTTTTTCTCTGTTTTATATTTTCATTGGGCTATCTTACGTACCTCTAATAATACATTGGTTGTTACAACTCTCATGTACGACTCATTGATAATATTTGAAATCTTTGTATTGTACATGTCTGCTGAAGTATTGAATTGACTTTTCTACATGATTAAAAAACAACAACAGAGAAATAAGAACCAATAACTAAACCTAAAGATTTAAATCTGTAAATTTTAATTCCAAGTTGCCAACAACAATGAACGCAATTATTTTATATTCGTAAAGAATTTGATTTTATACTATTAAAAAACACTCGAGGAACTCGTTTCAAAAGAAAGAATCAATCAAATCATTGCCTTCCAACTACGGATATTGAGTTTTTAACTCATTATAACACGTGAGATCGTCACTATCTCATGGATTACACAAAAGTATGTTTATGAAATACACGAATTATGAAGATTGGCTGCATTGGAAGATGTATAGTCCAAGAAATAATTAATAATATCATTTGGTAGTTACGTTTACGTCTAAGAAAACATAATTAATCAAATATGATAGCCTTGTAATGCCCTATAAATTTAATTAAAATATGGTTTTGTATATAACCGCGACGTAAACATCAATGTTTAAAAGCATTGTGATTTTAACAATAGTGTAAACTCTATATTTTTTGTTAATTTTTATTTTCTTTTTGTTTGCAAGAATGTAGACACTGGTCTAAAACACCCGGTCATATAAAAGTAAATAGAAAAAGAAACAAAATGATAGCTGATTAAACTATGGCAATGTCGTACTACGTCGAGAACTAGTTTTTTCATGATGAAAAATTCGGTATGATAAATCTTATGTGATGTGCCTAGTGTAGAAACCCAAAGTACTATTATTTATTTATCTGTTCCTTTGGGCTTTGACGTGCAAGTAAATTCTTAGATGTTGTTTTCGGAGTTATGGGTAAGCAAACCAAGATTCGGAATGAGATAGCAGAAACAGATAAATTCGTGAAAGATAATTAAAGTCTCATTTTAAAATACAAAAATGGCGAGAAATTTCCATTTAGAACTATAATTTTTTTTTTTTTTTTTTTTTTTTTTTTTAGAACTATAATTTATAGTAAAAACTTATGTATAATCAGATTAAAAATATAAATTATGTCATTTTTGGTATAAAGTTGGTATACGTAGACAAGTGAAATTTGGCAAAACTTTGTTTTAACTATTGGGTCTAACCTATGAAACTAATTAGGCATTTGGGCAGAGTTTTTTTTATCAAGTACCAACTTCGAGGTTATATGCTCTTTTTAAAAATATTTTGGCATGATTCTAGGACTCTTTTGGATCCATCGATTGATATTTTTAGACATAGCAAAATTGGCAGTGCAAAGATAAGGTTTCTGTGTGAGTCTCGATAGAATTTGGCAAATATAGAGACTACTCGTCTCGTCTATTCTCTCGACTTTATCTACCCAAATTTTATCTCTCTATAAGTTAAAATTGATGGGTTGATACCAACAAGACATTACAATATTTCTAAAACATTACATAAGAATATCTATACATTTGCCATCAATTAGCAACAAATTTTTAATTAAATATCATTTTTTTGTACTTACCAAAAAAAATATCATTTTTTTGTAGCAAGTTGGTGAAGGAAGACTCTTTTCTTGGCAGCCAAACATCACATTAATCCCATTTAAAAAAAAAAGAGATCGCAATAAAAAAAGGAAAAAGCAACAGAAAAAAACTAAATAAAATAAAAACAAAAGAAATCAATGAAGCTTTGCTTTTCTCTTTTTGATTCTCTCCACTTTTTTTTTCTTGTTGCTACTGCTAAAAAAGCATCTTCTTCTTCTTCCTTTTTTCATTCTCAACACTTTGCTTTTCCTTCTTCTTCTAGTCTCTCTTTTGCTTCTGATTGGAACCAAACTCGCTTCTCTCCTTCTTCTTCCTCTTTGCGTGTGGTTTATCTATCTTCCTCTAAATAATCTCTTGATCTCCTCCCCTTAATTCAACTCTCAATTCTCAATCTTTTTGCTAAATTCAATCTCCTTATCCTTCTCTGCTTTCTGGGTTTTCGAGTCTCGATTTCTGCGATTACTTATTCTATTTCCCGGGAAAATTAAACCCACATGAATCTGTTTCGTAACTTAACTGATTCATCGGCTTGAAATAGATATTCTTCACAAAGTTTCAAGCTTTTCGTTTTGAATTCTCAATCCACAATTCATGGGGATCTGTCATGGTAAACCAATCGAGCAACAACAATCAAAAAGCCTCCCAGTTTCCGGCGAAACAGATGAAGCTCCGACGAATTCACAGCCACCAGCTAAATCTTCCGGCTTTCCGTTTTACAGTCCAAGTCCTGTACCTAGCTTATTCAAATCCTCACCTTCCGTATCTTCGAGCGTGAGCTCAACGCCTCTTCGTATCTTCAAGAGACCTTTCCCTCCTCCTTCTCCTGCTAAGCACATACGAGCTTTCCTCGCGCGTCGCTACGGCTCTGTCAAGCCCAATGCGGTTACGATTCCTGAAGGTAAAGAATGTGAGATTGGTCTCGATAAGAGTTTTGGGTTTTCGAAACAGTTTGCTTCACACTACGAGATTGATGGTGAGGTGGGTCGTGGACATTTTGGGTATACTTGCTCTGCTAAGGGTAAAAAAGGTACCTTGAAAGGTCAAGAAGTTGCTGTTAAAGTTATTCCTAAATCTAAGGTTCGATCTTTGAAACTGAAATCAATTTCTCTTAATTCTGTATTCGTTGTTGAATTCGTTTTGTTGTTCTGAAGTATATGTCCATGTTTTCGAATTCTTGTTTTATCGCCATGTGTTTAGATTTGAGCATTTTTAAAATATATTCTTGGTCAAGATATTGTCTGAGATATATGATTAAGGGCTCTGTTTTGGCTTTTATATGTTGAGCTGTGTGGAATTGGTTTTAAAGGTTAGAGAATCATGTTTTACTTTGCTTTAGGCTTCCAGCAAGTAAAGAAACCATGCTTATGATGGAACAAAATTATTTCCTTTTTTTTGGATTTACGCGAGCTTCAGTTGAGTCGTTGTCACGTGTTATGTGGATGGTAGGTTGCCAAATGGTTGGAGTTCATATTTATTTGCATTTAGATAATAGATCCTGCCAGAGTCCATTGTGTTTGAATCTATGTGTTTGAGTTTTCAAGTGATATTGATAAGCCAGCAATCTCCCTGAGCTTGTTTGTCGACCGATTCATTGCTTAGTGTTGGCTGTTTTTGACTGCAGATGACAACTGCAATTGCGATTGAGGATGTTAGTAGAGAAGTGAAGATGTTGCGGGCTTTGACTGGTCATAAGAACCTAGTCCAGTTTTATGACGCGTTTGAAGATGATGAAAATGTTTACATTGTCATGGAGTAAGTATGCATTTCTCAGTGAGATGTCTTGTGATCATTAGATCCAATTCCAGGATTGCAATAAAAATACTGTAATTTCCTTTTACCAGATTATGCAAAGGTGGTGAACTCTTGGACAAAATACTTCAAAGGTAATTGCTAATCACACATGGCTCTGTATTTGATTGTTTTCTCTGCTGAATCGTGCTTTGACTGGTTGAGCTTGATCTAATTAGGGGTGGAAAATACTCAGAAGATGATGCTAAAAAAGTTATGGTTCAGATTCTCAGTGTTGTGGCTTACTGTCATCTACAAGGTGTGGTTCACCGTGACCTTAAACCCGAGGTACTTTTTAATCCATGGTGATGTTTAATTTCCAGATTGTTCTCTCATTGTTTTTGTAAATAATTTTGGCTTTTGGTGACACTTCACTTTCTAGGTCCCATCACATTATCAGCAGTCTTTGTACACATAGAACTAGTTCCACTAACTTATGCAGAGTGACAATGACGGTTATGTTTCTTTCTATTTGTTTGTTTCCCTTTCACAGAACTTTCTTTTCTCTACGAAGGATGAGACTTCTCCTCTGAAAGCAATTGATTTTGGTCTTTCTGACTATGTCAAACCAGGTCAGAGATGTTGAAATTGACCCAAGATTTCTCATATCGAACTCATCTTGATGTTAAATGGAAAATTTGACGGTGTTTTGCAATTCTGCAGACGAGAGGTTGAATGATATTGTAGGAAGTGCTTACTACGTGGCCCCGGAAGTTTTACACCGTACATATGGAACAGAAGCTGACATGTGGAGTATAGGAGTGATTGCTTATATTCTTCTCTGTGGCAGTCGACCCTTTTGGGCCCGTACTGAATCTGGAATCTTTCGAGCTGTCCTAAAGGCAGAACCGAATTTTGAAGAAGCTCCTTGGCCATCCCTATCACCTGACGCTGTAGATTTTGTGAAAAGATTGCTTAACAAAGATTACCGTAAACGACTAACTGCGGCCCAGGCTTTGTGTAAGTATAATATCTTTGATCTCTATAACGGGTTTAACACATCATTATCATGTTTTTCTGGTTCTGCCCTTCTTATGTTATGAACATCTGAGTAATCAGTTGTCTTTTTCTTCAGGTCATCCCTGGCTGGTTGGCTCACATGAACTAAAGATTCCATCTGATATGATCATATACAAGCTTGTAAAAGTGTACATAATGTCAACTTCATTGAGAAAATCGGCTTTAGCGGTGAGTTAGATTCTGCAGAAGCTGTGACATAGACTTCTTACTTAGCAAATTTAATTGTTGAGCTCTATGGATGAAAACTTTATGATAAATGGTTTTTTTTCATGGTTTCAGGCTCTTGCCAAGACATTAACTGTACCGCAGTTAGCTTATCTGCAGGAGCAATTCACATTGTTGGGGCCAAGCAAAAATGGATATATTTCGATGCAAAACTACAAAACAGTGAGTTGTATTTCCATGATTCCATCAACCTCTTCCGTTTTCCTTTGCGATTTTCTGTGATTCTTGATTTTTTTCCTACAAATCTCAGGCAATCCTAAAGAGTTCAACAGATGCTATGAAGGATTCACGAGTGTTAGATTTTGTTCACATGGTAAGAAAGCTAAATATATGGACTATAAGCGTGATCATTAGGTTTGGTGGTTTAACGCCCTAATCTCTTTTGGGATGCAGATAAGTTGTCTTCAATACAAGAAACTAGACTTTGAAGAGTTTTGTGCTTCAGCATTAAGCGTTTATCAGCTTGAAGCAACGGAAACATGGGAACAACATGCACGGCGTGCTTACGAGTTGTTTGAGAAAGACGGGAATAGACCCATCATGATTGAAGAACTTGCATCGGTATAAGTTTTACCCTTTATAATTCACCTAGGGGCTAGAGAAGACTCGTGAAGAGCAAAAAACCTGGTCATGCTTGATCTTATACATATGTTTTAAATTGCAGGAACTCGGACTCGGGCCATCAGTGCCGGTGCACGTTGTTCTCCAGGATTGGATAAGACATTCTGATGGCAAGCTTAGTTTCTTAGGCTTTGTCAGATTGCTACATGGCGTGTCTTCTCGGACCTTACAAAAAGCTTAGAGTAACGCCATTGTTAGATGAGAAAAGATGCAACTAGGTGGAGTAGATCTGGTTTCTTCCTTTCTTTCCACTTCTTGATAGTTTTTTTAGATTTCTTTTTCTATTCATGGGTAAGCTTCTGAGTCAAAGATTCGATAATTATGTCTGTGAGTGTATGTGTGTGTGGTGGGAAGGAAAAGTTTATGAAGAAGAGGAATGTACAGAATGAGACATATCCGATGATTGTTTTAATCCAGTGATGTTTTATCATTACACATTACGTGTGGAGCACTCTATTAATGGCCGCCGGATAAACAATTTGTCTGTGTTCCATCTCTGTATCAGACCAATGATACGACACGTGACTGTGTCTCACAATTGTCGGAGACACCCACGTGACTTTGACCTTCAGATCTCTGATCTCATCTTGATATCTACCTAACCGTCGCAAAGATTCTTTCTTTCTTTTTACTTTGATCTAGATTACAACAGTTTCATTAATGGCGACAATGAGCAAAACCCACAGGTCAAAAGCCACTCCGAGATCTCAAAGACTTGTTCTGTTATGTACAGTCGCCGTTGCATTTCTCTTCCTTTTCACTTCGGTGATCTCCACGGGAGGATTGGCTTTACCGTATCGGACAACCCTAATTGGTTATTTCGTGAGGTCAACTCGAAGCAAGAGACAGCATAGTTTTTCTGACAAGTACTTGTATTGGGGAAACAGAATCGATTGTCCTGGTAAGAACTGCGAGACCTGTGCCGGTTTAGGTCACCAAGAATCTAGCCTTAGATGTGCACTTGAAGAAGCCATGTTTCTTAACAGGTAATTTGCAAAATCCACCTAAATGTCAAACTTCTGAGATTTCTGATGAAGTTCTTGAAATGGCGATTAGCATTCTTGTTCAATGAGATGGTTAGTAGAATAAATGATGCAGCTTTATTGGTAAGATGGTTTCTGTAATTGCAATTTTCTTGTTGCAGGACTTTTGTAATGCCATCTCGGATGTGCATCAATCCAATACATAACAAGAAAGGTATACTTAATCGATCCAATAATGAAACTACAGAGGAAAGGTCAGGGTTTCTGAAAATGACTTTAAAAACTTACTTTTGTTTTGTTCCCAACTTTTAAACACAAGAGGGTCTCTCCTTTGTATGTTCTTAGTTGGGAAGTTAGCTCGTGTGCAATGGAATCACTGTATGATATTGATCTCATCTCTGAGAAGATACCTGTGATTTTGGATGACTCGGAAACATGGCACATTGTGCTATCGACGAGTATGAAATTGAAAGAACGAGGAAGTGCGCATGTATATGGGGCCAACAGGCATGAGCTAAATGAATCTAGCCACTTTTCAAATCTTTTGCTCATTAACCGAACCGCAAGTCCCCTCGCATGGTAAGCATTGCTGAGGAAACTGAGTTTCCCATCGATTGAAAGTTGCTGTTCCTCGAGCATCGTTTTCTTATCTTGTTTGTGTTAGTCATCATCATACTTAAGTTTGATCAGATCATATATCTATCTATCTTCATTGTAGGTTTGTTGAATGCAAGGATCGAGGTAATCGTAGCGATGTCATGCTTCCTTATTCATTTCTCCCGAATATGGCAGCATCAAGATTGAGAGATGCTGCCGAAAAGGTGAATTAGTTTCACATAATCCATCAATCTAGCTTTAAAAGGAAAAGGAGATGGTTCTCTTCTGTTGAATTATGTATCAGTTTTGGTTGCACAGATAAAGGCACAACTTGGTGATTACGATGCAATCCATGTTCGTCGAGGTGACAAACTGAAGACAAGAAAAGACAGGTTTCGCGTTGAAAGAACTCAGTTTCCACATTTAGATAGAGACACACGTCCAGAGTTCATCATTGGTAGAATTCAGAAGCAGATCCCACCAGGACGGACTCTTTTTATCGGTTCTAATGAGAGAACCCCTGGATTCTTTTCACCTCTAGCTATCAGGTAAAACCATAAGGTCTAGATTCAAGTTCTATAGTTATATATGTGGAAGTTTCATGTAAGACTCTTGTTCACTGCAGGTATAAAGTGGCTTATTCATCGAATTTTAGTGAGATTTTGGATCCGATAATCGAAAACAATTATCAGTTGTTTATGGTGGAGAGGCTGATAATGATGGGTGCAAAGACATTCTTCAAAACATTTAGAGAGTACGAAACGGATCTAACTTTGACAGATGATCCGAAAAAGAACAAGAATTGGGAAATACCAGTTTACACCATGGATAAAGGCAAAGAAGCAGCAAGCTAAACTATCCATGATCTCACTAGCAAAAGACTACACAACGATTCAGACAAGAGTCTCATCACTTTTCAATTACTTGGAGTTAAAAGCCTAATCTTGTCTGAAGATTCTATTGCCGGTACTCGAAGAAATCTGTGTATGTGAAACCAGAGACTAACAGACTAGAGCACTTTCTTGCTACTTGGCTGTTTCATTTTTGTGTAAATCAATCTGTTTATTGTTACTTTAATGTTGATTTTCATCAGAGATAGTTTGTTTCAAATAAAACATTCGAGTTAAGCAAAGTTTCTGCAAGGACTTTCGATATTTTCTCAAGTCTTCAGCTTAAACTATATCGTAATCCAATACAAGTGTAATTCCATATTTTGTTTTGTTTTCTAAGGAAAAAAGGTTTTGTGAATGGTAAAATGGATCAGTAGATTTTAATCCCTGAAGGTTTAATCAGATAAGCCTCTCCATGTTTCTTTCAAATCTGTACTTTACATAAACATAACCTAGGCACTTTGTTCTAAAACTACAACGCGAAACAAAAAGAAAACCTAAAAGAAAGAAAAAGAGGATGTAAATCAGATCATTCGCTGGACATATTATCGTAAGGCAAGGCCATTTCCGTTGTTAGAACGCAGCAGAAGAATACCTCTTGTGTTGTACAATGTCTTCATCTCGAATCAACAATGTTTCTGAAACTTCCTAGTAAAGGTTTAGTGAGAGTGTGCTTCAAGAAGGATATTGGTGGCAGCGTTGATATCATTTCTGGCGTGTACAAGGGCCTGTCTCGCTGCGTTCTGGTCAAATCCCATAGATACCAAAGTAGCTATGGCTTCCTCAGATGGCTCTGTAGTTGATGGAATTGGGGCTCGATAAGCTCTCTGAAAAACAGAAACATTACATGTCAGCAAATGAAGATAGGTCATTTAGATTGTAACAAGAGTATGGCTAAAGAGGCAAAAAATAGATGCTGCAGAGATAAAGACTTGCCACTGCTTGGCGACCTAAGTTGGGTGATGTCCTTCTTGGTGGTTGAGATTGGCTGCTCAAGGAGGGTAAGGAAAACCGGGAGAATAATGAAGCCATGAACTCCGGAAACTGTCATGTGTTTTAGACAAAAACTAGTGTTAGTGCCACTGTGTTACTAAAGTGACAAAAACCCACGTTTGAGGAGATGAATGATGTTTGTTTTTAAGCAAAAAGTTGGAAAGGTATAACCTTTGCCTTGCGAATACCAAAGATATTCAACCGATACAAGGAACCAGCAATTATGCCACAAATTCCAGTTAAGATGGATCTTTTCCAAGATGATAGTAAAAGCTACAAATATTGGAACCAAGACAATTTATCAATGAAAAAAGTATTCTACAGTAGAATAAGAAGTCCTACAAATAAACATATGGTACTGTTTACCTGGACACCAGCAAGATATATGAATGATTTATCAGAGAAGTGGACGCCCAATACACCAAACCTCTTTGTAACTGGAATGTCCAAGAAGAAGGGTACAAAAGAAGCAAATACAAGAGCGTATGGTCCAGATGTCAGTAGGTTTGCAGTAGGATCTACAAAAAAAACAGCTTTTTGTTATATACCCACTATCAAAAACGCTTATTAAGAATGCACAAAAAGCATTTCTTGATAATTTAAATGGTGGACCAAGGGAATTCTTTGTAAGATATATTCAATAGTATGAGTGAAGGAAACTGCAGAACAGAATTGGAAACCAAAAAAAAGATCATCACAATATCCCAATCCTCCCTTCACAGGTGAGACTAGTAACAAGGATAATCTAAGACAACGAATAACTATAATCCCATTTAGTTGTCTGCATTAGCGCCACTAAATCATATCCTAAGAAAGAGTACTAACCAAACCGGTGTAGTTTTTGAAGAGACTATCTGAAATTGGAAGGTTACCTTTAGTCAGTGATAACAAAATGGTCTCTAGTATTAGTGATACAAATCCAGAGAATAAGATGAAAACCTGCAGGATGAGCACATATTAACTCATAGAATTTCAATCTCCAAGGAATTATCAGCAGTTATCTTTCTAGTTACCAAATTAATGGACAAAAAAGTCATGACGAAAAAAATTGAGCTGGACTATCCGTCTATCCCTTACCGAATACTTATTTGAACCAATCTGTCTCTCAAAGACTCGGAAGAAGTACAGCAGATACAAGCCAGAAAACAATTCTGTTGTGGACGAGAATGCAAACGCCGATATAATTAACTTCCAAATCCGAAACTTCTCAAAAATATCCTGCAATGAGATTGGCAGAAGTTTATAAAGAGATACAATTGACTGCATCTCAGATATCTAATTTTTCATAGCAACTACAAGTCCTTCTCAAAAGAAACAAATCTGAACTTGTAGCACATGAACAGAGATCTCTGAAACAATCAAACATCTTTCCAAGTGCAAGGCTACAGCCATACACAATGAGATGAGTAGACGCAAATTATCGAACTATTTAACATTTGGAGCCTCACCCCACTGGCTGATGACTAATCCTAGTAAAAACTCCATCACTATTCAGTATGATACCAATACTAAAGCTTTATCGGTTTAGCTGCTTCCTATTAAGAAAGCAAAATTTGCAAACTACAGTGAAAACCTAAGCATAATCGGAATCGTAATCCGCAATCTTTTATAGTGCCAATGTTGGTAATTAGAACGCAGCTAAACAATTGGTACCAAGAATACCAAATAGAAAACAAATCTGAACCAAAACCCAATCCCAATTCTTCTATAAACCCACAAGAGCTTAAAAATCAAACAAGAGTAAGAGGATCACAAATACAGCAAAATCAAATGAGAAATGACCTGGTAAGACAAACCGAGCTTGGAAGAACCTCCCCGGATCCCGAAGAACACAGTGAAAAGGGCAGTCGCGATGACGAAGGCTTTCGTGACCGGAGCATTATCTGCAAATTTCAAAGATTTCGACATTAATCGAAAAACCCCGAAGCTGATCGAGTTTAATGAGAAATGGGTTATTCATTTCGATACGTACTGAAACCGGAAGGACCTCCGTTCATCTTAATCGGATGAACAGAAACAATCGCTGGAGCGAGTTCGTCGCGAAATAGTGCGATCGGAGCTCAAGTCGCCTCCGATGAATTTTCTACGAAGGGATGTTTCCGGGAACCTCTCGAATTCAAAACAACACTCAGATAATTAAATGGAAACAAAATAATCACAAGAAACAGAACAATCCAGAATCTTTCATTATTGTTTGCTGATTTAATATTTTTTATTAGCATTATTCCCTTAAACTAATTATATATAATTAAAAAAATAAAACATATTACACATAACTCCCCAAACCTTTCATTTATTACAATATGAACCCTCTAGTTTTAAGTTGGACTTAATAAACCCAATTTGTTTATTTTTTTCCTAACATGCGCATCATAATCATTTACTTCAAAATTCCAAATTCCTCAAGGCACTTTTCCTTTTTTTTTTGGATTCAAAATTTTGTTTACAGTCAACGACGGAAGATACGCCACTTTAACCTTTTTTGGCCCTGATATCAACCCGTTAAAAGCACATTCTTGGCAAGTGCACTGTCCACCTAAGATACGCCACTTCTTGTGGCAAATCTTAACAGGTTGTGTACCGGTTACGGAAAATTTGCGGAAAAGAGGAATTGATTGTGACACGGGCTGTGCCAAATGTGGCGCACCTGAGGAAACGATCAATCATACCCTCTTTCAGTGTCATCCGGCACGACAGATTTGGGCGCTTTCACAGATTCCTACGGCTATTGGGATTTTTCCCACAGAATCTAATTTTGCGAATTTGGATCACTTATTTTGGAGAATACCTTCAGAATTTGATTCGTCAGCCTTCCCGTGGATTATCTGGTATATTTGGAAAGCAAGGAACGAAAAAATCTTTGAAAACATAGATACAGACCCAATCGAGGTATTACGATTAGCGGAAAAAGAGGCACAATTGTGGCAATCAGCTCAAATTGAGCTCCATAATGAAAATCATGGTTATGTGGATTTGGTAAATCGAATTCGAGTGAGGGATGTTTCACTTGAATCGAATTATTCCGGATACCGTTGTTTTGTGGATGGATCATGGAAAGAAAGTGACAAGTTCTCCGGTACAGGGTGGTTCTGTACATCGTCAAATGGAGAGCCGCCAACCATGGGAGCTGCGAACCTCCGTAGAAGTCTATCTCCACTACATGCCGAAGTCGAGGCCCTTCTCTGGGCGATGAAGTGTATGATTGGTGCAGATAATCAAGAGGTAGCGTTCTTTACAGACTGTTCAGACCTGGTGAAGATGGTGTCTTCTCCAACCGAATGGCCGGCGTTTTCAGTGTACTTGGAGGAATTTCAGAGCGACAAGGAGGAGTTTTCATCTTTTTCTTTATCTTTAATTTCTCGTAGGGCTAATGTTAAAGCGGATAATCTGGCACGAAAAGTTCGTACAGAACCGCTTCATATCACCTATGTAAACAACATTCCTCAGGAATGGCTTTTTTGAGCTTTAATTAATTTCGGATGACAAAAAAAAAAAGTCAACTACGGAAGAATTTAAGACTACATATGCTGCGACAATATCGAAATAGTCTCTTCCCTAACCATAATTAATCAATTAATTTACAATTTTTTTAGCAAAGTTTTCACTTTTCACTAGAAAGTAGAAACCAAAACTATTACAAGTAACACTATTCCAAGGCTTGTGATGGCCACAATCGTTTCCATGTAGAAATCTCTTCCTCCGTACCCAATTTCTTTACTCCGCCGTAGAAACCGTTTTCTTCATCTCCCGTCTCACGGTGTTCCTTCCTGTTTATCACCGTCCTTCTCCACGGTGACTCCGGTCTAAATTGTCTGAACTCCATCACCACATTCTCTGCCGAAACACACAATAATCCATAAATTATTTTTTTCCATAATTAACGAATCGAATGTTTCTAAAACAAATTATAACTTATAATAAGATTGTTACCATCAGAGTGGCAACGGCAATTTTCTCCGCCGTCGCAGTTTTGCAGATGACCAACGATTCCGAACCACCAACCTACGCCGGAAAATTAAAAAAAATTCACCAAAAATCAGACGAATTAAACGCACAAGTAGTCGAATTTAATTCCAATTTAGAAGAAAATATTTGGAAAACAGAGAGAGAGAGAGAAGAGGGACCATAAGGGAATTCTTTGGTTCTTCGCCATTGGATCTCGAAATGGTCACCAGGTCGAAGTCCGTGCAAGCAATCTGACACGTGTAGATCACGTGACTTTGTGTCGTCTTGAGACGGTCTCAGCCTCTGCCACCTCACCTTTTCCTCCGCCGCTCGCCGGCCATGCGCCGAGTATCTTGAAAAACAGAGACATTCAAAAATTAATAATAAAATCTTGAGAAAAAAAATCACACTTTCTGGGAATAGATTTCATTACCTAGCTTGAAATGTATCAGTCTTGAAATCGTATCTGATTTTAGCATCGTAACAAGACATCATGAATCCAACATGTCCGTTCTGCATCCAAAACCAAAACAAAAACCAAATCTCCGAATTTAGAAATCAAAAGAAACAATTTTCTCCAATTTATTCAAATGGGTAAACACTAAAACCCAAAAAGATGAAATCTTTCAGTCTTTTGGTCATAAGCATTACCTCACGATTGTAGACTTGAGCAGGGAACCAAAACTTGCCATTCTCAAGGTTTGAGTACCAATACATCACAGAATCAATAGGTGCGAAATATGTTGATGATCCTCTGTTGTCACAACCATGGTTTGAACTTAACCATGCAAAGGGTTTAAGACTCGCAACAAACCTCGAACTCCAGTTTGGTTTACTCTTCCTACTACTACTACTACTTCTGAGACATCTCATTATCGTAGCAACGTGAGATTTCCACTCTTGTATTGCTGCATCACCCATCAATCTTCCCCATTTCTTCTCCATATGCTTCTCCCATAGATGGTCGCTTATACATTTGTCCCTTAGCTCAGAGCAAACACAAGTCATTGCACATAGCTCAGATGGAGAGAGCTTCTCTAAGATGCAGTCTAAGGTTAAGTCAGGCAAATCCAGGAGAGACATTTTGTTTTCATCTTCTTGATTCTTCTTCTTCTTCTTCGTTTCTTTTCTCCATGCTAATGTTCTTATTAACCCATTTCGGATTATGCTTCTTGCAAGCCAAGAAACTAAAAGTAGCCCACAAATTGTGTTGGAGAAACAAAACGAAAGGAAAGTGAGGTACTGTTTCTCCATTGAAAGCAAGAAACGAGAGAGAATCAATGAGAACAGAGAGAGAACAGAGTGAGATTATTGGCTAGAGAGACAGAGAGAGATTGATTGATTTACGGCTCAACAAAAGAAAAGTTGTTTTTGCCTTTTTGGTCATTTACACACGCAATTCAAGAGGAGCTGTCTCATGTAGTCACGCTTTTTGTATGTGTATGTGTATGTGTATGTGTATATATTTACAACTTACATGTATGAAGCAAGAAAGCTTGAAACTGAAGACATTTTAAACACAAACATTTTAATAACAAAAACACTAAATAGACAACGAACTGTGAACAATAGGGGTGGGCACGGACCGGATATCCGGGTTTTTGGTGGTATTTGTTATTCGATTCGTTTTTTCCGAATACTAAGTTTTCCGATTCTTATTTGCTTCGTTAGTGACCGGATATCCGGCTGTTCGAATATCCGTTAAAATCCAAACTATTTGCCGGATATTCGATCCGTTAAGTATTTGTATAAAATTAAATTAAAAAAAAATCTAATCCAAAAATTGTAAAATTTTATTAAAAATAGTAAATTTTATCAAAAATATATATATTTCTCCTTTAATTGTTCAAACAAGTAGTTCAAATAATTAATTCGGAGATTAAAAATTATAAAACCCTTACAAGAATAATAAAATTATAATTTATATATGTAATAATCTATATATATATGTATGTATTCCGGAGCGAAGCGGATATCCGCCAATTTGAATTATAGTATTTGATATTTGCTCCGTTTTTTACGAATACATATTTTTAATATTTGATTTGCTTCGGAAAGTTACGGATATCCGGATTTTTCAAATCGAATCGAATCGAATAACGGATCGAAGCGAATCTAACGAATATTTTGCCCAGCCCTAGTGAACAATAATGAGGTTTAGGGTTTTTAAAGATTCGTTGTGAGGCTATTTAATAAAAGGTGCAACATTAAATTGGGTGAGCAATAAATACAGTTAGGAGTAGGTGGAAGCAGAGGCAAAACCACTAATGACATTGGTTGGGTCAATAAGATGACTTCAAGTGGCAATCCCATGAGAGGCTTATAGAGAAAGTGACCTTATAGAGTTTATGTCGTGCGTGACAGCTGGCGCTCGTTGCACCGATTTTTAGGTCGATTCATTTTCAATCTTAAAACTACTCAAATCAACAAAATCAAATTTCACTTGAGGCAAAGAATGTATTGAAATCGTAAACACCTTCCCAACTACTTTCTCTTTTTGTCCGTAGCCTAATTCAACCAAACTTTCCAACTACTTTGTACAAAAATACTTTAAAGATTATGGAACAAAAGTTGGTTTATTGATCTATCGACATAATCTTGAAAGTCTTAAAGCCAAAATCTCACGAAACCAATACCGACTTGGTCAACTCCTTCTGGTAGTTCAACTAAAGTGAAGTATACGACATACAGTTGATAAGATTTGAACTAAAAAACAAAATTGAAGTCTTTTTATTTCCAAAAAATAGAACCCTACCTAAGGGTGAATTGTCCCAAACACACGGGCCCAAATCAAACCCCAATGCCTAGTTTTTTTTTTTTAACTTGTTACTATCTAAACTCAATTACTAACTAGCTGATGTTGGCATTATTGATGAACTCTTAATCAGCAGTACCGGGACAAAAACAGAGTAAAGTGAAGCTCATTCTAGTGGACTTTCTTTGCTTTCCCCACAGAAGCTTTTTCTTATGGACTTCAAGAACTTTGGGCACCTTCTTCAAGCATTGGACGAGCGCTTGCTTTTGGAATTTGGTCCATTGGGCTTATCTTATTTATCATTTTTAAGTACGGATTTGGAAAATCGTTGATGATGAAGGTTGTAAACTTGTAAGTGTTGCTTTTGGAATTTGGAAATTGGTCCAATGGGCTTTAAAATAAAACAATTTGGTCCAATGGACTTCTCTTCCTATGTGAGAAAACAATATCCAAAACAAACACAAACATATATACTTATATAGTAGTACATATATGGATGTAATGTTTTCAGATTTATAATTAGTTGATAAATTTTCATAAAAGACTGCATGCACACTCAAAATGAATAAAAACATAGACAAAATTCATAAATGAAATGCTTCAACATAATAGTTAACTATTATAAAGTTATAGTTATATATGTGTGACTTGCTTATTTAAAGTGATATCTCTACAAAAGTAAGATTATGTATATTTGCATTAAATAACTTGATAATAGTAGTTTTAATCTCTTTGTAAAGAAGTTTTTTTTAACTTCTCAAATACTAGTATATAAGATATGTACCTATAATACAATTTATACGTATATCCATGAGAACAATGTAACATCTAGATCCTAGATGAATTCAGTACGGTGTGTTCTACAAGAAAGAACAAAAAAAAATTAAGTGGGTGGAGCCTTGGAGGATATGTATAATGGATATTTTCATGGACAATAACTCCATAAATACGCATCTACTTGATACTTGATAGATTGTCGTGGAAGAAGTCGTTTGGATCCGTTTACTTCCAAAGTCAACCCACTTACGTGCTCTCTGAATAATGAAAATAAATCCATCTATTGTATATAGGTTTTTTTTTCCTTTCTTTGAAAATAATTAAAACATTTGAACGTTCATATAGGTAATAACCATTTTCTCCAACAAATGATGTCAAATGGGGTGACGTAGAAAATTAAACTTTATTATAAAATGAATACATGACAAGGGGAGGTATGTTTATTTGTTTTTGGGAAAATGATGACCTATTGACAACTTTTATTGACATGTATCGAGCCAAGTCGTAAACTTGGAATTATCTTATTTGTCATGTGAATTTGAAAGACTATCAGTCTACGTACACGTGACTTGACTTCTTTGAAGATCTATGTTCTATGGTCAAGTTTGAATTTTTTTTAAAGTACTAAAAATTTCTCGAATGTTTTGAAAACTTTCTTTTGAGTAGTGGACTAACACCGAATATTAATCTCTTATTAGAATCCACTGTAGTCTATACGATGATTAAAACCTCATCAACTTTGTGAATATAATGTAAAATGAAATTAAAATTAGGAGTTTTGAGAGGGGCAATTAGAGGGCCCTCATTAATATAGATCGATTTTAAGAGACCTTTTAGTTAGGACAGAGTCCACACAGCACATACCGCAGTGCTACCCTCCCCCTTCCCACTTGTCCACATGGACCCCTTTTGCCTTCATTTCTCTCAATTATTTTCCAATTATAAGCTTTTAGTTATAGTTTTTTTAAGAGTTTTCTGCTCGTAAATTACTCTCCGAGATCAACATTGACATTATGTTTAAATTGTAATAGATGCTAATAAATTTCTACCAAATAACACTTTTTTGTTGTTGGAGTCGGCAAAGAAAAAAGTTGGCCAAGAATATAACTAAAAATCAGTATTAGGTGTTTAAATACTAATATTAACTTCAATTTTTCCACATATACACTCAATAGTCAATACCTTTTTTCTTTAAGAAAATCGACTAAACTAAATCACCAGTACTTAGATCTGTTATCTATAATGCCATACTTGAATTTGGAGCAGAGATAGACACTGTGTATTCCGTGCTCACCAATTGGAGTTGACTCTAATTGAAGGACTTACCCTTTTCATACTGCATATATTAGAAATATAATAATTTACTTACCAAGAAATATAGTTCAAAAATATAATTTATACTTGTAGTTATATCTTCTCTTTTTGATAAAATGTTTAGATTTTATCGGTTGATTTCTTTTGTTTTAGGATCAAATTTGGGTTAGTTCACTATGAGTCTATGATTAGCATCCTCATTCATCAATATAATGGATCCTTCGATGGTTCCCGCGAAGGTTAGTTATATTAGTTTTTTTTTCTTCTTCCATTTTGTTTATTTTTTGGGATTTTTGTCTTTTATACTTGGTGAGATCAATATCGTCGGGTCAAGTGACGTCATGGCGTCTATATGTCTACATCAGCGATCTTGACGTGGCGCTTCTGTTGATGCCCCTGATGGCTAATTAGCCGACGGCGGCTTCCCCTTTAACTTATCCTCATATTTTCCCTCACGCGATCGTTTTGGAGCGTGCAATACACACACAATATTCTAAAAAAAATGAAAACCCTATTTGAATTTAGATTCTAATAATTTTATTTGTCACCAAAAAATTCATTATTTATCCGATTTGACTGCCATTGAAAATTTGAAATGTTCAAATGGTTTAGATATCTCTAATAAGTGGTCAATTCTTTAAATACTGGTTATTGTAGTAGATATACTATAACACAAGTATGATAAATATGACTATCATCAGTTTAGTCCAAGATTATTCAATCAAAAAGAGTAACAAATCACACTAGTCATCTAAGTAAGAACATGGAGACACGGTGAAGTTAAACGCTCGTGGACTAAACGCGCCGTCGGCAATCAGCCGGTGATGACTCATCAACTCAATGCCATTTAATTTTTGTTTGCTTCTCTCTTCCCTTAATTCTCTCCTTTCTCATTAACTTCCACTCTCCTTCCTAAAAGTAAAAAGTAAAAACAATCAAAAGTTTATTATTGTGTATATATTTAAAAATTGGACTAAAACAAGAGAGAGCTCACACAACTAAAATCTTCTCTTACAAAAGAACTAAAAGAAGATGGATCAGTCATCATCAACGTTGCTTATAAACCAGAGAAAGTCATCATCGTCTCCGACGAGGATACCACCGAAGCAGAAGAGGAAATCAACGACGACGAACAAACCCATCAAAGTCCGTTACATATCTAACCCGATGAGAGTCGAGACTTGTCCTTCTAAGTTCAGAGAGCTCGTTCAAGAACTCACCGGTCAAGACGCTGCCGATCTACCACCGTCACCCACCACTTTCGTCGCCGCAGATCTCCACCGTCCGTGTGAGTCGGATATGAACCCTGAGCCGTTGGATAGTGAGGTTCGTGAGTATTATTCACCGTTGGATGAGGAAGTGTTTAATGCTCCTCAGATGTCGGCAGGTCTTTCTGGTTTTTTCTCGTCTGGGTTTTACAATGTGAATGCTTTAGGAAGCATTGGTTCTCTCTGAATATCTTATATTAAAAAAAAAAGAATGTTTAGTTTCCGGCAGTGAAACACCGATCACGAAGAATAAACCATCTATAGTTTTAGGGTTTTCTTTTCATCAAAACCTATATATGGATATATAACATATCTAGTTTTTTTTTTTTTTTTTCGCGAATTATTTGCGTTTGTGAGTATATAAACCGCAAATCTTTTAAGGGAGAAATCTTTCATTTGTTTGTGTTTTTTTTTTTATAATAATCAAACCGTACTAGGTGGGTTTATTTGTGTAAATATGTAATAACCTATAGTAGCTTATGAAATTTTCCAATTTGGTGGTAATGATTTTGTGATCAGTTTAATCTCCGATGTAAATGATCACAAACGGAAAAGAAATAATAGTCCATTTAGAGCTTTTAAGTTATCACGGACTTTAGTAGAACATTTGGATAGATGTATGATGTATCCCTTTTGTTTTTTTTGGATGACCCCATCTGTGTATAATAGACGCAATAATACAATTATATTTCAATATTTTAAAATGATACAGAACTATGATTTATCTTTAACTATTCATATATTTCAAATTTTAACAAAAATCATTTTTTTGTTGGTCCAAAAAAAAAAACAATTGAAAGTTTGTTAAATACAGTATCATATATCAAAAATTAAACAAAAATCATTTGTTATATAGAATTAAACTTCAGTGAGCATACATACATATGCAAACATACTGTTTCTATGACTCCTCACAAGTTACAAATGAAAGTTTCAATGAATATTTGTTAAGGCGATGGATCCGATGATTTTTGCATGCATGTTTGCATTTCTATTTGGTATTTTGCTTCTAAGTTAAAGTTAATGTGACACAGATAACAAAACCTATCAGTTTGATTGTTTATAACACAAACATTTACATATTATATTCAAATATTACTTACAGATTAAAAATATACACTATGCCTTCAAATATTATTTTAATGTTAGTTAACCATTTATAAATTGTAAACACAATTACACAAAAGCAAAGCATATACAAATTTTTTTAATTATGTTTGTGTTTCGCATCTGCATTTACAATCTACAAACAATATTTTATGGACACATTCATTTGATACAAACTACATTTAATGGAAACAACAACTTGGTTCGTACGGATTGTGTTAATCGTAGTTGACTATTGTGATGTCTTAAATTGTAGAAATATTCAACGTTCCACAATTTTTAAAATTTCTTTAGAAATGTGATTTGTGAGCTAGGTTCGATGTAAAGAAAAAAAAAAAAACACCCCAACGATTTATGAGATAGCCAATTTGAATTCAAAAATAATTTATCTAAACAGATGTATCATTTTTTAGCATTCGCTTGGAACAATCTTATCTTTTGAGTTTTGACTAAAAAGATGACTAATGTTTTGACGCTTGTTTCGCACGGTCAATAGACCGACTCGTTTCAATTGTCAACAAGAACTGACACATTAATACACAATTTATTTTCTGTATGTTTAGTTTTTGTTTGTTCTACTAGAATTGAACCCGCGGTACACCACGGGGCTATAACTTTTTTAAAAAATTATTGAAGTAAATTTTTTGATATATAGAACCTATTGATCGTATATGATTTTTAATAAGATGTAGCTCGTATAGTTGAAGTATAGTATTATTTAGCTTTGTATGGCTACATATATATAGAATAAGATTTTGACCTGACCCATCAAAATCACATATATATACAAACTTTTAGTTATTGTATTTTAGATAATAATTTTCAGTTTATTTGTTTTTTTTTTTAATTTTCAATTATTTAGTTTTTGTCCAACTAATTTATCATTTTGTTTGGACTCGTGGTACAAACACACATATTTTTTCTTATGTTTTATACTTATAGTTTATAACTTAAAATGTGTTTATTTTATTATATTAAATTTGTTATTGAATAAAATATAAACACATGTTTGATGTATATACAAATTAAATATTTTTGTTTAGAAATTTATCAATTAAAAGTAGTTGCTTTAAAAGTAAAAAGGTGTTAGTTTGTATAATATATTGTAGTTTGTATAATAAATATGGATATCATTTGTAACTTAATTAATTCCACACCATGATTACAAATACCAAAATATAAATCAATAAGTTAATAGTTTTATTGTTGGTTTAATAGTTCAAACCTGGTATGCTAGGTCCATCCCACAACGGGTTTAAAGATTTTTAACCCGCAAAAAACTATTCTACAAACCCGCAAAAGGATATAGTATGCATGCATCCCCCTGCTTGATTTCACAAGACTTGCGGCCATTTTACTAAATCCCTTTTTCTCATTTATTGTTGTCGGTGTCACTCTTCTTATTTATAAAATATATTTTATGGAAAAAAGTTATTATTAATTAAAAAACCTAAGTTAGGGTAAATTAAAAAAAAACTATTATTAATTAAAAAAAAAAACTTAAGTTTAGGGTTACTTAAAATAATTAAAAAACGACTTTTCCCTTTGTTTTCAAGCTCTTTTTTTTTATGCACTTCATTTTTTTTTGGTGCAAATCTTTTTTTTTTGGTATGTCCTATGATGAGTATCTATATTAGATTTGGTATGCGTAAACGAAAATTGTCCACACACCCTAGAATTATTAATAAATTTCAGAAATTATATATTTTAAAATCTTAGTTTGGAATTAATCAACTTAAATCAGATTTCATCGCTTGTGTAATTATTTCTATACATACACTCCTTCAAAAAAAAAAACAGAATCTAAAAACAAAATTAAAAATCAATAAAGCTACAAATTAATATAGAAACAATATTGATTTTAGTTACAATTTTTGGAAACACGTTTTCTATAAGATTAGCTTTTGTTTTTTTATCAACGTTAACATTAATTGTTTTTTTAAATAGCAATTAGCAAATGAGTGAATGTAGGTATGGAAAGATAAGTTGTAAGAGATAATTTAGGATCTAAATAGTTGTGTTAATATCTTTTATTAAATTTTTCAATCTTTTAGAATTAAAACCAATGGCATTCTTTGTAAATACTTAGCAACTCTAGGATTTATTTGCTAAATGTACTCCAAAAATGTATATATAGATATGTTTACTTGTCACCATCTGTCAAATTATTACTGGTTAAGAAATCTAGTTTTGTTATCGAATTAATGTACCTTATAGTCAATAAAGGAATATGGACCAACCAATTCCATATAGAGAAACAAATATGAATATCTTTTTTTTTTTGGGACAAAAAAACAAAATACGAATATCTTTTTTTTTTTTCCTCAAGTTTCGCTGTAAATTTTGTCCGTCAATATTTAAGAAAAAAACTAAACTAATAAATTTGTTTTCTTTGGTCATATATAAAAAAAGCTTAAAAACCAATAATCTATAACAAAAAATTTAGCAGATACATTAACAGGACCGACAGACCTCAAGTCTCGTAATTTTCCTTCCACCTTGGTATGTCGGTGAGACGGTGACGATGAGACGGGAGATATTTGGGTCACTAAATGGACGATACTAAATAATACAAAAACAGATTTTTGAATTATCATGAGAACCAAATTTTTTGTTTTTAAAAAAGAAAAAAAAAATTGTTTTATATATCTATCTTTTGAGGTTATTTAGTTGTGATGTTATGCATGCCTTTATCAAATAGGCGAGCTCATTATACACAAATCTAAACATGAGAAAGATGCTCGGAAAAATGAAGAGATGCACAAAAATACAAAAGCCAACGTGACAACTATGAGAAAGCAAACCTTTCACCACTTTTATTAACTTTAAAGTCCAAATTAATCTTAATTAAGAGTTTATTAGCTTCAACAAAAACATTCAACTCAAAGAAAAGGAGAGAAACTATGGGGCTTTGTCATGGAGTTTCTTCATTGATAGTTCCTAATGATCTTCGCAACCGAAGAATATGTCCCCAAGGTTCCGCTTACCAACCCGATGGCCACAATTATCGAACTCAGAATCATCTGTATTACACAACTCAGTGTTAACCTTAAGAATTCAAATACAGAAACTCATCACCCCCTAATAACTTCAAGAAATTGATAACAGGGCACCAAGAAGGCTCAATTTATATACCTGTGTTCTAGTAGCTTTGTTCCCCATTATTTTTATGAAGCATAGAGCTGGCATTACTATTGCCTGAACCATACAAACATTCATGGAAAAGACTTTTGAGTTTTTGTGTGTCGCATTTGGTAACAATAATGTTCTTAGGATATTAAAGAGGATGATGGAAACTAACCACGAGTATACTGAGAAGAGATCCTATAAGAGCCATCATAAGACCTGTGTGGAAAACAAACCAATTGCAAAAGAAGACCATTAAGGAGAAAATCTAGTAAAAACACATGCTAGTGAGTTCTCAACCTTTCTAGCTTAATGTTCTTACCAAAAAATGGGATAAGGAAAGCAGAACAAACAGAAGAAGCGACGAGTGCTGTTCTTAGAAGAAGAAAGCACCATATGTTCTCTGACATTCTTTCAGGTAGTAGTTCTTCTATACTCCTTGCAAGTGGATTCATCAGGAGAGCGTATTTTGTAAACGGATTCACAACCTGAAGAAAGGATAAACCATAACCAAGATGGAGTTTTAGTGTAAAATGGAACTTCCAAAGATTATGGAGAGAAAAAACAAAAAACAGGTTATGTTTTCTAACCGTTGTCCACTGTGCCACTTTTGAGAAAAATTGGTTCTGTGGCATGTTTAGTGTAATCTGAGACAAGGTAGCTTCACCAAACATGAGATAACCCATGATTGCAACTCCTCCGTATAACAAAACACATAAAATGAAACTGCAAAGTAGACAAAACAAAAATTGTTGGTTTCAGAATTGGATTGATAAACATCAAAAGCTAATATAAGAGTGAGGGTTTTGGTTTTACCATATGACCACTGCTTTGTTGAATTTGGTTTTATCAGCCATGGATTGGTAGATATTTGGAAAAACAGAATGTCCTGAATAGCAAAAACCGTAAATACCAATTGCAAACGGTATCCCGTTCCATTTCACAGCCTGCCCGGTGTGATGAAACCCAATTCCACCCGTTGTACCGAGGAAAAACACGCTTACTGCTATCAAAGCGGTTGCAATAACTCCACCAGCTATGGAATCAAAGAAAAAAAAGTGAACTGGTTCAAGATTCTTGACTAAAGATAATCATTTGAAGAAAAAAAGCAGTTTATTGTACCTGAGAGGTAGGAAATGATGCGTAGATCTTTCAACCAAACAGTTGGCAGAACAATGAGAGCAGTTAAGATTCCAAATAAATGTTTAGAGTCAAGTCGGAACCCGAGCAAATCCAAGGATGTACCAGGGAAAAGCCCGGTAAGGTTATCTCCTTCCAAAATGATGAATTCAACACAATATGACTACAAAAAGTGGATAAAGATTCTAGTAAGTTCAAATTGTGCAGACAGAAACAAGCTCTAGATCCATGAGTTTAATTTGGCTACAAAAAGGCTTCACTTACATATAGTTCTGTGTACAATAGCATCTGCACAAAAGACACAATAACATTGCAGAAACCATAAGAAACTATGATTCCAGCAAGCTAATATAAACAGAACAACTGATCCCAATCCCTCAAACTAATCAAAAGGAATGAAAACACTTACACATATAAGAATACGACCATATTTCCCAAAAGCTGCTTCTCCAATATCAGGATAAGTGATAATGCCGGTCTTGTTCTCGAAGCAGTCTTTCATTAAAGTAGCAGTGTAACAACAAATAACAGCAAATAAGAGAAGAATGACCATACTTGCCCAACCAGCTTCTTTCACTGTATAAGGTGTTGAGAGAAGTCCAACTCCAGCCATTACATTAATAGCTGTAACCAACATAGAGTTGAAACACATGTTTTCTTGATAAGGCCTAAAATCATCATAAATCAGAATCAGTTTTAGTTACCATTGAAAATGGTTTGGGTGACGCTGCATCCATAGCCACCAATGGGCAATTCATCAGCAAATGAGCCTTTATGAGACCAAGCTGATTGTGTAGCTGAGGCTTTGTCTGAATCTTCATGCCTCTCAGGAAGCAGAGGAGCTTTAGACTCAACATCTAAATTACTTCTGCTCGCTCTATAGAAACTCGGATTACTCCTGAGCGACCCGAAGATTGGTGATGCAGCAATCGTATAAGAATCAGTCGTTTCCCTGATAGAACCAATCACAAAACTTGTCAATGTTCATCACAAAATCTCAAAACTTTAAGAGATGGGTAGTGATTTGTTCAACGAAAGTGCGAGCTTTACAAATTAATAATTACCTAAAGCTTTGAGGCCATTGAACCTGGGAAATAAAAGGTTCATCGTTGTCGTCGCCACCGTCAGCATCACCAGGAAGATCTCCGAGATCGCTTTGATCAGTTTCACTGTCGTTCTCGTACTTACTGCTGTTCTCTTCTAGATCTTCGTTATCTTCGTCATCTTCGAACGTAAAGTCGGAATTTTTCTCCTTATCCTTGTTCTTCTCCTCCATTTTTCCGAACTAATAATCGATCTAGAGAGTATCAAGAACCTTGGAGGATAAAATCTCACCGAAAAAGGAAAATAAAAATCAAATCTTTTTGATTGAATTTTTGGTTACAGAGTGGGTTCGAGAAGTTTGCAGAGGGACAGAGGTGGCAAAAGACTAATAAGGAAAGCTGAATTTTCTGAGCACAAATTGTCCGTTTTGTTTCTTTTTGTTTTATTAAAAGAATTTTACTTTTTCGAGGATTTGTGATTTGAGTGCTCTTGTTCTCTGTCTCTGTTCGCGAGAGTTGATTGCCCCTAGTTATAAGGCGGGAAAATAGTGACGTGGCGGTGATGATAGAGATTAGAGAGAAGAGATCAAAGTTGAGAAGCAATGTTTGCTTAGACTTTTGATCGATGACAAGTGTTGCCTTGAGATGGTTCGGCTCTTTGTTTCCTGATTTGATATCGTTGTTTAGTTACCATGATTCTATTACTAATATAGTGGCATAGTGTAATTACTTTTCTCTCTTTTATTCTTTGACGTTCAAGATTTAAATGTTGAATAATATGCTAAATTATTAATTATCATGCATGTTGCTGGATTATTAGGCTTAGTACTTGCTTAAAAGTTAAAACTATTCATTGTTCTAAATCTAAATATCTCACAAGAGTCCACAGAAGAAGATGGGAGTGACTCAAGGTCTACGAGGGAATGGGGTGTACATGTAATCGTGTCAGTGAACTTAGAAATACGTTATCTCTATGTATTGGCATGTGAATTTTCTCCAAGTGTCAAACTTTCATATGCCCATTTCAATCTAATAATTTATCATTGTGACACAAATGTATTTTTTTGGTCAATTATCTCCAATGTGGTTTTAATCAGAGACATATATTAAAGAAAGATCTCCATGCCTTTTCCACCTTAATATTTTGCAAAACAGAAGAATCTCTTCCTTATTAGTATGCCAGTTTAGAAATCATTCGATTTTGCAACACTTAATTATATCTAAAAGTCTAAAAGTATTAAACTGTGAACAAAGGAAAATAAAATAGTATTTTTTATGTAAAATATGAAATGAATGGACTCACACTTTTTTTCTCTAGATCCTTAGGTTAAACTGTCACGCTTCCGGTACGTGGCTTATCGATCAGGAAATGCCAAGATACTGAGCCCACCTCACAAGTCACAAGTCACGTCTCCAACATTTATTTCTCAATATTATCCTTCAAATTTGTTACAATATGCAAAAAAAGAACAAGAAGAAGAAGTTATCACAATATGGGTCAAGCTCTCAATACCGGTTCGTCCTTTCTCTTTCTCCCCCCAAATCACGTATTTTCTTGATGTTCATTTATAAAAAAACACATATATATCTTCCACTAATGAATTATCGTTTTCTTTTTGGTGATATACTTAATAATGGAACGAAGCAAAAGGGAAAGGAGAGGTAGACGGGAAAGACTTGGAAGCTATGGTTGAAAATTGCTACCGCAAACGCTTAGAAGAACAAAATGACGATCAAGAATGGTCTTTCGGCGACTTCTACCGCATTGTGGCTGAAGCTGTCGAGTAATTTCTTTTCTTCTTATTATGAAGTCGATAAATGAGTCGAGTTAGATTTGGTTATTCAACCATTTTCAATACCGATTAAATTTCAATTCGAGTTTTCTACATTAATTATTTAATGGTTCGAGCGGTTAGTAAGTCAATGCTATAAAAATAAGAATTAAACGATAAAGACTCCAGCCAAATAGTCGGCATCATGATAATTTGATTATGGTATGATATTTCATGTGGTGTGATTATGATTGTTTATTTGTTTGGTGCGACAGGGAAATTAATAGAAGACTCGGTGGTACCCAACTTAAGGTGCCAAGTGTTGAGAAACTACAACAAGCTTATGAGGTAGTATAAAAGTCTTCCAATTTCTATTGTTCATGAGTTCATCATATAGTTTTATGATCGTAAATTAATGACACTTCTTTGGATTTGATAAAATTGAGTAAGGAATTTGTAACCATTTGCTCACTTAACGTTTTCTAAATTTATGTTATTATAAAAATGAAATATATACTTGAGGAAGAATGAATTATGCGTAGCGAATATGATAAATATGGTTATGCAACGATAAACATTAGAATAACTTCAAAAGTTTTTTCCCAATGAATAGAGAAGAAATGCTAAACTTGCTTTGTGCGATTACAAAGTCTTACAGAGTCTTAGACTTGGTTAACTCTAAACCGAAACAAGATTACAATTGAATCAAAATGCGTTAACCAATTGGTTTAATTACTCTGATCAATCATCTTCTTCGTCTCTTACTTCTGAATCGAGCAGATACACAATCTCGGGGAGGGGAAGAAGCTATCGAAGGACGAGTTTCAGAAGCTTCTTCAAGAAGTTTTAATCGGAGCTGGGTTCACCGGCGTCGGAGGAGTAAAGGAATTTCTACTATTCATCTTCGGAGTTCCTGCGATCGCCGTCTTCATTAAGAACCGTATAGCTCCGACGTCCATTCCCAACGACTTGTTTATCCCCGCCATCACATCCGCCACCGTCTTCCTCCTCGCCAAACTCAATAAGATATGAAGTCTCTACTAATTGTTTGATCCTTTCGAGCTTTGCTTTGTTTTCTTAATTTATATTGGTGATTTGATTATATGTGTGTGGAATACTCGGTGAAGCTTAAAGTTTCACTCTTTGAGTTCACTTACGTGATTGATGAAAAGGAAAAAAAAAATGAACTTATGTTGTTCGACAGAATGCCTCAGCGAGTTTCGGTTAACTCTGTTTTTTTTTTCAGTGATTTTAATTAACGAACTTAGTCGTCTAAATTAGTCCCTTTTTAAATTATGTTTCAAATTATTATCTAAGTAATTAAAATGTCTTCGTATTAGAGGGAAGCAAGGAGATGCTAATTGCTAAATATAGAGAATTCGAGGGTCTTGCTTGTTTCTCTGAATTTCAAGGCTTTCATTGGTTTGAGGATATGAACGAGTCCTTTCTTTGAATGACAAAATTAGTTTCTAAAACTGATAAGAAAAGATGAAATCTCGGAGACATTTTTTCCCTTTTAACTATTTTTTTTGGCCATTAGATTTTCTCTGTTTTTCTTTGTTTGGTTTGGAACATGGTCCAGAGAAACATTCAATTGAATAATGCTGCAATCTGTAAGAAAAAGTAAGCTCTTTGCCTCCGAAATTCACAGAGGCAAAAGAAAATGACCTGTGACACTTATGTTTGTTGATGATACCTTTAGGATTGATGTTATCTAGGTACTAATAATATACAGGTTTTTAGATAGAAGTTTCCTTAGGTTAACATAATGAGCAAGGACCAAAGCTATGTTCTAAAAGCATGGGAGGTGACCGTGCGAAAGACTCAGCAAGCCAAGAAGCGGGCAAATAGCGTTTTTGGAACAGTATCGGTAGCTCCACATACAGATAATGATACTCCAACTGATGAAAATGACGATGAGACCACCACTAACAGGAGCAGCTCAGAGGAATTCTACCATGCCGAGAGAGTGCTTCCCAATGGGGACTACTACACAGGGCAATGGTATGATAATTTTCCTCATGGCCATGGGAAATACCTCTGGACAGACGGCTGCATGTACATCGGTGACTGGTACAATGGGAAAACCATGGGGAATGGAAAGTTTGGGTGGCCATCTGGTGCCACATATGAAGGAGAGTTTAAAAGTGGTTACATGGATGGTATTGGGACATACACGGGTCCGAGTGGAGATGCTTATAAAGGTCAGTGGGTGATGAACCTGAAGCATGGACATGGCGTTAAGAGTTTTGCAAATGGAGATGCCTATGATGGTGAATGGAGGAGAGGTTTGCAAGAAGGTCAAGGAAAGTATCAGTGGAGCGATGGGAGCTATTACATCGGTGAATGGAAGAATGGTACGATCTGTGGCAAAGGAAGTTTTGTTTGGACAAATGGAAATAGGTACGACGGTTTTTGGGATGAAGGGTTCCCCAGAGGGAATGGGACGTTCAAATGGGACAATGGGAGTTTCTATGTTGGCCATTGGTCCAAGGATCCAGAGGAAATGAATGGTACTTATTATCCGTCAGGAAATGAAGGGAATCTTGAATGGGATCCTAAAGATTTGTTTAATAATCTAAGTGAGTACACGATCTGCAGCGGCGAGAGGGTTCCTACGTTGCCTTCACAGAAGAAACTATCTGTTTGGAACTCTTCCAAGCGTATAGAGAAACCTAGGAGGACGTCCGTTGATGGGAGGGTAAGTGTCGGCGTTGATAGAGCGTTTGAGAAGATGAATATGTGGGGGAACGAAATCGGTGAAGGAGGTGCTGATATGAGGAAGGAGTTGGATGCAGAGTTGATGAGATTGGACGCTGAAGGTATTCAGAGCCTGAAGTCGAGCCCTGTTCCTATGAAACTGCCAAAGGCAGGTAGGAAGCAAGGGGAGACGATATCCAAAGGCCATCGCAATTACGAGCTTATGCTTAATCTACAGTTAGGAATCAGGTAAGTATGAGAATACTAGGCATCCTGAGTTATAAAATTTGAATTTTGTTGGTATATATATATATATAGCACATGGAGCAATGCTTGTGTTTTTGGTGTCATGTTTAGTGATTTTATTTGCGCAGGCATTCTGTCGGAAGACAAGCTCCAGCGGCATCTCTTGATCTGAAGCCTTCAGCTTTCGATCCAAAAGATAAGATATGGAGGAGGTTTCCGCGCGAAGGAACCAAGTACACACCTCCACATCAATCTACTGAATTCAAATGGAAAGATTATTGCCCACTAGTTTTCAGGTTAGACAAAAAATCCCTTTACCTATTTCACATTGCTACAAATCCTGTCTTACTTATGATTTAACATGTTTTGCTTATGGTTTAATTTTCCAGGAGCTTGAGGAAGCTATTCAAAGTAGACCCAGCTGATTACATGTTATCTATCTGTGGGAATGATGCCCTTCGAGAACTATCATCTCCTGGAAAAAGTGGGAGCTTTTTTTATTTAACAAACGATGATCGTTACATGATAAAAACAATGAAGAAGTCGGAAACAAAAGTGAGTTCTTTTCAAGTTACCGGTTAGAAAGTGTTGGCTGTTTATTACCAAAACTTTTCAGATTGCATTTACTGAGAGCGTTTTTTTGTCTTCTTAATGTAGGTGCTTCTGGGGATGCTTGCAGCATATTATAACCATGTTCGAGCATTTGAGAACTCTTTGGTAATCAGATTCTTTGGTCTACACTGTGTGAAATTGAATGGACCAACACAAAAGAAGGTAGATACAAAAATTTAACACTTTATGTGCCATGGTTGTTGAGACGATTGGATTAGTTTGATAACTCTCTTGGTTTGCATATAATGCAGGTGCGATTCGTCATTATGGGTAATCTGTTTTGTTCTAAGTACTCTGTTCACAGACGGTTTGATCTAAAAGGATCTTCTCTTGGCCGTACAACTGACAAACCTGAATCAGAAATCGATTCAAACACGATCTTAAAAGACCTCGACCTGAATTTCATTTTCAGATTGCAGAAAGCATGGTACCAAGAATTCATCAGGTGAAAACCATTATCCTTTACTTGTCCATAGTTTGTTTGTGCTTGTTTCATTTCTCATGGCTCATTGTTTACATCACAGGCAAATCGATAAAGACTGCGAGTTTCTAGAACAGGAGAGAATCATGGATTACAGTCTTCTAGTTGGGATTCACTTCAGAGAAGCTTCTGTCGCTGGAGAGCTGATTCCTTCTGGAGCTCGAACGCCTATTGGTTCGCTTTTGTCAAATAAAAAAAACTACTTTTGTCCCATCAGCAAAAATGAATCATTCACAGAAGCAAACTGATTTGTTTTCTTATCTACAGGTGAATCAGAAGAAGAATCAGGCCCTCGTCTTTCTAGAGCAGAGGTTGATGAGCTTCTTTCAGATCCCTCAAGGTAATCCAACTCGAGATCAATTACCAACACTTTCAAACTCAAAACCGAAACACAGAAACATGGATTTTGGATATGGTTGTGTTGTTGCAGGTGGGCAAGTATTAGACTGGGGACCAACATGCCAGCGCGTGCAGAGAGAACAATGAGAAAGAACGACTGCGAGCTTCAGCTTGTGGGAGAACCTACAGGAGAGTTCTACGAAGTGGTGATGATATTTGGCATAATTGACATTCTTCAGGATTATGATATCAGCAAGAAGCTTGAACACGCTTACAAGAGCATACAGTATGATCCTTCCTCTATATCTGCGGTTGATCCGAGACAATACTCGAGGCGTTTCCGTGACTTTATCTTCAAGGTCTTCACAGATGACAATTGAGATGGTCTCAATATGTCTCTGGCGTTTCTAGATTTCTTGTTTCCCAAGTAAGAGCTCTGCAAAATGCAAATAGGCTACCTTGCAAGTATGAAGTACGACTCCCATTTTGTTTGTTCGTTTGTTTCAATTTATAGATTTTGTATTAAACTTTGTAATCAGCTTCTTGTATAATTTTTATGTAACCTTTCATTATATGAAAATTATGATCATCTTGTCTGGAATTCTTGAAAATAAAATGATTTGAATTATTGTTGTGGTTGATTCATTTTATTTTTTATTTAGACATTGCAGTATAAGTGTGGTCAATGTGACGTAGTTAAATTGTTTAAACATAAAAGAAAAAAACAAGTTGCACAATTTCAACTGTATTTTTACAGATACATTTCCATTAACAACACTCCATCAACTACATAAAAAATGGAAGTGGTTTACAGTTTTTGGAATTCCAAATGCGATTGTATATTCTAAATTGGTAACAAAGTATATTTGATGCACCAACCAAAAGATTCGTTCAAAAACAAAAAAGAAAAGATTCTTGAAAGAAACTAGAGTTTTCTTCTAAAAGTTGAAAGTTTCTTGGTCTGGTAATTGGATGCTGAATATTTAGTGAATAAGACATGAAGCAAAACTTTATAAAAGATACACAACTTTGGGCAATGTAGTTACGTATGTGATGATGATATCTTTTGGTTTCTTCAATAAAGAAATAAGAGTAAAAGATTCCAATAATTGTTCTAAGGTTTTAACACTCGCTGTTGTTGTCGTTTTCTGTGATAAACTTAGAGAGAATCTCTTGTTCTCTTCTGCCATTTGTCCCCATATAAAATTAATTGCGACTGTTCAAACGCTATTTTTAATACAAAGAAATGATTACGTATTCGTGAAATTGAACCAAACACTTGCCATTTCTTAACTACTAATTCAACATTAAATCGTAGTTTATACTTTATATTCATTCAATTGTTCTAGTATCTGTAAATAAAGACATGCGTCACCAAACGCACCGCTAAATCTTAGTAAAACGCGATCGCGTTTGAAGACAAAAGAAAGCTAATAAAACTAAGCAATTTCACCACCTTTGGTACTTTACAACAACAACAACCAAAAAATAGCGACGGCGATTAGAGTCCTGCGTAGTCGTGCTCACTGATCACTCTTAGCCCGTGCCGTGATCTGAGAAACATCACCGGGTGGATTTTCTCTGCGATTCCGGTGCACCGTACACTTCACTATAATCTCTGCTTCCATTTTGACTTTTTGAAAATAAACTACAACAGTCGCAGAGAGAGTAAACTTCGAAATCCGATCGATCGCTTTCTCTCTCGGCGTTTCTCTGCGATTCTTCTCAGGAGCTTCATTCCATGGCGCTACAGTCTCCCGGCGCCACCGGAGCTTCATCTTCCGTTTCCCGGCTTCTAACCTCCGCGAAATTAAGCTCTACTA